GACCCTTAGCATGGAGGTATCTCCCCTTGAGCCGGTCCACTTCATGTACGGGGAGAGATCGCCCCTGTTGGCTGTGGTTGAAAGGAGGTTGTGCAGACGCACGGCGTGGTTCATGGCGTACGGCCAATATTTCTTGGGAAGGCCGGACTGATTCATAAGGGCGCGCACCTTCGTCATGAGAGTGCAGTTGACACTTTCGGCGACGCCTTGCTGATGGTGAGCGTAGGGTAGAGAGATCTGATGCTTGATCCCTTTCTCTGCGATAGCGCTCTCCAATTCGTTGCTGCGAAACTCCTTGGCGCCGTCAGTTTGCCAGATTTTCAGCTTCTTCCCTGATTGCCTTTGTGCAGATGCGGAAAACTTCAGGAGCCTTTGAGCGGACGTCGATGTTGGCGATCCAGATGTGGCGTGAGTATGCGTCCACGAAGGTGAGTGTGTATCGTTCGCCGTTGATGACGTCGAAGGTGAGCACGATGAAGTCGCTGTAGACTTTCTGTAGCTTCTTGTAGCGGTTGGTGCTCGGCTCCAGGGAGGGGTAGGCTTGGTGCGTGAGGGCCGCAGTGGGACAGATTGTGCAGGTGTTTGGATGTGACGTGCTGAGTGGTTTCGTGCCGTCAGGGCGCAGCAGTGCTCCTGGCAGGAAGACTTTGGCGCGGAGGCAGTTGTTGAATGTCTGGCACGAGGGGTGACCGAGTCGCTGATGCCAGAGGTCGTCATCTGCGCGGATCTCGGAGGTACGCAGGTAACGAGCATGATGTTCTGCGGCCTCTGCTTCTGTTTCGTGGGGGATTTGGAGCACTGGTACTTCTTCTTCTTCTGCTTCTGCTTCTGTCTGTCCTTCTGCAGGTGGCGTGGTGAGGTAGAGCGCGATGAAGTTGCGATCTGGGATGATGTTGAGTGTAGTCCGCGTGCCTTCGATGAAGCGTGCGAAGGGATCTGGGTGGGAGATTGTCCCAAGTGAGTCTCGTGGCGGAGTAGCAGGGACATTCCCCTCCTCAATCTCCGACCAGGGATCCGACCAGCGGTAGGGTGAGTGGGGTGGTGAAGGAATGTTGCGTGGGCGACGTCCGAGCGGGATAGGGACGCGTGGTGATCGCTCTCCACGTTCTGCAGCCATTTCTCGTTCTATCTCCTCTTCTTCTTCTTTGGTGAGCGGGGCATCCGCGTATTCGTCTCCTCCCCATCCTCCTGCATCGCCCCATCCGCCAGTTCCCCAACCTCGTACGGTGCCGGATGCGCCGGTTGCGGATCCCCATGTTGCACCATCCTCTGGTGTGTAGTCGTCGTCTCCCCATGCGCCACGTCGTGCTGACTCCTCGTCCCATCCTGCCGCTACGCGCTCCTCATGCAGTTTCTGCTTCTTCTCTGCCTTTGCCTTGTCTTCCTCCTCTTTGACGCTCATCTCCTCTTTTGCGTCAGGATCCTTCCACGCCGTGTCGATGTGACGGTAGATTTCGCGAGGATAAGGGCGCGGGCGTCCTTCTTCATCAAAGGTTCCGATGTTTGCTTCTAAGACCCAGCGGAGGGTTTCTGCGCGGGCCGTTGGGCGCTCTTGCCGTCGTTGTCCAAGCCTTTCATTTTCTTCGCCGAAGATGCGGTGAGTAGTGACAGCGAGCTCCATTTCCGTCATACCCGTAGGTTCCGCCTCGACGCTTTCCGCCTCTTGAATCGCCGCGAGATCCTTTTCAATTTCTTCTGTGGGTGTGAAGCAGGTGGTGCAGATGCCGTCAGGACCGGGTTGGTGCAGATTGATTTCTTCAGGGTGGGGGCTGCGGCGTATCCACGGTCGTCCGTCCGGATGCTGCCATGATTCCACGTTCATGTATGGAAAGTCCAGTGGAACGAGGTCTACTAGCTCGTCTGAAGATGCCTGGCAGTTGGGGATATCGAAGTCAAGCACGTAAATGCCGTTGAGCGAGCGAGCTCTTCTGAGGTATTTGTGCGACTCGACGGGTGTGTCCGGAGGGGCGTAGGTGAGAATGAGGTCGCGTGTGTAGGGATCCGTGGCGATCATTACTCCGCAGTATCTGAGTTGTCCTGCCGACAGTAAGTTAAAGCGGAGGTCCGGCACGTAGAGCACGTCCTTGAACGTGATGTGCGTGTTGCTGTCTCGAGCTTGTAGCATCACGATGCCTTGCGCATTTGCGCGCAGTTGCTCGTTGTTGGCGACAGTGACGTAGGTGGCGGGAGCGCGGCTGATGTTTGAGATATAGCGGACATACCCCACCATGTGCTGGCCGCAGCAGCTGTCCAGGTACCAAGTGTTATGGTTATCGACGTTGTTGTTGCGCAGGAGGAGTGCGAGCCGCGGTGTCACCAGAGTCGCCTTGTATCGTCTTTCAAAGAACTCAGCTTCTCTCCATCCCACGGGAACGTAGTGCTGATTGTCGTGGGGTGGACTTTCCCGCGGTTGTATTGGCTGATGCCAATCTTGCTTGTCCTCGTCATACCAGTAATAGTGATCTTCTGTGAGGAGATTATTACACCCTTCTTCAGGTTGAATAAGCCCGCCGCGAAGTTCTTCTTCCTCATCTGGTTCGACGGCGCGTGGGCGACGTCTTGTCGCCATGTTGGCGATCACGTTTCTGGGAGCTCCTGCTTGAGATCCTTGTGCCTGTTGTTGCTGTTGTGCAGGAGGGCGTGAAGCTTGCTGCTGAGTCTGGAAATGACGAGCGTCTTGTCGGCCGACCCAATTGTTGTGGTGAGTGGAATTTGGGTGGCGATTGTTAGACCGGAACTTGCATCGGTCCGTTGAATGTCCAAAGACTTTGCAGATTTTGCAGTAGTGGCGCCTTGGTTGTCGTCGCTCTTCATGGTTGTCTGTGTAGAAGGCGAGCCGCTCTCGGCGCGGCGCGGAGCTTGTCCTGCTCGAGTCCATGTCCTACTGTTCAGTCAGGAGGGCGGCGCATAGCGCGGCTTTAGAGATGATTCCTCGTTGTCGGAGTAGCGCTTTGCAGGGCTTCCACTCTGGCCCGAGTCCTTGGAGGACGATGTTGACGAAGATCTCCTCCGAAATGGCGCTTCCATGCGTCGTGATTTGGTCACGAATGTTCCGACAGCGGTTAATATATGAATTTGCTTTCTCCCCGTGCCCCATCTTGGTCTCCATGAGTTGCTGCAGGAGCCTGCTGGCGGTGACCGAATTTTTCTGTTGATATACCTCAACGAGATTCTTCCAGGCTTCCAGAGCTAGAGCGGCGCTCTCTTTGTAGGAGCGAATGCTGAGTTGTTCCGCAGGCGTCATATTGCGTAGCAGCACACTGTACGCCATGAGGGACTCGCTGTAGTACTGAGTCCTGGCCTCTTCGGTATCTTCCACCGGTTTTGCGTAGGAGCCGTCGAAGTAATGGTAGATCTGCGCTGTTTGTAGGAGGAGCTCAAGCTCGAAACTCCAAGTGTAAAAATCATTGCCGTCAAACGCGGCAGTAGCCTTAATTTTTGAAACGCTTAGGAAGCGTGCTTGCGCAGAGTTAATAACTTCATCACTTGGACGGGGGGCAGTTGTTGTTGATTTGTCTGTGTCGAGGGAGAAGGTGTGCGCGGCGGTATCACGGCTTTTTGCGGCCGGTTGTCCAGGTTGAGCTAGTTGGGAAGAGGTTCCCGCATCGCCTTTGCGCAATTCTTGGAGGTCTTTCTCCATAGTTGATAATCGCGAAAATAACTGCTCGAGTGCGGCAGTGCTGATCGTGGTTGTCGCCTCATTTGTCGCAGCCGGGTTGGTTTGTCCTTCGGCCGTCAGATTTGCTTGGCCTCCGGATCCTCCGACCATCTTGGTCTTCGAGCGTGTGCCGCTCGCTAGATCTTGATTCAGCGAATTCCACGGAAGTGAAGTTGCGAAGAATCCCTGAGTAGCTCTCATACCATGTTACAATCCCATGTGGGACTTAGCGAAGGATCGCTCAGGGTTGATCGCAGGGTGATGTTGCAGCGGAAGTGTTGATCTCAGGTCAGTTCGAATGTATATGACTGAGATTGATAATAGCATGCATACATCGAGTTTATATAGGAAATACAAAGGAATACTAAACGACCTAAACTAGCCATGTACTCTAAGGGGTATATTCCCTTATTACAGCGAAGTTCAAACCGTGCGGCGCGGGAACCCGTTTCAAAACTGTTCCCGCTCTTTTCACTTCGAATGTTTCTGCCTGCATCGGTCTTGATCAGACGGTTACCAGCGTCGCTTCGACTCTTCTGACTCATCGGCTTCGTACTCGTTAGAGTCGACCCCTGCAGCATACAGGAATGCCTTCTCATAAGGTTTCATATCGTAACAAACCCACATACATCCATCGCACTAAGGATATCATCCGGCAAGGGAGCCATAAACGTAAGTGGTAGCTTTGTAACTGGATGTTCAAACGCCAATGTATGTGCATGTAACGCTTGCCTGTGTAACACACCAACCTTCTCAATCTCCCCACTCCAACCCAACCCAACCCTCCACACCGTAAACGTTTCCACAACCCTTTTCACACCCGATTCACCGTCCCTCGTGGAATAACCATGTTCGCTCAGCCGACCTTCATCCTCGCTATTCCCCTCCTCGCTTAGACTAGAGTGTCTCTCGAGTTGATCAGAGTGTGTCTCCTCGAGCTGGATATAGCACTCCCTACAGTGCTCACCCCACATGAGAGGGAGGGCACCATAGATATGATCTGCTAGCACAGGCAGCTTGGCATGCTGCAGATGCACTCTGATCTGGTGCGTCCTTCCTGTTACCGGAACAGCTTGTAAGAGGGATACCCTGATGGGGGGGGAGAGATTAAGGTACTGGAATTAGCTGTGTGCAGTGCAGTGAACACTAAGATAATGCAGAGAGGGGTGGAAGGCGATGCAGAGGGGTGAAAGGCCCATACCCAGATGTTTCACTTCTTGAAAGCACACGGAACTCTGTCCTTGCCGCCAAGCATGGCACAGCGGGGCAAGGTAGTGCAAAGGGTTGGAAAGCAGTGCAGAGGGGTGCAAGGGAATGCAGAGGGGCTCAGTGCAACGGCGAGTCAGACGACGAAACTGTCTGATGTGAGGTCATACCCGGACGCTTCACTTCTTGCAAGCACACGAAACTCTGTCACTGCTGCCTGTGTCTTGCTCTCCTTTTTCTTCATCCCACTCTCTCCTACACTCTCTCCCACTCCCTCACCCCTTCCATCCGTCTCCTCCCCTGTCCCCTGTCCCCTCGCTCCCAGCTCCTCTGTCCCAGCCTCTCCGATCCCTTCTCTCTGCTCCTCTGTAGCCCCTTCTCCCCTCCTCTCTCCATCCTCCTCCACCATTCCCTCTTCCCTCCTCTCTCGAACCTCCTCTCCCACAACCATGCGTGCAAACTCATGGTCAGGGTCTCGTGCAATGGGAGCTTCCTGCGGCACGTCTCCCTCCCTCCCCTCTCCAACCTCCCCCCTCCCTTCTCCAACCTCCTCTGCTGCTACAACCATGCGCGCAAACTCGTGGTCAGGGTCTCGTGCAATGGGAGCATCGATAACGAACGAGTCCGAAGGAGGCAGCCCCACCACGAGCACCAGATACTGCTTCGCCACCTGGGAGGGTTGAAGGGGGTGGGGGGCAACGACACGGGGCAGGGGAGCAACGCAAATAGGGAGGGAGAGCAACACATGGAGAGCAGGGAGCGAGTCATGGTCAGGGTCTCGTGCAATGGGGGCAGCCCCACCACGAGCTCCAGATACTGCTTCGCCACCTGGGAGGGAGGGGCAGGAAGGCAGACAGGGAGTCACACACACAGAGGGCAGGGGAGCGACAGACAGACAGAGGGCGGGAGGCAAGTCATGGTCAGGGTCTCGTGCTGTGGGGGCATCGCCTGTGAAGGAGTCCGAACGAGGCAGCCCCACCACCAGCACCAGATACTGCTTCGCCACCTGGGAGGGGCAGGCAGGCAGGGGGTCACAGTATAGAGGAAACAGGATAGTGGGAGTCACATCAAAAGGGGCATCTTGCAATGGGAGCATCAACTGAGAAGGAGTCCGAAGGAGGAAGCAACACCAGCAGCACCAGCAGCACCAGCAGCACAAGACACTGCTTCGCCGCCTGGAAGAGGCAGGCAGGAAGGGGGGGGAGATAGAGGATAGGAGCATCAACTGAGAAGGAGTCCGAACGAGGAAGCAACACCACCAGCACCAGACACTGCTTCGCCACCTGGAAGAGGCAGGCAAGGGGGGTTTAGAGGTTGGAGGAAACGGAAGCAATGGGGGCATCGTTTTCTATCATGAACAAACAATGGGTTCTAAGGCGCCTCAAAAACCGTCTCTCTGGGTTCTAAGGCGCCTCAAAAACCGTCTCTCTACCCGCAGAATTTGAGCCGCCTCAAAAGAAAGAGAAGCAATGGGAGCATCGTTCTATCATGAGCCACGAGATGGAGGAGTCACGATAGAACGATGAGGCGCCGCCATCTCACCTGCCCCACCTCATCTACCCCACCCACCTGCTCTCATATGCCGCGTTATCCGCCCCAACCCCACCTCATCTGCCCCAACCCCACCTCATCTGCCCCAACCCCGCCTCATCTGCCCCAACCCCGCCTCATCTGCCCCAACCCCGCCTCATCTGCCCCAACCCCGCCTCATCTGCCCCAACCCCGCCTCATCTGCCCCAACCCCGCCTCATCTGCCCCAACCCCGCCTCACACCACCCACCTCACCTGCTCCTTGGAGAGAAAGGCCTGGTGGAGAGCCTGAGGAGATGGGGCGAGGCTTGGCGAAACAGATGGCTCTTGCTCACCTGGTTTTCCGGTTCCCCCAGCTGATTTTCTGCCACCTGGTCTCTTCCATCTCATCTTCCCCACGTGCTCCCTCCCACCTCCCCTCCCTTCTTACCTGGTCTTTGGTGCGAAAGGCCTGGTGAAGAGCCTGGGAAATTGGGCGAGTCTTGGTGAAGCACATGACGCCGCTGGCCCATCTTATCTTCCACGCCTGCTCCCTCCCACCTACCCTCCCTTCCTACCTGGTCTTTGGTGCGGAAGGCCTGGTGGAGGGCCTGGGAGACAGGGCGAGACTTGGCGAAGCAGATGACCCCGCTCGTGTACATGTCTAGTCGGTGCACTGTGAAGGGGTCGGCTTGTAGGTAATGTGCCTGTGAGTGGGTGTGGTGTGGTGTAAGCAGGTGGAGAAAGGTATGGTGTTGGGACAAGGAAGGCAGATGACGCCGCTGGTGAACATGTCTAGACGGTGCACTGTGAAGGGATCAGCCTGCAGATAGTGCGCCTGGCGTGTTGGGAGATCATAGCGTTGTGTGCAAGGGAAAGAGGAAAGCCATGAAGTGGGGATAGGGCGAAGCAGATGACGCCGCTGGTGTACATGTCGAGGCGGTGCACTGTGAAGGGGTCCGCTTGCAGATAGTGCGCCTGTGGATGGGTGTGGTGTGACAAGGGGGAGAACGGGATGATATTGTCAAAACAGATCACTCCGCTGGTGCACATGTCGAGGCGGTGCACTGTGAAGGGATCAGCCTGCAGATAGTGCGCTTGTGTGGGAAGGGGTTTATGGACGGGTAATTGGTGGATAAACGAGTCGGGATTCGGCCAGCGCTGACCACTGATTGACCAGCGTTGACCACTGATTGACCAGCGTTGACCACTGATTGACCAGCGTTGACCAGCGCTGACCAGCGCTGACCACTGATTGACTTACCTCTCGGTTGACCAAAGCTCCCCCCACGAATCGGTGCAGCTGGTGATGCTTCACCCCTGCTGGCTTGTTCATCACCTGGTACCACTCTATTGACCAGCGTTGACCCGCACTTACCAGCGTTGACCAGCGTTGACCCGCGCTGACCGTCATTGCCCAGCGTTGACCAGCGTTGACTGTCTCACCACTCGGTTGACCAATGCTCCCCCCACGAATCGGTGCAGTGGCTGGTGCTTCACTCCTGTTGGCTTCTTCACCACCTGGTACCACTCTGTTGACCATCGTGGCCCTGCGTTGATCAGCGTTGACTGACTCACCACTCGGTTGACCAATGCTCCCCCCACGAATCGGTGCAGCGGCGAATGCTTCACTCCTGCTGGCTTGTTCACCACCTGGTGTAGTTATTGAGGGGTTAATGACAGAGGTTGATTAGAGGGTTTGAGTGATAAAGCCATTCTCGTGAAGCAGCACAGATGATTCACCCCTGCTGCCTTGTTAACCACCTGGTGTAGTTATTGAGGGTTTAAGGAGAGGGATTGAAATGGGGTGGGGAGAGGGGTTGAGGAGATAGGTTGAAGAGAGGGGTTGAGGAGAGGGGTGAGGAGAGGGATTGAGAGGAGAAGTTGATTGGAGGGGTTCAGTCAAGGATAGTTAGTAAGTCATTTTCAGGAAGCGGCGCTTCACCCCTGCTGGCTTGTTCACCACCCGCCAGCAGCCAATTGTAAGCCAGAGATACCCAGCAGCAGCCAATCACAAATCAGGGCGACTCACCAGTATCCAATCATCTTCGAACAGCACATCAAGCGGCTCGGCGTCTCGCACCAATGGCGGCTTCACTAGCTTGGCCTGCCGCGGCTTCTTAGGTTTCGCATTCGCATTACGAGCTGAAGCTCTTTGATTCGAGTCTAAAGCCTTCTCGTTACAACTAGCTGACGAATCCCCTGTAACGATAGCTGAAGCTCTTGGATTCGAGCCTAAATCCATCTCGTTACAACTTCCTGGCGAATCCCCTGTAACGAAACCGCTTTCGCTCGAATCATCGCCGACCAAACGCGGCTCTGCAGCGCGGCGTGTCGCAGGCATTGACGAAACCCGACCATTGTCCCCGCTCGGACCCTCGATCTCTTCGCGATCAGTCGAAAGACCTATCGTAATCCGATTCCGAGCTTCGGATTCAACTGAAGGCGGAGTCTGCCTTCGCGGCGCCTCAAAAACAGACTCGACCTGGTGGCGATCAGTCGAAAGACCTATCGTAATCCGGTTCCTAGCTTCAACTTCAGCGGAAGAAGGAACCCGAATGTCATGTTCTGCTCGTGTTTGGTCGTATTCCGGAATTTCAGGGTCGGCAAGACGAAAGGAACCGTCGGATTCGGCATCTGCGCTCTCTCCAGAGCAGGCAGCGCGAGCTCGGCAGACGAATCTCGTCGCGCGCACGCACAGCTGCCGACCCTTCGATTGAGTCACAATCTGGCCGTATCTCCGTGCGCTGCGACGTACTAACGGGGTGTAATATGGTGAGGGATGCAAAAGCTGCGAGAGAGCCTTCACTACGGGAGCGTACATTGCCGCCCTAGGTGTCACCCCTGAGTCAACTCTAAAGTCAGCAGGGAATAGCCGCGCCAGATACGAGTGTGACGTGGCAGCCCCTAATCCCAAGCCGATGCTAAAAGCGGCGCGGTTGCTGATGAGAAATGGTCCGCCCTATGGCAAGTCAACAGAATGACTTCTGGGCGATCAAGAAGGTGGAGATTTCGTTCGGCTTAGTCCTGAAAGTTATCAGGTAACTCGTCGCATAGCGTGGCCGGGAGACTTTGACATGCAAAATCGGCGTTACACTAAGTTCTCGAATCTAGCGACACAGGCGGTGCCATCGAAAAGGTTCTTCGTCGCGGCAAGCGAAGGTGAACCACAGAACACTGCGTAACAGCTTGCCTCATTCTAAGGAAACCCGTTTCATATAATTAAGAGAATGGGGTACCTCATTCGCTTCCTTATTCAGTCTTCAAACTTGTATTCAGCAGATTTGTTTGCACCTGACTTCATTGAGCACAACCGCAAAGCAAGTTGTCACAAAAATGAGGGGCGAAACTATTGAAAACTTGATCCAGTAGGTAACTTCCCCAGTAGTTAGGTGCCCCCATGCATCTCCTTCCCTAGCTTCTGAATCTGCACAGGGACAAGGTTAATACGAGAAAAAAAATACTAATCGATAAACGGCACAAATGGTGCCCCTAACGCACAGACGCAAGATCACATCCCACACCTACAGACACATCATATGATCACATCCCACACCATGCCTAGCCTTGCAAGGCCATGCATCTGCTATATCAATCCCGTGCTATGCCATGCCATGCCCCATGCCGAGCATGCCGCAATATCGAATCGCGTTGCCCTATCACCCCCTCTTTTTCCTCCTCCTCACCTGATCCACCAGCATGTCAATGTGCCTGCGATACATCTGCTTCACATTCATCATGGCATGCCATACCATGTTTTACCGTATCATGTTGCATCACGCCATGCCATCACCCCCTTCCCTCCTCATCCTCCTCACCTGATCCACCAGCATGTCAATGTGCTCGCGATACATCTGCTTCACATTCATCATGGCATGCCATTCCATGTTATACGTATCATGTTGCATCATTCTTATCCCACCATCTCTCCCCCCCCCACCCACTCCCCTCCCCTTCCCCCATCTCCCTCTCACCTGATCCACCAGCATGTCAATCTGCTCCCAATACATCTGCTTCACACCATCACGCCATGTCATGCCACACTGTATCAAGTTCCGTCATCCCATGTTATCACCCCATTCTTCCCCCATCCCCCGCTCACCTGATCCACCAGCATGTCGATTTGCTCGCGGTACATCTGCTTCACATCCATTCCATGCCATGCCACGCCATGCCACACTGTATCATGTTTCCTCATGCCATACCAGCACCCCATCCCCCTCCTCACCTGATCCACCAGCATGTCGATCTGCTCCCGATACATCTGCTTCACATCCATCAGGTCTGCCCTCAGCTCCTCCACCTGCCATGTGGCACATGGTACGGCAGTGAAACACATGGATAAGATGGATCACCAACAGTCACTCCCTTCCGCTCACCATCACACCATCTGCTTCACATCCATCAGGTCCGCCCTCAGCTCCTCCACCTGCCATGTGGCACATGGTACGGCAGTGAAACACATGGATAAGATGGTTCACCAACAGTCACTCCCTTCCGCTCACCATCACACCATCTGCTTCACATCCATCAGGTCTGCCCTCAGCTTCTCCACCTGCCTGCACCACAAGCAGGGCAACACAAGGATACATTGTGTTGGGTGGTTTGCAAGCAGTGTGGCTGGTCACTCCCCTCAACCCATCACCACCCCTCCTGCCCTCACATCCATCAGGCCTGCCCTCAGCTCCTTTAACCTGCTCGCCTCTCTCCCCCATCAACTCCAGCGCAGAAGCATGCCGCCTCCTGATAGCTTCCAGCTCCACCTGAGTCACCTCACTCCGGAGGCTCTCACACTCTCCCATACCCTTCCCAGATCTCTCACCTGCTCGTCTCTCTCCCCCATGAGCTCCAGAGCAGAAGCATGCCGCCTCCTGATCGCCTCCAGCTCCGCCTTGAGACCCGGCAGCTGAGTCACCTCGCTGCGCAGACTCTCACACTGGGTGGTTGTCTTAACCAGCTCTTCAGCCAGAGAATCGCGTGTGCTCTCCAGTGCGGCCTGATAGAAGGAGAGGAAACAGGGGCGAGGATGGAAGGGGTTACACGATGGCAGATGAGTCCTGAACGCCAGATCGCCTTCAGTGTGTATGGCAGTCAAAGCCAATGACACCAAGACTGAGACTCACCAGTCTAGCGGTGTGTATGGCGATTTGACTTTTGAGTCGACTCAAAAGTCAACACCAAGACTGAGACTCACCAGTCTAGCGGTGTGTATGGCGATTTCTCCATCCTTCTGCCTCAGAAGCGACTTCAAATGCGCCAGTGGCAGCATGCATACAGACCAGCACTATCCCGTACAAACGAGCGCCAAGCAACCGCACACCCAAACAGAGCTCTCACCAGTCTCGCGGTGTGTGTGGCAATTTCTCCATCCTTCTGTCGCAGCAGCGACTCCAAATGCTCCACAGTCGCAGCATTCGCAGCACTCGGCCTCAGCAGACCTCCACCACTCGCCCCACCATACCCCATCCCCACCCCTCCCCCCATCCCTCCCCCCAACGCCCCCATAGACGAACTGGCACCAAGCATCCCAAACCCCCCGCCCCCCCCGCCGCCGCTGCTGCTGGTGCCGCCGATAATAGCCCCTGTGAGGAGGTCGGAGTGGGAGGAGGAGCCTCCAGGGAGGAGTGAGGCTGCGAGGATGCCCGACGCTGTTGCCTCCTCGATGGCACTGCTGCCCGCACTGCTGCTGCTGGGGACCCGACGCAGCGACTGACGGACTGGATGGGAGAGAGGGGTGGAGAGGGGTGGAGAGGGGTGGAGAGGGGCGGGGAGGAAGGAGGGATGGAGCAGGAGGGGGGGAGCAGGGGGGGGAGAGCAGGAGGCAAGGGGCGTGAGCAACCAGTGAGGAGGTCGGGGTGGGAGGAGGAGCCTCCAGGGAGCAGCGAGGCAGCGAGGATGCCCGACGCTGTTGCCTCCTCGATGGCGCTGCTGCCCGCACTGCTGCTGCTGGGGACTCGCCTCAATGCCTGGCGCACTGCGTAGGGAAGGATGAAGGGAGAGGGCGAGGGATGGGGAGGGAGCAGGAGGGAGGGAGCGGGAGGCAAGGGGAGTGAGCAAGCAGGTACCAATGATGGTTCCAGTGAGAAGATCTGGGTGGGAGGAGGAGCCTCCAGGGAGCAGCGAGGCTGCGAGGATGCCCGAGGCCGTTCCCTCCTCGATGGAACTGCTGCCCGCACTGCTGCTGCTGGGGACCCGGCGCAGGGACTGGCGGACTGGAAAGGGGTGGAGAAGGGTGGAGAGCAGTGGGGAGAGCAGGAGAAGGAGGGGGGGAGTTAGAGGCAAGGGGCGTTAGCAAGCAGGCAGCGATGGTGGTTGCTGAGAAGAGGGTGGTCGGGGTGGGAGGAGGAGGCCCCAGGGAGCAGCGAGGCTGCGAGGATGCCCGAGGCTGTTGCCTCCTCGATGGCGCTGCTGCCCGCACTGCTGCTGCTGGGGACTCAACGTAGAGACTGACGGACTGCATGGGGAGGGATGTATGTGGAACAGGAGGAAACGGGTGTAAGGGAACAAGGGAGGATGCCCGAGGCCGTTGCCTCCTCGATGGCACTGTTGCCCGCACTGCTGCTGCTGGGGACTCAACGCAGGGACTGGCGCACTGTGTGGAATAGAGGGGGTGAAGAGGGATGGGGAGGGGTAGCGAGGGGTGGTGAGGGAGCAGGAGGGAGGGAGCAGGAGAAACCTATCGACTGGCCAGCAGGACTGACATGAGAGCTCGAGGTATGCGGAGCCTGCTGCTGCATGGGCTGCAATCATTGCCTTTCCTTCTGCAGCCCTTCCTCCTGAAGAGCTGTCCCCACCCCTTGACCCACGCGCTACACTGCATTGGCCGCTTGGGAAAGGAGGTGACGAACAGGACAGGACTGACCTGAGAGCTCGGGGTACGAGGAGCCTGCAGCTACCAGCGCCTTCTCCGCCGCAGCCCTGCCCTCAGTTGTTGCTGCCACTTGACCGACGATCAGGACTGACCTGAGAGCTCGGGGTACGAGGAGCCCGCTGCTGCACGGGCAGCAACCAGTGCCTTCTCCACTGCAGCCCTGCCCTTTGAAGAGTCAAGATAGGAAACCATGAACCTCCGTTTGAACGCACCTAGGGACTGGCAGGCAGGACTGACCTGAGAGCTCGGGGTACGAGGAGCCTGCTGCTGCATGGGCAGCAACCACCACAGCACCTTCCTTACTGCAGCCGTGCCTTCTGAAGAGCTGTCCCTTACCACTTGACAATGAAGACTGGTCACTGATCGGGCTATGAGTTCTCCAGTGTTCTACAGACATGCCACGCACGACTGACCTGAGAGCTTGGGGTAAGAGGAGCCTGCTGCTGCATGGGATTAAACCAGCGCCTTCTCTGCTGCAGCCTTTCCCCTCTGAGGAGCTGTCCTCACCACTTCACCTGCACACTACACCGCACGATCCGCTCACAAACGCGCGGAACGGCGGGACTGACCTGAGAGCTCGGGGTATGAGGAGCCCGCTGCTGCATGGGCAGCTACCAGCGCTCTGTCTGTTGCAGCCCTGCCCTCTGAAGAGCTGTCCCCACCACTTGACCCACGCGCTACACTGCACAATCCGCTTGGGAAGGAGGTGAGGAGCAGGGCCTACCTGAGAGCTCGGGGTAGGAGGAGCCTGCTGCTGCATGGGCTGCCACCAGTGCCTTCTCTGCTGCAGCCCTGCCCTCTGATGAGCTGATTTCGCCACTTCATCCACGCACTAAACTGCACAATACGCTTGGGAAAAAACTGAAGGGGAATGACTGACCTGAGAGCTCGGGGTAAGAGGAGCCTGCTGCTGCATGGGCTGCGACCAGTGCCTTCTCCGCTGCAGCCCGCCCCTCTGCCCGAATCTTCCTCTCATGCTCAGCCATGGATGCCCGCTCGCTCTCCAGTTCCTGGGAGGAGAACACGCACCGGCAGAAAGCGAACAAGCGCGGGAGTGAGGAGATAGGTGAGTTTGATCGTCAAAGCTTATGGTGACTAGAGTGCTAGGAACACACCCTTGCTCACCTGCTCGGATTGAGATGAGTTACAAGCTATTTAGTTTTGAGACGTCTCAAAACTAGATGAGTTACAAAACTAGATGAGTTACAAAACTAGATGAGTTACAAAACTAGATGAGCTACAAAACTAGATGAGTTACAAAACTAGATGAGTTACAAGCTATTTCAACACCACTGAGCTCACCTGCTACACAAGATCCCTCCTCTGCCGTTCCTCCTGCACCTCCTTCCACCACCTCGCCTTCACCTCCTCTGCTGCTACCTGACTGAACCGATCTCAACATCGCTGAACTCACCTGCTCCACAAGCTCCCTCCTCTGCCGTTCCTCCTGCACCTCCTTCCGCCATCTCCCCTTCACCTCCCTCATCTCCTCCTCCACCACCTTCACCCTCCCTTCCGCTGCAACCTTCGCCTCCTGCGCACTCAGATACTCCGTCCGGTTCTCCGCCGCCCGCTGACGCTCCTTGTCGAGGGAGCGGGAGAGCTGGGAGTGCTCGGCGCGCAGGCAGGAGAGCTGGGCTTCCATGACTGCCAGGCGGGACAGCGTCTGGTTCAGCCGCTCGCTCGTCACCCGCTCCCTCTCCTCCGCCACTGCCGCCTTCGCCTCTGCCTCCTGAGAGAGGGGGTTGGGTCGGTGAGAAAGAGGGACGGGAGGCATGGCATGACAGGGTAACTCTGCCTGCTACTGCTTCTCTGTCATGCTTTCATAGAGTTACCCTGTCATGCCCACAAGCACACACACAACATACCTGCAGCCGAGCATTCAGCGCCCTCTCCACCCCTGAAAGAGCCTCCATGCACGTGTTGGCCGACTCCTGCATGGCTTCGCATCTATCTGCCGCAGCAGTGGGCCTATGAGGCAACTCAGCTATCACTCTCTCCCACGCGTACCTGCAATCTGCCATTCAGCGCCCGCTCCACCCCTGACAGTGCCTCCATGCGCGTGTTGGCCGACTCCTGCATCGCCTCTATCTGCCGCAGCAGCGGGCGGGTCGACTCCGGTATCCGAGCCACTAGCTCCTCGTGCCGAGCCTCCGCTGCCTGGCTCGGGAAAGCGGAAGGAATACAAGGAAGAGAAAAGAGGTTCGGAGAAGAGGTGACAGACAGGTTAAGGGCAAGTTTTCAGTCGACTCAAAAGGTGACAGACAGGTTAAGGGCAAGTTTTCAGTTGACTCAAAAGGTGACAGACAGGTTAAGGGCAAGTTTTCAGTCGACTCAAAAGGTGACAGACAGGTTAAGGGCAAGTTTTCAGTCGACTCAAAAGGTGACAGACATGTTAAGGGCAAGTTTTCAGTTGACTCAAAAGGTGACAGACAGGTTAAGGGCAAGTTTTCAGTCGACTCAAAAGGTGACAGACAGGTTAAGGGCAAGTTTTCAGTCGACTCAAAAGGTGACAGACAGGTGAAGGGCAAGTTTTAAGTCGACTCAAAAGGTGCAAGACAAATTAAGAGCAACAAGACATGAGAAGGCAGCAATGTCAGGACAGAAGGGAAGAATCAGGGAAAGGGAGAGAACAAGAAAGAGCAAGGCGTTTTGGAATCAGGTTTCACTTCGACTCACCTAGACCTCTTCTCTTTTCCAGCATCTGCTCTCTGAACCCTGGGGCTGATGTTGAGAGAAGAGAAGAGGTCGTGCTGAAAGAGTTCTCAAAAGCCTGCAGCTCGATCGTTATGAGATAGTTCAGAATTCTAAGGAAAGAGGTATTTAACTCACACCTGGCATCGCTTCTCCATGCCCTCCAGCTCTCGTCACAGCATCTGCTCTCGGACCCTGCCTGCTGTTTGTTCCTTGTAAGATACTTTAGAGTATGAACCAGAAGCGGTATATGACTCACCTGGCATTGCTTCTCCATGTCCTCAAGGTCCCTTCTGAGCATCTGCTATCGGAACCCTGCCTGCTGCTCGCTGTTCGTGAGAGCCTGCCTCTTGAGCCGACTCAGAGCACACAAACTACTCTGAATCAACTCACAGGTGATATAAACCCACCTGGCATCGCTTCTCCATGTCCTCCAGGTCCCTTCTGAGCATCTGCTCTCGGAACCCTGCCTGCTGCTCGCTGTTCGTGAGAGCCTGCCTCTTGAGCCGACTCAGAGCACACAAACTACTCTGAATCAACTCACAGGTGATATAAACCCACCTGGCATCGCTTCTCCATGTCCTCCAGGTCCCTTCTGAGCATCTGCTCTCGGAACCCTGCCTGCTGCTCGCTGTTCGTGAGAGCCTGCCTCTTGAACCGACTCAGAACACACAAACTATTCTGAATCAACTCACAGGTGATATAAACCCACCTGGCATCGCTTCTCCATGTCCTCAAGGTCCCTTCTGAGCATCTGCTATCGGAACCCTGGCTGCTGCTTGCTGTTCGTGAGAGCCTGCCTCTTGAGCCGACTCAGAACACACAAACTACTCTGAATCAACTCACAGGTGATATAAACCCACCTGGCATCGCTTCTCCATGTCCTCAAGGTCCCTTCTGAGCATCTGCTATCGGAACCCTGCCTGCTGCTCGCTGTTCGTGAGAGCCTGCCTCTTGAGCCGACTCAGAACACACAAACTACTCTGAATCAACTCACAGGTGATATAAATCCACCTGGCATCGCTTCTCCATGTCCTCAAGGTCCCTTCTGAGCATCTGCTATCGGAACCCTGCCTGCTGCTCGCTGTTCGTGAGAGCCTGCCTCTTGAGCCGACTCAGAGCACACAAACTACTCTGAATCAACTCACAGGTGATATAAACCCACCTGGCATCGCTTCTCCATGTCCTCAATGTCCCTTCTGAGCATCTGCTATCGGAACCCTGCCTGCTGCTCGCTGTTCGTGAGAGCCTGCCTCTTGAGCCGACTCAGAGCACACAAACTACTCTGAATCAACTCACAGGTGATATAAACCCACCTGGCATCGCTTCTCCATGTCCTCCAGGTCCCTTCTGAGCATCTGCTATCGGAACCCTGCCTGCTGCTCGCTGTTCGTGAGAGCCTGCCTCTTGAGCCGACTCAGAGCACACAAACTACTCTGAATCAACTCACAGGTGATATAAACCCACCTGGCATCGCTTCTCCATGTCCTCAATGTCCCTTCTGAGCATCTGCTATCGGAACCCTGCCTGCTGCTCGCTGTTCGTGAGAGCCTGCCTCTTGAGCCGACTCAGAACACACAAACTACTCTGAATCAACTCACAGGTGATATAAACCCACCTGGCATCGCTTCTCCATGTCCTCCAGGTCCCTTCTGAGCATCTGCTATCGGAACCCTGCCTGCTGCTCGCTGTTCGTGAGAGCCTGCCTCTTGAGCCGACTCAGAGCACACAAACTACTCTGAATCAACTCACAGGTGATATAAACCCACCTGGCATCGCTTCTCCATGTCCTCCAGGTCCCTTCTGAGCATCTGCTCTCGGAACCCTGCCTGCTGCTCGCTGTTCGTGAGAGCCTGCCTCTTGAGCCGACTCAGAGCACACAAACTACTCTGAATCAACTCACAGGTGATATAAACCCACCTGGCATCGCTTCTCCATGTCCTCAAGGTCCCTTCTGAGCATCTGCTCTCGGAACCCTGCCTGCTGCTCGCTGTTCGTGAGAGCCTGCCTCTTGAGCCGACTCAGAACACACAAACTACTCTGAATCAACTCACAGGTGATATAAACCCACCTGGCATCGCTTCTCCATGTCCTCCAGGTCCCTTCTGAGCATCTGCTATCGGAACCCTGCCTGCTGCTCGCTGTTCGTGAGAGCCTGCCTCTTGAGCCGACTCAGAACACACAAACTACTCTGAATCAACTCACAGGTGATATAAACCCACCTGGCATCGCTTCTCCATGTCCTCAATGTCCCTTCTGAGCATCTGCTATCGGAACCCTGCCTGCTGCTCGCTGTTCGTGAGAGCCTGCCTCTTGAGCCGACTCAGAACACACAAACTACTCTGAATCAACTCACAGGTGATATAAACCCACCTGGCATCGCTTCTCCATGTCCTCCAGGTCCCTTCTGAGCATCTGCTATCGGAACCCTGCCTGCTGCTCGCTGTTCGTGAGAGCCTGCCTCTTGAGCCGACTCAGAACACACAAACTACTCTGAATCAACTCACAGGTGATATAAACCCACCTGGCATCGCTTCTCCATGTCCTCAAGGTCCCTTCCGAGCATCTGCTATCGGAACCCTGCCTGCTGCTCGCTGTTCGTGAGAGCCTGCCTCTTGAGCCGACTCAGAGCACACAAACTACTCTGAATCAACTCACAGGTGATATAAACCCACCTGGCATCGCTTCTCCATGTCCTCCAGGTCCCTTCTGAGCATCTGCTATCGGAACCCTGCCTGCTGCTCGCTGTTCGTGAGAGCCTGCCTCTTGAGCCGACTCAGAACACACAAACTACTCTGAATCAACTCACAGGTGATATAAACCCACCTGGCATCGCTTCTCCATGTCCTCAAGGTCCCTTCCGAGCATCTGCTATCGGAACCCTGCCTGCTGCTCGCTGTTCGTGAGAGCCTGCCTCTTGAGCCGACTCAGAGCACACAAACTACTCTGAATCAACTCACAGGTGATATAAACCCACCTGGCATCGCTTCTCCATGTCCTCCAGGTCCCTTCTGAGCATCTGCTCTCGGAACCCTGCCTGCTGCTCGCTGTTCGTGAGAGCCTGCCTCTTGAGCCGACTCAGAGCACACAAACTACTCTGAATCAACTCACAGGTGATATAAACCCACCTGGCATCGCTTCTCCATGTCCTCAAGGTCCCTTCTGAGCATCTGCTCTCGGAACCCTGCCTGCTGCTCGCTGTTCGTGAGAGCCTGCCTCTTGAGCCGACTCAGAACACACAAACTACTCTGAATCAACTCACAGGTGATATAAACCCACCTGGCATCGCTTCTCCATGTCCTCCAGGTCCCTTCTGAGCATCTGCTATCGGAACCCTGCCTGCTGCTCGCTGTTCGTGAGAGCCTGCCTCTTGAGCCGACTCAGAACACACAAACTACTCTGAATCAACTCACAGGTGATATAAACCCACCTGGCATCGCTTCTCCATGTCCTCCAGGTCCCTTCTGAGCATCTGCTCTCGGAACCCTGCCTGCTGCTCGCTGTTCGTGAGAGCCTGCCTCTTGAGCCGACTCAGAACACACAAACTACTCTGAATCAACTCACAGGTGATATAAACCCACCTGGCATCGCTTCTCCATGTCCTCCAGGTCCCTTCTGAGCATCTGCTATCGGAACCCTGCCTGCTGCTCGCTGTTCGTGAGAGCCTGCCTCTTGAGCCGACTCAGAACACACAAACTACTCTGAATCAACTCACAGGTGATATAAACCCACCTGGCATTGCTTCTCCATGTCCTCCAGGTCCCTTCTGAGCATCTGCTATCGGAACCCTGCCTGCTGCTCGCTGTTCGTGAGAGCCTGCCTCTTGAGCCGACTCAGAGCACACAAACTACTCTGAATCAACTCACAGGTGATATAAACCCACCTGGCATCGCTTCTCCATGTCCTCCAGGTCCCTTCTGAGCATCTGCTCTCGGAACCCTGCCTGCTGCTCGCTGTTCGTGAGAGCCTGCCTCTTGAGCCGACTCAGAGCACACAAACTACTCTGAATCAACTCACAGGTGATATAAACCCACCTGGCATCGCTTCTCCATGTCCTCAAGGTCCCTTCTGAGCATCTGCTCTCGGAACCCTGCCTGCTGCTCGCTGTTCGTGAGAGCCTGCCTCTTGAGCCGACTCAGAACACACAAACTACTCTGAATCAACTCACAGGTGATATAAACCCACCTGGCATCGCTTCTCCATGTCCTCAATGTCCCTTCTGAGCATCTGCTATCAGAACCCTGCCTGCTGCTCGCTGTTCGTGAGAGCCTGCCTCTTGAGCCGACTCAGAACACACAAACTACTCTGAATCAACTCACAGGTGATATAAACCCACCTGGCATCGCTTCTCCATGTCCTCAATGTCCCTTCTGAGCATCTGCTATCGGAACCCTGCCTGCTGCTCGCTGTTCGTGAGAGCCTGCCTCTTGAGCCGACTCAGAACACACAAACTACTCTGAATCAACTCACAGGTGATATAAACCCACCTGGCATCGCTTCTCCATGTCCTCCAGGTCCCTTCTGAGCATCTGCTATCGGAACCCTGCCTGCTGCTCGCTGTTCGTGAGAGCCTGCCTCTTGAGCCGACTCAGAGCACACAAACTACTCTGAATCAACTCACAGGTGATATAAACCCACCTGGCATCGCTTCTCCATGTCCTCCAGGTCCCTTCTGAGCATCTGCTCTCGGAACCCTGCCTGCTGCTCGCTGTTCGTGAGAGCCTGCCTCTTGAGCCGACTCAGAGCACACAAACTACTCTGAATCAACTCACAGGTGATATAAACCCACCTGGCATCGCTTCTCCATGTCCTCAAGGTCCCTTCTGAGCATCTGCTCTCGGAACCCTGCCTGCTGCTCGCTGTTCGTGAGAGCCTGCCTCTTGAGCCGACTCAGAACACACAAACTACTCTGAATCAACTCACAGGTGATATAAACCCACCTGGCATCGCTTCTCCATGTCCTCCAGGTCCCTTCTGAGCATCTGCTATCGGAACCCTGCCTGCTGCTCGCTGTTCGTGAGAGCCTGCCTCTTGAGCCGACTCAGAACACACAAACTACTCTGAATCAACTCACAGGTGATATAAACCCACCTGGCATCGCTTCTCCATGTCCTCAATGTCCCTTCTGAGCATCTGCTATCAGAACCCTGCCTGCTGCTCGCTGTTCGTGAGAGCCTGCCTCTTGAGCCGACTCAGAACACACAAAATACTCTGAATCAACTCACAGGTGATATAAACCCACCTGGCATCGCTTCTCCATGTCCTCAATGTCCCTTCTGAGCATCTGCTATCAGAACCCTGCCTGCTGCTTGCTGTTCGTGAGAGCCTGCCTCTTGAGCCGACTCAGAACACACAAACTACTCTGAATCAACTCACAGGTGATATAAACCCACCTGGCATCGCTTCTCCATGTCCTCAATGTCCCTTCTGAGCATCTGCTATCAGAACCCTGCCTGCTGCTCGCTGTTCGTGAGAGCCTGCCTCTTGAGCCGACTCAGAACACACAAACTACTCTGAATCAACTCACAGGTGATATAAACCCACCTGGCATCGCTTCTCCATGTCCTCAATGTCCCTTCTGAGCATCTGCTCTCGGAACCCTGCCTGCTGCTCGCTGTTCGTGAGAGCCTGCCTCTTGAGCCGACTCAGAACACACAAACTACTCTGAATCAACTCACAGGTGATATAAACCCACCTGGCATCGCTTCTCCATGTCCTCCAGGTCCCTTCTGAGCATCTGCTATCGGAACCCTGCCTGCTGCTCGCTGTTCGTGAGAGCCTGCCTCTTGAGCCGACTCAGAACACACAAACTACTCTGAATCAACTCACAGGTGATATAAACCCACCTGGCATCGCTTCTCCATGTCCTCAATGTCCCTTCTGAGCATCTGCTATCAGAACCCTGCCTGCTGCTCGCTGTTCGTGAGAGCCTGCCTCTTGAGCCGACTCAGAACACACAAACTACTCTGAATCAACTCACAGGTGATATAAACCCACCTGGCATCGCTTCTCCATGTCCTCCAGGTCCCTTCTGAGCATCTGCTATCGGAACCCTGCCTGCTGCTCGCTGTTCGTGAGAGCCTGCCTCTTGAGCCGACTCAGAACACACAAACTACTCTGAATCAACTCACAGGTGATATAAACCCACCTGGCATCGCTTCTCCATGTCCTCAATGTCCCTTCTGAGCATCTGCTATCAGAACCCTGCCTGCTGCTCGCTGTTCGTGAGAGCCTGCCTCTTGAGCCGACTCAGAACACACAAACTACTCTGAATCAACTCACAGGTGATATAAACCCACCTGGCATCGCTTCTCCATGTCCTCAATGTCCCTTCTGAGCATCTGCTCTCGGAACCCTGCCTGCTGCTCGCTGTTCGTGAGAGCCTGCCTCTTGAGCCGACTCAGAACACACAAACTACTCTGAATCAACTCACAGGTGATATAAACCCACCTGGCATCGCTTCTCCATGTCCTCCAGGTCCCTTCTGAGCATCTGCTATCGGAACCCTGCCTGCTGCTCGCTGTTCGTGAGAGCCTGCCTCTTGAGCCGACTCAGAACACACAAACTACTCTGAATCAACTCACAGGTGATATAAACCCACCTGGCATCGCTTCTCCATGTCCTCAATGTCCCTTCTGAGCATCTGCTATCAGAACCCTGCCTGCTGCTCGCTGTTCGTGAGAGCCTGCCTCTTGAGCCGACTCAGAACACACAAACTACTCTGAATCAACTCACAGGTGATATAAACCCACCTGGCATCGCTTCTCCATGTCCTCAATGTCCCTTCTGAGCATCTGCTATCGGAACCCTGCCTGCTGCTCGCTGTTCGTGAGAGCCTGCCTCTTGAGCCGACTCAGAACACACAAACTACTCTGAATCAACTCACAGGTGATATAAACCCACCTGGCATCGCTTCTCCATGTCCTCAATGTCCCTTCTGAGCATCTGCTATCAGAACCCTGCCTGCTGCTCGCTGTTCGTGAGAGCCTGCCTCTTGAGCCGACTCAGAACACACAAACTACTCTGAATCAACTCACAGGTGATATAAACCCACCTGGCATCGCTTCTCCATGTCCTCAAGGTCCCTTCTGAGCATCTGCTATCGGAACCCTGCTTGCTGCTCGCTGTTCGTGAGAGCCTGCCTCTTGAGCCGACTCAGAACACACAAACTACTCTGAATCAACTCACAGGTGATATAAACCCACCTGGCATCGCTTCTCTTTGTCCTCAAGGTCCCTTCTGAGCATCTGCTATCAGAACCCTGCCTGCTGCTCGCTGTTCGTGAGAGCCTGCCTCTTGAGCCGATTCAGAACACACAAACTACTCTGAATCAACTCACAGGTGATATAAACCCACCTGGCATCGCTTCTCCATGTCCTCCAAATCCCTCCGCAGCATCTGCTCTCGGAACCCTGCCTGCTGCTCGCTCCTTGTGAGAGCCTGCCGGAGCTCCTCCACAGTCATCACCAGCGCCCTCTCCCTCTCCCCCGCCTCCCTCAACTTCCTCCCCGCCTCTGCCTTTGCCTCTCAACTCACCTGGCTGGCACCGCTTCTCCATATCCTCAAAGGTTGAAATCGGTTGAGGGAGAGACAGACGGGGGAGAGACAGAGCGTCTTTCAACTCACCTGGCATCGCTTCTCCATATCCTCCAAATCCCTCCGCAGCATCTGCTCTCGGAACCCTGCCTGCTGCTCGCTCCTTGTGAGAGCCTGCCGGAGCTCCTCCACAGTCATCACCAGCGCCCTCTCCCTCTCCCCCGCCTCCCTCAACCTCCTCTCCGCCTCCGCCTTTGCTTCTCAACTCACCTGGATGGCACCATTTCTTCACATCCTCAAAGGGGGGTGAGAGCGGGTGAGGGAGAGTGTTTTCAAACCCACCTGGCATCGCTTCTCCATGTCCTCAAGGTCCCTCCTCAGCATCTGCTCCCGGAACCCCGCCTGCTGCTCGCTCCTTGTGAGAGCCTGCCGGAGCTCCTCCACAGTCATCACCAGCGCCCTCTCCCTCTCCCCCGCCTCCCTCAACTTCCTCCCCGCCTCTGCTTCTCAACTCACCTGGCTCGTATCTCTTCTCCATATCCTCAAGGAGTGAGAACAGGTGAGGGGGAGACGGACGGGGAACAGACCGAGTGTTTTTTTCAGCTCACCTGGCACCTTTTCTCCATGTCCTCAAGGTCCCGCCGCAGCATCTGCTCTCGGAACCCTGCCTGCTGCTCGCTCCTTGTGAGAGCCTGCCGGAGCTCCTCCACAGTCATCACCAGCGCCCTCTCCCTCTCCCCCGCCTCCCTCAACTTCCTCTCTGCCTCCGCCTTTGCTTCGCTGTCCGCCCGCGCCTCTGCTGCTGCCTGCGCCTCCCGGGCAGCTGAAAGGGCAGAAACGTAGAAGTCTTTTTGGGCGGCGAGATCCGCCTGCCCGCGTTCTACTGCGTCTTGAAGCGCCTTTTCGGTGGCTGCTTTGTCTTTCTTGATGCTCTCCACTCGAGCTTCCTCCACTTGCAGCCGATTTTGTAGCCGCGTCCTTTCCTCCTCCATCTCCCGGAGCTGCAAGGAGGGGGGAAAAGGTGAACAGAGCGAAGGACAACGGGGAAGGGAGGTAAGAGAGCCTATTTGGTGGCTGCTTTGTCTTGATTGATGCTCGTGCCTCTTCCACTCGAAGCCGATTTTGCAGCAGCCGGGTCCTTTCCTCCTCGTTTTGAGACGCCTGAACACTTGGAGCCGATTTTGCAGCAGCCGGGTCCTTTCCTCCTCCATATCTCGGAGCTGAAAGGAGGGAAACGCAGGGAGGAGAGTGAGGCAACGCAAGTCAGATCTCTCTATGCTTGCCACTCCAATCCACTCCACTCGAGCCTCTTGCAGTTAAAGCCGAGACGGCAGATAGACACGCCTCCACCTCCACATCCATGGAAATCACTTTTGAGAATTCTCAATATTGATTTCTCTATGCTCGTCACTCCACTCCACTCCACTCGAGCCTCTTGCAGTTAAAGCCGAGACGGCAGATAGACACGCCTCCACCTCCACATCCATGGAAATCACTTTTGAGAATTCTCAATATTGATTTCTCTATGCTCGTCACTCCACTCCACTCCACTCGAGCCTCTTGCAGTTAAAGCCGAGACGGCAGATAGACACGCCTCCACCTCCACATCCATGGAAATCACTTTTGAGAATTCTCAATATTGATTTCTCTATGCTCGTCACTCCACTCCACTCCACTCGAGCCTCTTGCAGTTAAAGCCGAGACGGCAGATAGACACGCCTCCACCTCCACATCCATGGAAATCACTTTTGAGAATTCTCAATATTGATTTCTCTATGCTCGTCACTCCACTCCACTCCACTCGAGCCTCTTGCAGTTAAAGCCGAGACGGCAGATAGACACGCCTCCACCTCCACATCCATGGAAATCACTTTTGAGAATTCTCAATATTGATTTCTCTATGCTCGTCACTCCACTCCACTCCACTCGAGCCTCTTGCAGTTAAAGCCGAGACGGCAGATAGACACGCCTCCACCTCCACATCCATGGAAATCACTTTTGAGAATTCTCAATATTGATTTCTCTATGCTCGTCACTCCACTCCACTCCACTCGAGCCTCTTGCAGTTAAAGCCGAGACGGCAGATAGACACGCCTCCACCTCCACATCCAACTTCCCGAGTGTTAAAGAGAAAAGAGACGCAAAGCAGAATAAAGAAAAAAGAGATCGGGAGAAGTGCGAGGAGGAACAGGGCTGGGAGGGAAACGTATCACCTAGTTGGCATCTGGTTGTGGAAGAGGAAACTTGAAGCAGCTGTTGGCATCTAGAACTGACAAGGGAGAGGAAGCTTCTGTGCACCTACCTGAGTGCGGAGCTTCTTCATGGCCCCTTCCTGTGCGGCCTGTTTCTTGGAAAGTTCCTCGCCTGCACAGTGACAGGAGGAGAAGCACACAGCAATACATGCGTGTAAATGAAAGAGACCGTACGGAGGGAATGAAAGAGATCGTACATGATGTGGGTGAGTGAGCGAGTGAGTGAGTGAGTGAGTGAGTGCACAGGCTACATTTTCACGCGTTTTTCGCGCATACGTACGTGTGTGAGAGAGAAGCACAGATCGCATTAGTGGGGGCATTGAGAAGCCAGTCATGTGATGCATGATTTGAAGTGTAGGAGTCAAAAGCCACTCACAAACAAGTTTTCCACCAACCTTCCGAGGCGATTTTCGAGGCACCTCAACTCAAAAAGCACAGATTGTATGAGTGAGGGCATCAAGAGGCCAGTCATGTGATGCATGAATTGAGGCGCCTCAAAGCCAGTCATGTGATGCATGATTCGAAGCGTGGGATTCAAAGGCCGCTCACAAACTGGTTTTCCACCCACCTTCCGCCATGACCTGGCGGATGATTTCATCCTTCTCCTTCGGCAGCTAAATGCACTTCACCTCCACTCCCCCACCATCTCACTCACTCCTACCGCCCGGAAACACCCACCTCTGCCCCCCATTCTGTGTCAGTGCCCCAACCCAAACACCCCCCCCACCTTCCGCCATGACCTGGCGGATAATCTCATCCTTCTCCTTCAAAAGACGAATGCACAGCGCCTCCCCTCCACCATCTCTCACTGTGATTGCCCCCCAAACACCCACCTTCCGCCATGACCTGGCGGGTAATCTCATTCTTCTCCTTCAGCAGCTGAATGCACTGCAACTCCACTCGCCCACCATCTCAACTCCTATCTCCCCATCCATCCACCATCTCTCCTCAACCACCCACCTTCCGCCATGACCTGGCGGATAATCTCACCCTTCTCCTTCAGCAGACGAATACAAACCACCTTCTGTCACTGCGATTGCCCCCCAAGCACCCACCTTCCGCCATGACCTGGCGTATGATCTCATCCTTCTCCTTCAGAAGCGTCGACGTGTCTGCCTTGCGGCTCTGCTCCCGCCGTAGCATGTCCCGCTCCTTGGTCAGCGCGTACACCTGGAACGCAAAGAGGTGGGGGTATGCACGTGCTGACTCGAGTCAACTAAAAAGTCAACGAGGTGGGTATGCACATGTGCGTGTGTTGGAGAGGAAGAGAGAGGCTTGGCGAATCTGCTTTCACTCCGCCTTCCGGCTCTGTTCCCGCCGCTGCATGTCCCGCTCCTTGGTCAGAGCATACACGTGGAATGAGGAAAGTGGTGGAGAAGAAGAGCCAAGTAAGCACGAAAGCGAGGGTGGGCTGGAGAGGCAGGCATTGATTGGTTAGTCCGCTCTCCTGCTCTGCTCTAAACCCCGTCGCTGCATGTCCTCCCTCTCCTCCTTGCCCCGTCGCTGCATGTCCCTCTCCTCCTTGGTCAGCGCATACACATGGAATGGGGAAAGCTGGTAAGGGGGGGGGGGGTACTATATGCCATGGTATAACATGTGGATAAAAGCCTCAGAAGCTGCACTCACCTTGGTGAGGTGAGTTTTGAGACGTCTCAAAACTAAAGCTGGTAAGGGGGGGGTACTATACGCCATGGTATAACCCTATGAATAAAAACCTCAAGTTTTGAGGCGCCTCAAAACTCGTCTTTTGAGGCGCCTCAAGGCGGGGGGGGGGTACTATACGCCATGGTATAACCCTGTGAATAAAAACCTCAGAAGCTGCACTCACCTTGGTGAGGTGACTTTTGAGTCGACTAAAAAGGGGAAAGCTTTTGAGTCGACTCAAAAGGGGAAAGCTTTTGAGTCGACTCAAAAGGGGAAAGCAGGTAAGGGGGGGGTACTATACGCCATGGTATATCCATGTGAATAAAAACCTCAGAAGCTGCACTTAGCTTGGTGAGGTGAGAATCGGTTATCACAGCAGATGCATACGAGACATTGCATCACATCACACACCATGAATGTTAGTTTTGAGGCGCCTCAAAACTGCTGTGCACCTATCTTGGTGAGGTGAGAGTCAGTCATCTCAGCAGATGCATACGAGACATTGCATCAAACCATGAGAGCTATGCGGATAGAAATTAAAGCTTGGGTAGTACTATTGAAAGGGATAGAGCACAACACAACACGGCCGCATTTCCCATAAGCACAGAGCCCAGAGACTAGTGTGAAGCTACAAGTATTTTCATCACCTGCCCGGCCCAGCACTCACCTTTCTTTCAGCTGCCCCCAGTCGGTGCTGGTACTCCTCCCGTAGAGCTTCCAGCTCTGCATCATTGTTCATTTTTGCCTGCCCGAGGGGAAGGAGAGGGGGAGAGGTGGGGGGAAAGGTCAGAGAGGGAGCACAATGAACAACCTGCTGGTACTCCTCCCGTAGAGCTTCCAGCTCTGCATCATTGTTCATTTTTGCCTGCCCGAGAGAGAAGGAGAGGGGGAGAGGTGGGGGGAAAGGTCAGAGAGGGAGCACAATGAACAACCTGCTGGTACTCCTCCCGTAGAGCTTCCATCTCTGCATCATTGTTCATTTTTGCCTGCCCGAGAGAGTAAGAACAGAAGCGAATCAGGGGGAGTTGGGGGGGAAGCAAACAGATGCAGCAACAAGGGAACAATTCTTTTTGGTTAATAATAATAGTAACGATAAGGAAAACAGTATGGAAAGGTGCGAAATGTTGACCATTTTCTGAGCCTATTCCGAACCTCATCTTCCAGTCCTCCAGTTCGGCCCGAAGCTCGTCATTCACAGTCATTGCTCTCGCCAGTTCGTCCGCCTTGGTCTGTGCCTGCCTGCCCGCATACTGCAGGGCACTCTCCATGGTCGCCAGTTCCATCTTCACTCTCACCACTCTCACCAATTCTGCTTGAAGCTGCTTGGAGCTCTTTCTACACGATAACATCTCTTTTTTCCTCGCGTCTCAACTGACTGCTGAACTCGCATAGACCCTGCCCCATTCTCACCTTCCAGTCCTCCAGCTCAGCCCGAAGCTCGTCATTCACAGTCATTGCTCGCGCCAGTTCGTCCACCTTGGTCCGAGCCTGCTTGCCCGCCTTCCTACCTGTCTGCCTGCTGCAAACCACTTGCCCAGTCTCTCACCTTCCAGTCCTCCAGTTCGGCCCGAAGCTCATCATTCACAGTCATCGCTTTGGCGAGCTCGTCCGCCTTGGTCTGTGCCTGCCTGCCCGCATTCTGCAGTGCACTCTCCATGGTTGCCAGTTCCATCTTCACTCTCACCAACTCCGCTTGCAGCTCGGACGAAAGAGCATCTGCCACTGCTGCCGCTGCTGCTGATGATGCCTTTTCTGTAGACAAAGCTTCTGCTGCCGCTGCTGCTGCTGCTGCTGCTGATGTTTCAGCAGAAAGTAATTCTGCTGCTTCTGTATCTGCTCCGGCAACAAACGCTGCCTCTTCAACGTATGAACCTTCTTCTGCAGCTGCTGCTGCTGGTGTTTCAGCGGGTGCTGCTGCTGCTAGCGTTTCTGCTGCTGCTGCTGCCGCCGCTGCTGTTGCATCACCTCCCATCCCTGCCGCTGCAGCATCCACTAGAAAAACTGCGCTTGTTGTTGCTTCCCCATTAACCAGCCCAGCTGCCCCCTCCTTCCCTGGACCTTCACCAGAAAAAACGGCCTCTCCCTCAGCCTCACCGCTGCCCACAGTCCATCCATTCCCATCCGGAGCAACTGCCCCCACTTTCTCAACTCCTTCCATTTTCTCAACCTGAAATTCGTCCACAACCGGGCTCACAAGGCCATTCGCAGCAGCAGCATGCCCTCCTTCTCCCCGCACTCCTTCCCCTCCCTCTGGAGCAGCTTCAGCAGCTGCCACAGCTTCAGTAGCTTCAGCAGAAGCTGCAGCAGCTTCAGCTTCAGTAGCTTCGCCAGAAGCTGCGGCTTCGGAAGCTTCAGCAGTGGCTGGAGCAGCAGACGCCAGTCTTTCCTCTGGCGGCACATCCGCCCCCTCCCCTGCATCCGCCTGCCCTGGATCTGCCTCCCCTGAGCCCGCCTCCCCTGCATCCGTCTCCCCTGCATCTGCCTCCCCTGAATCTCCCTCCGCTGCTACATCATTCTGCGTTACCACTTTCTCCTCCTCTGCCCCGGATTCTTGATTCAAAGACCTCCTTCCCTCTTCACTCACCTGTGCATCAGCTTCAGAGCCCTTTTCGCCTCCTGCAATGGAAAAAACTGCTGCTGCAGCAGCATCCGAACCGCTCTCCGCTGCAGACCCCCTCTCTGCAGCTGCTTCTTCACCTGCCGCTGCCTCGATTTCAGAAGCCGCCTGAGCACCATCCGCTATAGGGCTAGCAGCAACAGGAACGAGAGGGACAGTGGCGGCAGCTGCTGCAGGAGACGCAGAGAATGCAGAAGAAGAAGCATCACCGAATGGTGATCTGACTGGTGACTTGATCGGTGACCTAACTGGTGGAGACAGGAAGGGTTTGATGGGGGAAGGCGCAGGGGCGGCCTCCCCGTCCTCCTCCCCATCCCCTTCCCCGTCGTCTATGCTGAAAACTCCCTCTGATGCTGCTTCGAACCCGCTGAATGGCAGAGGCGTGGAGGACGCATTAGCTGCCGCAGCAGCTGAGGCACCGTCAGCACCTGCCCCAATAGTACCTGCCCCAGCGGTACCTGCCCCAGCACCAGCATCAACAGCAGCACTGTCCGCAGATACACCAGCGGCAGAACCAGCACCGGCAGCGTCATCCCCTGCAGCATCCTCTGATTTCTTAAAGCCATCTTTCAATCCAGCATCTGCATTAACGGGGGCTGCATCTTCCCCGTTCGTTATAACGTCTTCCTCTTCAATCACTGCAGCCCACCCGTCCCCTTCCTCTGCCGAATTCCCTCCCATTCCTGCAACAGCTTCGCCTTCTGCCGAACCTGGTGTAGGTTTGGGCTCTTCCTCGACCTCCGGTTCGGCAACAGCTTCAGCCGTAGCTGCGGCAACAGGCTCGGGGGCAGAGGTTGCTGATTCAGCATCCGGCTTGTCGCCTAGACGAGGACTGGCAGGAACCGTGGCCCGGTTACCAGGTAACACCTCCTCATCTATCGCCCACCCTGCTCCTCCCTCCTCGTCCTCTTCTACCTTCACTACATCGCCTGCTCCTTTCACAGCACCGCTTGACACCTCTTGGTTTGCTACCGCTGCTGATGAGGCAATCTGGAGCGAAGAGTCAACTCCCGGTGAAGCCACTGGCGCTGCTGCTGCTGCGTCTCCTGCTGAGATCACAGCTGACGTATCCACGGCCGTCGACCCATTTGGTGCAGCCTCAGATGTCACCAGAGCAGCCTCACCAGCTCCTTCTCTTGCTCCTCCTGCTGCTGCTGCTGCTGCTGCTGCTGCTGCTTCGACCTCAGCCTGTGGCTTGGTGAGCTTTCCTTTGACGAGCTTCACGATCTTGGTTGGCTTCTTCTCCACCTTCTTCTCCTCCTCCTTCACCACTTCGGAATTTCCCTCACTGCCCTTTCCATCACCCAAGACCTCAGTAGCAGTAGCAATATCAGTAGCAGCAGGAGGTTCAGCAGCGGCAGTAGCAGCAGCAGGTGCAGCGGCAGCGGCAGCACTCTTAGCAGTGGGACGCAGAGGCCGGGTCAGTTTGCTAGCTCCCAGCTTCTTCGCTCCAAGCTTGCCCTCCGGTTTCGCACCTCCACCCACTGCCGCCTTCGCCTCTGCTTCCTTTCCCTTAGCCGAAACCCCTGCTGCTCCCCCTGCTGCTGAACCTTCCCCTGCTGCTGCTGATGCAGTGGTTCTCGCAGGGGAGGCTTGAGCTGCTTCAGTGACGGGCTTTGAAGCTGCTTTCTCGGGTGTTTTAAAGCCCGCTGACGCCTCCTGGGCCTTCGCTTTCGCTGGAGAAGCGGCGGAAGGAGCAGTGGCGGCAGGAGCAGAAGCTCGAGCGATGGCTGTGGAAGGCGAGGGAGCTGTTCGAGCGCCATCTGTGGTTGCTCTTGGCTTGGTGGTCTGAGAGGACGAGCTCGCTGCTGGCTTGTCTGAAATTCGAAGAGAATTATGATGGGAGGTACGGGAAGAACGGAGAGAATCAGATATGTGGGGGGGAAGGGAGCAGTTCGAGCGCCACCTGTGGTTGCTCTGGGCTTGGTGGTCTGAGAGGACGAGCTCGCTGCTGGCTTGTCTGAAACGCGTACGAGACACGGGAGACACGGGAGGGAAGGAGTGGACCAGAATACTTGTCAAGAGCATCAAGCAGCGAAGCATCGGAAATATAGATTTTGAAGCCAGAATCAACACGGGCTAAGACTGAAACATCATGAGCCGAAGGCAAGGCGACGCAATTCTCCGCAACTGCATTTGCGGAAAATGACGATTCGGAGACGAAAGATAAAGGCCGTTTTCGAATCGGTCACCAGGCCTAACTCATCGTAGCACATACCCGCATCCTGAATCAGCTACACTGCGAAGAATACAAACTTTATTCATTGTCACTCAACTCTAGAATCACCAAAACTGGCGTAACAAAACCGTCAAATGGTTAATGATAGAATCGAAGGCCATCGTGAATGATAGATTTAAAGGCCTGAAAGTCTGGGTAACCGGGTTCCGACCTTCGATGACGGGAGGGAGGAAGTCGAGGCCCGGTCCGCCGTCGACTTCTGATCCTTGAGTCGACTCATATGAGTCGATTCATTTTTGAGACGGCTCATTTTTTAGTCGACTCAAAAATCCTGATAGGGTGGGTCCCAACCTTCGATGACAGGAGGAAGGAAGTCGAGACCGAGCCCGCCGTCGAATCCCGACGTGTCAATGTTCATAACCGTTTCGCTCAGCTTGTTCACCGCTCCCGCAATGTCCGGGAGCTCTCCCAGGCCGAGCGACGTCACCTGCGCTGAGAACCAATCCATGGCTGCTGCTTCTGCTGCGAACACAATGAACCCCCGTTACTGATTTGATTATCGGCAAACGGTAAGATCAGGATTCGAGCTGTATGCTTCTGCAACGGTCTACGGGAGGTCCATCAGCATCGCGAATCTGCGTGAGCCTGAAACTTCATAACACCGCCAGGGCTACAGAGTTCACCGCTATAGAAATCCAAGACGAACTGAAAATATACGAGCTTCGACGAAGTCAGCGGGCGACGTTGATTGATGAACGACCGACTACTCAACCCTCCTACCCAGACCCGAAAACCAGGAGCACAGGCCTGCAATCATAATAAAGTCACCGTAATCTGTTTCTGTGTTGATGGCGATGGCAGACATGACACTTTCTAGGCTTTCTGGCGACACTTCCAAGGTGCGGAAAATGGAAGCTGAATGCGGGACACAAGGGAAATCAGATAGATTTGACGGGCTTTATACAATACAAAGGAGAGGCTAGTAGCGGGCGTTTGACGGATTGGCGGGAAAATGGTCCCAGCAATGGCACGGAAAGGTTGTTGGCGAATTCCACTGACAGTCCAAGTTCGTGGCGCGAGATGGTGACAAAAACGAGGGCCCCGTTTGTGGATAATAAAGTAGAACAGTGACACCATCGACACCGCACATCAACTAAATGGAGAACATTATAACATCTAATGATAAGCAATCAGCCATTTCTCATGCAATCAGTCTACAGCTTGACATCAAATGGAGCGGGAGAAAATACACTGAGCCATTAATGGCGTGTAGAGCGGCAGAGCCTTGTCAACAGGAGGAAATGGGCAAATCTCAACATAAGACCAATGCTAAAGAGGATAGCCACGCATTGCCACTTGTCAAGCTGTGTTAGGCCCAGATAAAATGCTGCCAGTTCAGGACCGGTCTGAAGACAGGTGGATGTCGACACCTCAGCAAACGGGGAGCCAACCAGTGCAGGACGCAGTGCGACTAGTGACCTTTGAACATCCACTTCATCGAGCAGAACCGAGAGTGGTGTAGAGGAGTAGATATCACGTGCAGAAAGGTAACACAGCGAGGTCACCCGGTCAAACTCGTTAAGAGCAAGCGCCTCATAAGCGTATTTCAGCGGAGAAATGTAGTGTAGCCAGAGCCAGTAAGAGGGAATGCTGGCTCGCTCTATATAAAAGCCGCAGACGAGGGCAAAGTTGGCCAAAACGGTGATGACCACCGCATAAGCGAGAATGACACTGCGTGGGTGATGATGGTGGGAAAGAGAGGGAGAAGGAAAAGAAAGGAGAAGGATTATACAAGTGAAGGGTGATGGCACTGCCAAAGAAACCGGAGAAGGAAGAAACAGGTGATCGGCGAATGGAGGGAACGAGGGAGGGAGGGAGAACAGGAGAGGGGAAATCATGGTTCCGTGGCAAAAGAAAGAAAAGATTATAAAAAGGGGAAAACGTACTTGTTGACTGTGGCACTAACGAATGTGGCAATGGCATTCCCTGTGAAGAGGCAGCAGAAGCACACGAGCACCATAAAGGCCAGCCCTGCCGTCCCCCCGGTGAGACTGAGGCACCACCAGGCCTCGAGGGTGATGGCGAGGGACATGAGGAGGTGCAGAGGCAGGTAGACGAGCGTGGAGGCCAGCAGGTACGTGGACGAGCGGTACGCGTTGTGCGTCGTCTCCCGCACAAATATGTTGCGCTCCTGAAAGGGGAGATGAGCGTTGGAGAGGGGGGAATGGGGAGGGGTATGAGGAGAGAAGGATTGAGAGCCGGTGAGCCGTGAGGGAAGCACCACAAGTAGCATCCGGGCCAGCCCTGCCAGGCTCCCGGTGAGTGAGTGAGACTGAGGCACCACCAGGCCTCGAGGGTGATGGCGAGGGACATGAGGAGGTGCAGAGGCAGGTAGACGAGCGTGGAGGCCAGCAGGTACGTGGACGGGCGGTACGCGTTGTGCGTCGTCTCCCGCACAAATATGTTGTGCTCCTGAGGGGGAGGGAGGGAGGGAGGGAGGGAGGGAGGGAGGGAGGGAGAGGGGGGAGTGGGGTGTGGACTCAACTCACACACGAGCGAATCTCTTGCGCTCCTGGTTGTTGGAGAATGTGAGAAGAGGCATGCCTACTCTGAGTGAGATGGACATCCACAAGAAAAAGACCGAGTCAACTGGGTCAACCAAGTCAACTGGGTCAACTGAGTCAACTGGGTCAACCGAGTCAACTGGGTCAACCGAGTCAACTGGGTCAACGGAGTCAACTGGGTCAACGGAGTCAACTGGGTCAACGGAGTCAACTGGGTCAACGGAGTCAACGGTCAAGACTCACTTGTATGAAGAGGGGAGTTGCATCCCCAGAGGAGAAGAAGAGCGTGCATGTGAGGACAAAGCTGACTGAGTCAACTAAGTCGACTGAGTCAAATCAACCATCAACACTCACTAGTATGAAGAGCGGAGTTGCATCCCCAGAGGAGAAGAAGAGTGTGCATGTGAGGACAAAGCTGACTGAGTCAACCAAGTCAACTGAGTCAATCAACCGTCAAGACTCACCTGTATGAAGAGCGGAGTTGCATCACCAGAGGAGAAGAAGAGCGTACACGTGAGGAAGGCAATGAAGGCCAGACGCTCGTGCACTCCACGTGTGCTGTGGTTGAGGGGAAGTTTGGAAGGGGGGGAGGGAAGAGAAGGCAATAAGGACGGATAGATGGATAAATGGAGAGGGAGGGAGAGAGCGACAGGAAAGCCTTAGATTCGACCAGAAAAAGGAGTCGGAACAAAGTGGCTGACTCACTTGAACTCTGGCTGCCAGAAGAGCGACGCTATAAGCAGCCCCGTTATCATGATCAACAGCAGGCGCAGCAGGTACAGCGCTGGAGTCCGGCGAATCATAATAGCCGACCGGGCTGTCAGCACCCACAGCTCCCTCCACCACCCATTCGCATACTTTCCCTGCTGCCTCCCCACACTTCCCTGCCCCTCCTCCTCCGCCTCCTTCTCCTCCTCTTTTTCCTCGCTCTCATCGCTCCTCTGTAGCTCCTTCTGCTGCTTCTGTTCGGTGCTGGTAGTGCTGCTGCTGGTGCTGTCGCTGCTGATGCTCGCGCTGCTGCTGCTGGTGCTCACAGTGCTCTTGTTACTCGAGCTGGTAATCAGCTCCAAAGAAGGAATATCCGATCCACTGTTGCTCGTGCTCCCGTTCTCATCTCCACTCACACAGGAGCTGCTCCTCTTTCCGTCTCCCCTTTCACCAATCCCTGCTCCTTTTGCTCCTTGCTCTCCCACTGCTTCTTGGGGGTTGCTCTCCATGCCCTTCGATCCTGCTCTTGCAGCCTTTGTTCTCACCCATTCCCGGTGGAACTCGGCCAATCGCTGGATGCCAGGTGTACCAGCACCACCGTTGGCCTGAGTCTCACCGTTCACCTTCACCCCACCCTGTGCCTCTACATCCTCCTCCTCTCCCCCTTTTAATCTCTCCTGTCCCTCGTGCCCATCCTCTCCCTTTTTTCCCTGTCTTCCCTCTCCGTGGCCTCTTGTCCTTCCCAGGCCTTTTTGCTCACCCTCCACGCCCTGCCCTTCCTGCTGCCCTTCCATCTGCAATGACTGGATAAGATCAAGTGTGAACTCCACTGGGTTGGAAAAGGGCGGAGCTGGGCAGCCAAAATCCGTGAGGTAGCCTGGCAGCTCGGACGGGCAGCCTGAAAAAACCGTGTGCCCGGATCCGAGGAGAAGGAGGTTGTCGAGGAGATTGAGGACCCTGAAACTGGGCTGGAGGTGCGAAGAGGAACAGGAATGGGGAGGGAGAGAAGTAGAAACACCTTTGTAAACGATATATTAACATTATCAAGGTATAAGTTTGAAGGGCAAGAAAAATGCATCGGGCATAGCTCCAAATAGTCCCTGAGTCTCACTCACCTGATGCAGCACCATGAGCACGATGCTGCTTCGCAACCTCGCCACGTCCCGGACTGCCTTCACCACGTGGAAGGCACAGGTGGAGTCGAGGCCAGAGGTGGGCTCGTCTAGGAAGAGCAGCAATCAACCCCAGACCAGAGTCACCTGGTGCTCTATGCCTCAGCTGCATCCAAGCCTCACCTGATGCAGCGCCATAAGCCCTATTCTCTGGCGCATTCTGGCCACGTCCCGGACAGCTTTCACCACGTGGAAGGCACAGGTGGAGTCGAGGCCAGATGTGGGCTCGTCCCAGAAGAGCAGCAATCAACCCCAGACCAGAGTCACCTGGTGCTCTATGCCTCAGCTGCATCCAAGCCTCACCTGATGCAGCGCCATAAGCCCTATTCACTGGCGCATTCTGGCCACGTCCCGGACAGCTTTCACCACGTGGAAGGCACAGGTGGAGTCGAGGCCAGATGTGGGCTCGTCCCAGAAGAGCAGCAATCAACCCCAGACCAGAGTCACCTGGTGCTCTATGAATCAGCTGCATCCAAGCCTCACCTGATGCAGCGCCATAAGCCCTATTCTCTGGCGCATTCTGGCCACGTCCCGAACAGCTTTCACCACGTGGAAGGCACAGGTGGAGTGGAGACCACACTGGTACGAAACCTCACTGGTGCATTCAGTCTCACCTGGTGCAGCACCATGAGCACTATGCTGCTTCGCAGTCTGGCCACGTCCCGCACAGCCTTGACCACGTGGAAGGCACAGGTGGAGTCAAGACCAGAGGTGGGCTCGTCTAGGAAAAGCAGCGAGGGGTCTCCCACCATCTCCACCCCTATCGCCACCCTCTTGCGCTCGCCACCCGAAACGCCCCTGAGAGGAGAGGAGTGAATAAGAGTGAATAGGGATAGTGGGGAGGGAGTAGTATGGGTTGAGTACTAACATTTGGGGTCTCCCACCGTCTCCACTCCTATCGCCACCCTCTTGAGCTCGCCGCCTGACACACCTCTGAAGGGAGGGGAGATGAGGAGGCAAGGGCAAAGGGAGAGATCGTACGTAGCTACTACCAGCAGCAGCGTGGGATCCCCCACCATCTTCACCCTCTTGCCCTCCGCCCCACTCTGCCAGCCAGCACCCTCATGCCATGCCACACCCTCAGTTCACGTACCGCCTGTTCTCATCACCAATGCGGGAATCCGCCACTCGAGTGAGCCCCAGCAGGCGCATCAGCCCCTCCACCTTCTCCTCCTTGGCCCGCCGCCCCACCCTGCCCAGCCGCCAGCACCCACATGCCATGCCACACCCTCAGTTCACGTACCTCCTGTTCTCATCACCAATGCGGGAGTCCGCCACTCGAGTGAGCCCCAGAAGCCGCATCAGCCCCTCCACCTTCTCCTCCTTGGCCCTCCGCCCCACCCTGCCATTCCCCAGCCTCAGCTCGGCCGCAAACAGCAGCGTCTCGCGCACTGTGAGCGCGGGGAACAGCAGGTCGTCCTGCATCACATAGGCTGACACCCGCCTCATTGTGCTAGCAGTCACTGGTGCTCCGTTTAGAGTTATTGAAGGGGAGAGGGCGGTGGTGGAAGAGGAGAGAGCAGCCACTGGGGCCCCGTTTAGAGGAGTGGTCGTGGGAGGAGTGACAGAAGCCGGAGAGGTGAGGAAAGGAGGAGGGAGAGGAGATGCGGAGGGAGAGGAGGAGGGTGTGGGACGGGCATCTGGAGTGGATGGGAGGGAGATGCGGTGGGAGAGGAAGTCTAGGAGAGTGGTTTTGCCGGACCCACTGGCTCCCATGATTGCTGTCACCTGCCCTGCCTTGGCAGACCCTGATATCCCCTGCAGGATGTTTCGCCGCTGCTGCTGCTGCTGCTGCTGCTGCTGCCGCTGCTGCTGCTGCTGCTGGCCAGACTGCTGATTGTGACTGTATGGAGCTTGACTGTGCCGAGAGGTGTGCAAAGGCGCATCAGGGGGGGTACCTGCAGCCGTGCCGTTGCGAGAAGTGGAGGAGCAGCAGCGGGAGGGGATGGCAGGGAGGAAGGCTAGTGGATGGCACCGAATGGCGACAGAGTAGGAGATGTTGTGGAAGCACAGAGAGGAGGCGGTGGTGGGAGGAGACGAGCGGAGGGAAGGAGAGAGAGCATAGCCGCTAGAAGCTGACACTGGGGAGGAAGTGTTGGGAAGTGGTACGAGTGGAGGAGAGGTAACTGGAGCTGGAAGCTGACTAGCTTCCAAAAAGGATGAAGGAGTAAATTGCACCTTATCCATGTTCAGGTCTCGGTCAGTGCCGCCTAAGGGGCTGGTGATGATGTGACTGTAGTGAAGGTGCGGAGAAACTTCAGGAGGGATATCGAGCGTGTGCTCTGATGGCGACTGCTGTGCCATGGCAGAGTTTGCTGGATGCTGGAGGCTGACTTGCGACTTTTGAGTCGACTCAAAAGTCACCACGAGACTTTGCTGGATGCTGGAATCTGATTGCCTGATTTGCTGAAATACCGCTTGTGCTTCTGCTGATGTTAAGTCGGCTGATGTTGCTTGTGGTAGCACTCCGAACTCACAGCTGTTTCTGAGAAGGTTCAGGTTCCCAATTGGTGACGCATTGTCTTTTCCCTTCTGTAGTTTGAATGCTTCTTCAAATGGTGTAGCCTCACAGATGCAGCATGGCGCCAGAAGTGATTCGTGGCCAAATTTGAGTTGGCTTCTTGCTGTACCCGAGTCTCTGTTTCAATGCAAGTCCAGCAGCAGAGCGTCACCTTGTGTGTTTGCAGTTCCTGAAATGGAAACAAGGCGATTGTTATAACTTGACTCCCAAGACATTTGACCTCAACCAATCCAATTCCACAGCAGCGAGCAATCCTTACCCGTTAGAGAGCCTGGATTTTGAAGAATCTGGCAGTGCCAGCATCCAAGGCCCTCTGGTCTTTAGCAATCTGGAAGTATGCACACTGCACTCCACTGTGCTGCACTTCACCGAACTGCACTGCACTGCACTGTGCTGCACTGCAGTGAACTGCAGCCGCCAATAGCAAGAACAAATCCAAGGTCACTCCCAACTGCTTCTGTAGACACTGCTCAGGTGGTAGATATGGTAGATTCTGTGTAATACAGCCTCCCTCTGTACACAAGGCAGTTGGTGCTGATAAGAACGAGGCTCGTGAGAAATCTCAACAGAAGTGTTAAATCTCGTTCACTTCACTCAATCAGCAGACTCGGTCACTTAATCCAAGCCTGTTGATTGAAGCGACTGAAATGACTTTCCTCAATATGGCCGCTAGTTATGTTAGGTTGAGATTGATCGGTAGCACAGGTCTTGTAAGCGACGTTTCCGCATCAAAAGCGGACATTACCTGTTCCGGACGAGAGTGCTTCTGCCAATTAACGCACGTGGAACTCGTCCAGCAATGTTGCTGGTCGGAGCGGGACGTTGACGGATAATTCCTGGACGTCACTAGTCTTACGTCAACGTCACCAACTCCTAGTCAGATTCATTGTAGCGGAACCTGAAACGCTTTTCCGGCCATGATGACCAGGCAACGTCAGTGCCATCTCGGTGCTACCTGGCAATGCTCGAACCATAGCCTGGCGAGTCAACACCACGAGAATGAATGGAGCCGTACGTTCATCTGCTGTCAGTGATCCTGCCGTGCCTGATAGGGACGGTACAGTATGGCCGTTCAGAGTACAGGATGTCATGTCGCACGTGTCAGGGGATAACAGGAACCTAGAGACCATCGTCTGATTGTGTACTTCTCGAAATATCCGTCGGGATGCTTTTCCGTCAAGGTGCTTCTCAGTATCTTTGAATATGACTGACGGTTGTCATGCCGGGGAAATCGACGGTCAGTCGACTTCGACGGAACAACCTCGCCGTGATCGCTGATTCGCTGCTGCTGACTCTCCCTGCTCGACGTCGCTAGCGGCATTACCGATGGTGACCAGCAGCCAGCGACTCTGCGGGGAGAGCGACGACTCTGCGGAGAAATCGACAGGCTACGACTCACGAACCGCCTGACGAGTTTCGAGCGGAAGCATTCTCCACATCCCATGCCATCGGGCTTTCCGAATGCACGAGACCTCTATTGATGGTTCAAATAAATGAAATGGGTCAACATCGTTCCCCATCCCACACACTGATGTGCAGAATCCTTTGGCGACACCCATGACCCAGGTCGCCAAGAAATATTGCACTAGGAGGATTGCTGAACGAAGATCTCTAGGGAGGGACGTCGCTGTCAGAAGCATCGAAACCGTACCAGTCGACATAGCCAATGAAGGAGATTTTCCCCCAAGGGAGGCAGTAGGGAAGTTTTTTCCAGCAAATCCTACTGCGCCGATACACTTCGGCCATTGAAGCTACAACTAGAAGTTCTCCAAGTTCGTTCTTGACAACTCTGTGAAATAGGAAGCAATATTTTGATCTCAGCAATACTATTGCAATAATAAGTAGCAAGTTTTCACAACACCACCACGCATAATAATGTACAAAGAAAACAAACGTCCAGCCATGGTTCGCCCAGGAAAATCCACCCTGACATCGTTATGGAAAGGGCGGTTCTATCAAGAGCTAGCGTTATTAAGGAACTTCCTATGGGAAATTGATCAATTCCCGTCTACTTGGCGACAGGGGGCACATACACTGCCACTGGGTTCACATGCTGACCCCTGGGTGAGGAGTACTCCACAACATACGACTGCCACACCACAACCACAAAGAAACAGATGTAAAACGGATCTTGAAGCTTCACACAATTCACATCCCTACCCTTTACACTCATAAGCACCAGAACAGGAACAGGACAGGAACATAACACAGGAAGGGTACGTTCTTGGCCGGTGTCAGCTTTCCTGACACAAGGCTATCGACAGCTCCGATTGTGCCACATCATCAACAAACGAATCCAAACCCTTCACAGCTTCGGGTCAGCCCACTTGACACCGGCAGAGAACGTACCCTAAGCGTGTATGTGAACATTATGAACAAATTGAAAATGCATAGAGTCACAGAGACAACCAAACCCACCTTCAGAAGGGGGGTCTTGGTGTTGTCCTCGTAAAGCAGTACGGTCGAGTCATCATCCTCCGGATCAGCACAGCCATAGATAATGGAGGCGAGGCTGAGAATCATCATGGTAACCAGGAAGACAAAGGCGAGCCCGAGAACGACCAGGCCAACAATGTTGGCAACGGTCCACCCGGGAAGAAGGTTGGGGAAGGGGTAGAAGTCGTCCACGACCGTCACCACAGCATCGTCGCCTGAGACTGATGAGAAACAAGAAACAGTTGTAGTGGACGGATAAAGTTGGGCATAGACACAGGCAGCCGGCGGCACAGGAAAGCAGGTGAGTGGGAAACAACCAGGCAAGTAGGCAGACAAACGGACAGACCGAGAGACAGACATTAAACTGGACAGACACATTGGAGACGGAAGGCATGACAAGGTTCATAACAAGACAATGCACAAAATTCTATGACCACCAGAACAGAAAGGCAGTACCTGCGCCTTCCAGGAACACTCACTCTCTCTATAACACACGCACTCTTTCTACCCCTCGCCCCCTCCCTTTGCCCCCCTTTGCCGCCCCCCTGCCCCTCTGCCCTTTTCGCGACAGAAAAATAACATACCTGCGGAGTCATCATCGTCCATGGGAACAGCCGTCATGCCGTCAAGCTTGCTAATATACACCGTTAAGTCATCATCCACCTGGTCAACGACATCATCCGAACTCCCACCCTCCGAGCTCTCCTCCTCCGAGCTCTCATTTTCCGAGCTCTCCTCCTCGGAGCTCTTACCCTCCGAGCTCTCCTCCTCTTCCTGAGGAGTCTGCGCGTTGCTATGGAACTCCTTCGCGGCCTTTACAAACTCCTGGAACAACTGCAGATGCTTTGAGGACTGATCCTGCGGAGGAATCATTGAGAACAGGTCGTCAAGGTCGAGCTTCTTAGTCCAATCGCGAGAAAGTACAAACGCGTCAAACGCGGACGTCAAAGGATCCGAGCGTTTCGTGGCAGTGGCATCATCCGTTTCCGTCGGGAGACGCTCGTCGGAGGCGGGGTCGGCAGTGACGGCAGCGTCGCTGTCATCTTCAGCCGTCAACATCCTGACGTTTTCCGTTTCGGTATCCTCGGTAACCTTGTCAGAGTCGGGATCGGCAGTGACGGCAGCGTCGCTGTCATCTTCCGCCGTCAACATTCTGACGTTTTCCGTATCGATATCCTCTGTAGCCTCGTCAGAAGTCGTTACTGAGGAGACTTTGGTGACGGTGCTGGAGTCACCGCCCGTGGCAAACGTATCCTCCTCGTCGTTTTCGATAGGGACGGGAGTGGGAATCTCCTCGTCCGAGGATTCGGGAGTCACGTTGGTAACGATGCTGGATTCACCGGCCGTTGCAATCGCATCGTCCTCCTCGTTTTCAATAGGGACGGGAGTCGGAATCTCCTCGTCCGAGGATTCGGTAGACTCGGAAGACTCGGTAGACTCCTCCGTGTCTTCGGGCTTGGCATGGAGCTCGTTGACAATGTCAGAGATAGAGGTCGGGAAGCGGTGGACGATCATGCGGGTGACGGATGGGAGTCGGTTCGCGACGACGAACATGATGTTTCCGCGGAGATGGAAGCCACCGACATTGCTAGGCTGCCATGTATAACAAAGGACACAATATTTGAAAGAAGAAGAAACACTCATCATGAAGCAAGTAGCAAGAAACACGGTAGACGGGGAAACATACGCAGGAGGAGTGCGGAGAGGGAGAAACGAGACGTGACAGACAGGTATGGATAACAACAGGGGAAAGTGAGGACGGCAACAGGAGAAAGCGAGGACGGCAAACTGGCCGACAACTAAACTAGATGGCAATAGGCGTGGTGCTGCTGAGTAAAAATCACCTCAAGTTGTGTGAACGCAACGTAGTGGCCACAGTTCTGAAAAATTGAGGGTTATGACACAGAGATACGCCGGTTCAGATGGGATGTCATGGAAACGAGTGCAAGCGGAAAAAGCTATCTCAGAAGCACGTACCTGACCCTGAGTCTCACTAACTTCAAACTGCCCATAAACGAGAGCCACTGAGACGACCAGCAGAGCGGTAAGGAGTAGAACACGCGCCATAGTACACGAGGGTCGCTCAGATTCTAAGAGCTCGCTGGGAAATACTATCCTGTCCTGTTTCTTGTATCTCTGAAATTTGCGAGTCTAATCTCCTGAAGAGCAAACCCTAGCTTCAACAGTCGTTCTGTATACCTACTCCCTCACGAAACAGACTGCTTTCTGAGCTCCGTCAACTCTTGCCTGACTGACTTGGGTGACTGGAGAGGGTCTCGTCAGTCAATTGCAACCTCCGCACAATCACATGCCCCCCTGTGCAAGAAACGTCATTCAGGGGAAGCGTGCGAAACGTTGGCGAAACGAACCAAATTCGCCCAGGTTGCAGTAATAGTCGTCGTGGGTGAGGAAACCCTGGCAAGTGTAGGGTGACGACGACGACCAGCATGGTGATGAGTCACGACGACAACCAGACATCAACGCTCGAGGAGCTTGTCGGCTAAGAACGACATCCATTGCTTGCGTGGACTGGAGCCACTTTCTAGTCAAGAAGCAGCCAGAATCTTCTCCCACCTGAAGTTGTCAGGGGGTGGACCAGCAGACTCCCTGCTGTTGTGGGCGCGCTAACAGGTACAGAAGGATGACAACTACACTAGGAAAAATAGATGTAAGAAACAATGCGAATGGAGGTACACGAATGGGGGCAGATGGAGGCGACACTCTCCATAGCACAGACTTACATGTTATTTAAGGGAATAAATTCGATAAACACAGTTGATATTTTCAGAAGAAATCCATTAACGATACCTTAATAAGAAAAAGATAATATACAAATATAGTCATGGATTAATTCGGAATTTGTAACCCAAACATGATCTAAATAAAAAAATGCGGCTCCCTGAATGGGATTAAAAACTGGGAGTGAAAGATGTGCAATCTTGTGAGCAAACGTATATGTTAAAAATAAACGGTGGCTGCATGTAGAAACTTACTGCATTTGTGGAATTATTGAAGTCCCTCTCTGTTTCGTTGGCCTGGACACGAAATCCATCGGATTGGTTGAGGCGAAATTATTTGCGGCTCGAATGAAACTACGGAGCGCTCCTGGCTGTCGTATGCTGCCACCGCCTTCTTCCAATCAGGTGAATAGTTGTTTTGGAACGTGTAGTTTTGGAAATCCCAAGGCTGGAACGCGGTCTGGTGACTACAACACCAACCTTGGGAATTTGGAGCTGGTTGCGGTAGAAGGGAGGAGCAGCAATCCTGACCGTCGACTGATTGGGAACGCGTAACATCTACGGCTGAGCAGAATTTGGGGCGTCAGGGTGGAAGGACTCGAAATGGGGTAGAGATCGAGGGTTGTGGATGGATGGTCTAGTCCCAACTCAACACAAAGTGTGCGTCAACCATCTGCGATTATTCCATAAGACCGGGAACCACGCCACCAAACTAAAGAGTTGACACTGGTGTGAAAGCAAGTTTTCTCTTCGCACAAGGACTCGGGGGTTAGCGCGAGAGGCGTCAACTCAATGGGAAGCAGTGTGAAGGCAGGTCGCACCATCAGTTATGCGCAATGTCAAAGCAGATTTCTCAGCCGGGCTTGGATCAGGCGAATCGACGGTTGCCAGTTGGAGTGTATAGCATCGCGTTCGCTCACCTTCGCGTTCCTGATGTCTAAGGAGAGATCCTATCCGGTGATCAAGTTCCTTTGTTCGATCTATTTTTTAGATTCTCGTTGATATCAAACATGGCTCCACACGCTCCCTTCGTGATGATGCTCGAACGTCTCAGATCTCTGCCTTTTCGAACCTCTGATGAAGAATTCCACAAACAAAGCTGCAGTTTTCCGCAGTTCTGTTGATCCTATTACTGGGATCCTAAAATGTCATGTCTTATTCAATTTATGACCGTTTTATGCAGTGCCTCTTAGAATGAGCTACCCCCCTAAGGATGACGAAGCCAAGGCTATTTATTCGCCACCTAGCCCTTCCCATTACGACGCGTACGGCGCGGAACAAGATCTAGGGAATACGCATTACAATATAGAACAAGCGCGTCGCGATGGCCAAGCACAGCAGCAGGAGACGCCGGGAGATGTTAGGAGGACAGTCGATCGGAGCACTAGGAGGCTACACTTGCAGGAAGCTGACGGTGAGGTGGCGAGAAGGGCGGTGGCGGAAGTTAGTGGAAGCGAGGGGGGGTTGAGAAGAGAGGAACTGCGACTTGGGGGTAGAGAGAGCCTTGATTTGAACTCATGGCTCGTGAGCAGTATAGGCCCAGGCCCCCCTGCTGCTGCTCCTGCTGCTGCCGCTGCTGCGAATGTGGCTGCTGCTGTTGTTGCTGTTGCCGCTGCTGCAGCAGCGCCTCCTGCTGCTGTGTCACGTGCTCTTGAGTCTGCTGTACCTGTAATAGGGTCTGATGTCGCTTCGAGTTTTGCCGCCGCTGCGGGTTTTGCTGCTTATTCCGGATTTGCTGCTGCTCCGGCTGCTTCTCCCCGGTTTGCTGCTGCTCCGGCTGCTTCTGCCGGGTTTGCTGCTGCTCCGGCTGCTTCTGCCGGGTTTGCTGCTGCTCCGGCTGCTTCTGCCGGGTTTGCTGCTGCTCCAGCTGCTTCTGCCGGGTTTGCTGCCGCTCCCGCGTTACCTACTCCTTTAAGCAGAGGTTCTCCCTCCGTTGCTGGTCCCGCTTCAGCCGCTCCCGAGGCAGGAGGTAGCAGTGTGGTACGGGGAGAGAGTAGGAAGCGCCGGCGAGAAACGGTAGAGAGCGGTGGCGTTCGTCCGAGCGGGGGAACTGAGCGGAGCAGAGGAGGTGAGGAAAGCGGAGGAGGTGGGGGGAGCGGAGGAGGTGGGGGGAGCGGAAGGGGTGAGGGGAGCGGAAGGGCTGAGGGGAGCGCAGGGGGTGAGGGGAGCGGGGCGGCGGAGCGGAGGGGTGGCGCGGAGCAGGGCGGCGGCGGCAGAGGGCGGCGACTGGCGGATCTGAGCGACGAGGATTTGCAGCAACTCACACGGGAGGAATGCCGCCGGCTGCTGCAAGAACAAGGTAAGTGTGGCGTTACGTCGTGGTAAGGCGTGGTCTGGACACGTTACAGCAGGCCCCCACGTGACTTATGCGTCGCCAAAAGAATGCCGCGGGTGCCCGCACCACACCCCCGGTGTCCCCCACACCACCCCCCAAGGCATGCGACGGCCGTCGTGGACGAAATCATTCGCCGTGCAGCTCGCGGCCCTGCTTTGCCTCGTAGGCTCCTCCAATAATCCTTGTGTATTCAGTAAGCTATGGCTGATTCCCTGTTGCTCATCTGTCCCACACTCCCCACCCTCCGTCCCCTCCCCCCAGGCATGCGACGGCCGTCGTGGACGAAATCCTTCGCCGTGCAGCAGCTCGCCGCCCTTCGCGAACTTTCGCAGCTGCCGTTCCCACTCACCGTGCAGGCGCGTCCGCGCGAACCGACTGCTGCTTCTGCTGCGAGAGAGGGAGAGAGAGTAGCTTACACAGGGGAACTCAGGGAGGCAGAAGCAGGAGGGATAGAGCAGGAGCGGCAGGAGAGGAGGGAAGTACGGGGAATACAGCAGGAGCGGCGCCAAGAGGGGGGTGAAGAAGCAGGGGAGGTTCGTCCGCGCGGTGGCGGCGAGGGGCAGGACAGGGAGGCGGAGGCGCAAACATCGGCGGAGGCGCAAGCGTCCGCGGAGGCCCAAGTGTTTGCGGAGGCGCAACTGTCCGCGGAGGCGCAAGTGTCCGCGGAGGCGAGACTAGCGTTTGCGGAATCGTTTCTGCTGGTAGTTGTTTTTTTGCGTTTTTTGCGCAAGTTTCGAATCAACCCCTTATTTCCTTACGCCATCCTCCTCCCGTTCCTCCACCCACTCCTTTCCTCCTTCCTGTCCCTAATCCAACTTATCGTCTACGAGGCTGCAATGCGCTTTACTCGTCTTCCTTCCTCCCACCCACTCCTTCCCTCCTTCCTCCTGTCCCTCAACCCACTTTTCGTCTATGAGGCTGCTATGCGCTTTATTATAAATAATATTGTGTGCATTTTTTTCGTTATGGTACGGCGTGCAATTCGCATTTGTAATTTGTAACATTTGATCTTCGTTAAGTTCCCCCCTCTCTTCTCTCCCGCCCCCCTCCCCCTCTCTGCCCGTTCCTTTCCCCCTCTCCGCCCGTCTCCCTCCCCCTTGCGCCCGTCCCCGCCACTGTTCCGCTCGCTCAACCCTAGCATGTCCTGCAAGAGCGCGCTCAACGCGCGCAAGCATCCGCGGACGCGGAAGCGCCCAGGCGCGGGAGCGATTTCGGGCATGCGGAAGCCTCTGGACAGGCGGAAGCTTCTGCGCGCGCGGATCCGCCGGGGCGCGCGGAACCATGTGGGGGCGGGGAGGAGGCCTTGAAACGCCCAGAAGCGCCTGGTGAGGGTGAAGCGGAAACGCCTGTCCGCCCAGGGACTTCCACACAGCATGGGGGGGTGAGCGGGGAAGGGGAAGGGGGAGGAAGCGGGGGGTTGATCATGGGGGCGCGCGCGGGGGAGATGACAAGGGGAAGCGGGGAAGGGAGAGCAGGCGAAAGCGTTGAAGGGCGTGGGGGAGGGAAAGGGGGACGGGGGAAGGGGTTGGCGGAAGAGAGGGGGAAGCAGAGGGGGCGGGTGCGGGGAAGCATTGACTTGGAGAATAGCCCGGAGGAAGGGGAAGGTACTGAGGGGGAGCAGCAGGGGGGAGGGGTGGGGGAGAGTGAAGAGGGAAGGGAGGAAGGGGACGAAGAGAGGAAGGGGAGGACGGAGACGAGAGTGAAGGGAAGGGGCAGGGAGATGAAGAGGAGGATGGGGATGGGGATGGAGGAGGAGGAGGAAGTGGAGGAGGAGGGGGAGGGGGAGGGGGAGGAGGAGGAGGGGAAGGAGGAGGAGGAGTAGGAGGAGGAGGAGTAGGAGGAGGAGGAGGAGGAGGAGGAGGAGGAGGAGGATGAGGAGGAGGAGGAGGAGGAGGAGGAGGAGGAGGAGGAGGAGGAGGAGGAGGAGGAGGAGGAGGAGGAGGAGGAGGAGGAGGAGGAGGAGGAGAGGAGGGGGGGGGGGAGGAGGAGGAGGAGGGGGAGGGGAGGGAGGAGGGGGAGGAGGAAGAGGGGGAGGGAGCAGAAGGGGGAGCGACAATGATGGCAGCAGTAGGGGCGGGGGCAGAAGCAAAGGCAGTGGTGGTGGTGATGGTTGTGGTGGTGGTGGTGGTGGTGGTGGTGGTACTGCTGGTGATGGTGGTAGTGATGGTGATGGTGATGGTGGTGGTAGTGATGGTTATGGTGATGGTGATGATAGTGGTGGTGATGGTGATGATAGTGATGGTGATTGTGATGATAGTGTTGGTGATGGTGATGGTGATGGTGGTGACGGTGGTGATGGCACAGCAGGTTTAGAGGCAGCAACAGCAGCAGGAGCAGCAGAAGCAGCTGGAGAAACAAGAGAAACGGCAACAGGAGCAGCAGCATCGTTTTCAACTGCCTCAGCAGAAGCAGCAGGAGCTGAGGAAGCCAGGAAAGGCGAGAAGACACAGTTAAAAGTGGAGGCTGAGCCTTCAGTGCAAGTGCCATTGCCGGAGCCGCCCTTCGAACCACAGCACATGGGACAAGCAGCAGCCGCAGCAGCAGCAGCAGAAGCCGAGGGCGCTAAGGAAGGAGAGAAGGCGCAGCTAAAAGTGGAGGCTGAGCCTTCAGCCCAAGCAGCGTTGCCAGAGGCGCCCCAGCAACCACAGCTACAGTCAGCTCTGCTACAGCCGCAACAAGTAGAGCTACAGCCACAGCTTGATTTCCTAGCAGCAGCCAGCAAGGTGGGTATTCCCCCTCTACCCCGGTTCAACACTCCCCTGAACTCGCATCTGCCTTTGCTGCTGCGGTGGCGGCGGCTGCTGCTACAGCTGCTCCTGCTGTTGCTGCTGACAGTGCCACTGCTGCTTCTCGTGCTGCTGCTCCTGTTGCTCCTGCTCCTCTTGCTGTTGCTCCTGCTCCTCTTGCTGTTGCTCCTGCTCCTCTTGCTGTTGCTCCTGCTCCTGTTCCTGCTCCTCCTGGTGCTGCTGCCACTGCTGCGGCTCCTGCTCCTGTTGCTGCGCTTGCTCCTGCTGCTTCTGCCACAGCTGCTGCATTGGCTTCTGAACCTGCTCCTGTTTTCGTTCCTGCTTTCGTGGGCATAGTATCACCTCCACCAGATAACACCTCCCCACGTTCGGACCCCAACATGCCCAGTCCTAGCAGCCCCACTTTCGGTGAGGGCGAGAAAGGGGGGTTTGAGAAAGGGGAGGGTGAGAGAGGGGGGCGTGAGATAATGGAAGGTTATAAAGAGGAAGGTGACAAAGTCGAGGGTGACAAAGGCGAGGGTGCTACCAGCAGCTCTGAGGACTCTCCCTGGCGGTCAGTTGCAAACATTTCACCACGGAGCCAGGAGCTGCCCGACCAGGCAGAGCATGCCCGTAAACGTTCGTCCGACAAGTTTCTTTTGAGGCAGCAGGAACTGTATCAGGCAGAAGGAGAGGAATTGCCGGTGCTGGCATCCCAACGGCAGGCCAGTCTAGCTGTTCGTCTATTTGGCTCTTCGCTTGTGGAAGGTTCGTTGGTTGGAAGCGGGCAAGAGGGAGGCAATCCTTCTCCCCCTGCTGCTCCTGCTGCCGCCGCTGCTGCCGCCGCCGCTGCTGCTGCTGCTGCTGATGCTCCTGCTCTTGCTGATTCTGTTCCAAACCCTGCTATATTGGCAGTAGCAGCAAGAGCAGCAGCAGCACCCGTGCCTGACTCCTTGCTGGCACCAGCAGCAGTATCCGTGAAAGGGCAAGGTGCTTCAGCCACACAGGCTATATCAGAGGCTTCATTATCAACCCACGGTTCGGAAGGATTGGCATCAGCACGCAAATCAGTAACAGCAGCAGTAGGGGCAGGATCACTGACGGTCGCAGCAGCAGCAACAGGAAAAGACGCAGCAGCAGGACAAACGGCAACAGGAGAAGACGCAGCAGCAGGACAATCGGCAACAGGAGAAGCAGAACATCTGGGAGCAGCACCAGCAACCCCACTGCAAGCAGTGATTGCTCCTGCACCTGTCTCTGTTACTGCTAAAGCTGTAGCAGCACCTGTAGCAGCAGTGGCATCTGTAGCAGCTGTAGCAGCTTCAACTGCTGCTTCTCCAGAACCTGTAGCGCACAGGTCACCATATGCAGCACCCCTTTCAACACCTGCAGCACCCCTTGCAACGCCTGCAGCACCGCTCTCAACACCCGCAGCAGCACAGGCGTTCCGCATGCCAGCAGAGTCAATCCGAGTGGCGGAACGCCTGGCAGCCATCCCCATCCCAGAAGCCCTTTCCTGACGGTTCGCTGCCTCCACCTCTGCCAGGCGATTCGGCTTTTCTGCACCAGCCGCAGCAGCAGCAACGGGAGGAGGAGGAGAAGCAAGATCAGCAGGTGCAGCTACAGCAGCAGCAGCTTCTGCAGCAGGAGAAGGAGCAGCAGCAGGAACAGGAGAGGTAGCAGCCACAGCCGCAGGAGCAAGGGCAGGAGCATTATCTGCTGCGGGTGTCACTGCTTCTATATCCGTAGCTCCTCCTTTTCCTACTGCTGCAGCCACTGCTGCACCAGCTGCCTCGCCTCCACCCTCCCCTGCCCTGGCCGCATCAACTTCCCCCGCCCTTGCTGCTGTACCCAAGGTGGAACCCTCCTCTGCCTCCACATCCGAGTGAGTGCTACAAACCATTGCAACCAGACATGGCCGTGTCAACTTGTCCCGCCCCCTCTGCTCCAACCAAGGTGGAACCCTCCTCTTCTTCCACATCCGGGTGTGAGTGCATGTTTCTCCCAGACTGCACCTTGCTCTCCTCCTTGAATAGCTCCTGTGTCGCTCCGCTATGCCTCCTCCCGCCCCCTCTGCTCCAACCAAGGTGGAACCCTCCTCTTCTTCCACATCCGGGTGTGAGTGCATGTTTCTCCCAGACTGCACCTTGCTCTCCTCCTTGAATAGCTCCTGTGTCGCTCCGCTATGCCTCCTCCCGCCCCCTCTGCTCCAACCAAGGTGGAACCCTCCTCTTCTTCCACATCCGGGTGTGAGTGCATGTTTCTCCCAGACTGCACCTTGCTCTCCTCCTTGAATAGCTCCTGTGTCGCTCCGCTATGCCTCCTCCCGCCCCCTCTGCTCCAACCAAGGTGGAACCCTCCTCTTCTTCCACATCCGGGTGTGAGTGCATGTTTCTTCCACATCCGGGTGTGAGTGCATGTTTCTTCCACATCCGGGTGTGAGTGCATGTTTCTTCCACATCCGGGTGTGAGTGCATGTTTCTTCCCGACATTGCAGTCAAGGTAGGTCTAGAGATTCATGCTCCGTCCTCTCTGTTCAGTGCCTTCTCGTCCCGCCCTTCCTGCTCCGCCCGAGGTGGAGCCCTCCTCTGCTTCCACATCCGAGTGAGTGCACGTTGCGCCCAACCCTGCCTCCTGTGTTAACCCCTATGGCGCTGTGTTCATTGCATGCCCCCTCTGCTCCGCCCGAGGTGGAGCCCTCCTCTGCTTCCACATCCGAGTGAGTGCATGCAGCTCCCAGACATTGCTTCTAAGGATCGCAATGGGTGCAGTCGAGGTGCAGTCGAGGTGCAGTCGAGGTCATTCCAACCATTGCTGCTGAGATTCATTTCATATCTTCCGCTGCCCTTGCTGCTCCTTCCCTCTGGTTTTTCTTTCCTCACCCTCCTTCTTCCCTTTGGCTTCCTTCCGTTCCGGATTCCTTGTCCTCTCCCTCCTTCCTCCCACACAGGACTGGACAAAGTCAACTAAGTCAACAGCCTGCACACGTAAAGGGGAGGGGGCACCTGGGGGAGGCGTTATCCTCTGATGCGTCAGGCAGAGAGGAAGGGCGTAGGAGAGTTGTTTCAAGGTCAGGGCGACGAGGAAAACGGAAGGAGCGAGAAGCACGAGAGGAGAGGGGGAGGGGGGGACGGGTCGAAAGGCAAGTCGAGGAGGAGAGGGGAGGAGGGGATAGTGTGAGGGGAGAGGAGGTATCAGGTGGAGGGAGAGGTGGAGGAGGGAGAGCGGAGACAGATGCAGGAGAAAGCCGCCGACAGCAGGAATTGAAACCAGGACCTCAAGCACCGGTACCACAGCCACCAGGAGCACTGCTTGAGTGTGTTGCAGAAGGGGAAGCAGATGCAGCAGCAACCACAGCCGTTGGGAGAGGGAGACATGAGGTTTCTCACCCACTTATACCGCGAGCAACCGTTTCTCACCCAGCCATTCCTCGAGCCCATGGCATGAGGCTGCCTCAGAGCGTTGTGGAGGCACAGCAGCAGCAGCAGTATGAGGAAGAGCATCGCCAGCACCATCAACAGCCACAAGAGGACCTACAGCAGCATCAGCAGCCACACGAGGACCTCCCACAGCAGCATCAGCAGCCGCAGCAGCAGCAACAGGAGGGGGAAAGTGCGGCTGGGCGAGGCCAGGGGACGGGACTGGGAGTGCCAGATGTACCTCCCCCCGTTGTACCTGCCACTGGTTCCTCTCAGCTGACGATCTTCTACGGCGGGATGGTGCACGTGTACCAGGACGTGCCTTCAGACCGGGTGAGCGCGAGTTGTGTGAGAGTGTGTGTTGTGTGGGGAGTGTATGTTACCAAGCTTGAATGTGAGATGTGTGTAGATAGCATCTGCTATGGCGGGATGGTGCACGTGTACCAGGACGTGCCTTCAGACAGGGTGAGTGCTTCTTGTGTGAGTGTGTGTTGTGGTGGAGTGTATGTTACCAAGCTTGAATGTGAGGGATGGTGCACGTGTACCAGGACGTTCCTTCAGACCGGGTGAGCACTTGTTGTGTGTGGGGTGCGTGTTGTTGTGTGGGGTGCGTGTTGTGTGAGAGTGCGTGTTGTGTGTGGAGTATATGTGTGTATGATGACATGCTTTTGGATAGGGCGGGTGAGTGTTGTGACAGGGTGTGGCTTGGAGCAGTAAACAAGACCTGTGTGTCGGCACCATGCCAATCCCACAATCCGTCATGGTTTATGTCTAGTTAGGTTTGATACTGACATGAGGGGTCCAACGAGCTCAAGAATTGGAGCATATCTTCGATAAATGTCAAAGCGAAGCAGTACTTGGTGCTCATGTGCGAGTGGCTTTATATACAACCGTTCAGGAGTCCAGATAACAGTAATACGCTTGGACGGCTGAGACGGTGCGACCTTTACAATCACGAGTGTTCTCTTACAGTATAGTAAAACAGTTTCGACCTGGATCCAGCAGGTAACTCGTTCGGCAGTTTTGTTTTAAAAAGTCTACAGTCATCTTGATTGAGCTTTTGGAGATGAGAATGAAGTCGCTGGGGTACACGAAAGGGCAGAACAACGTCAAATGGCGGTAAAAGAGGTCTCTTTTATGATGATGTATCATATCATGTGATCTCCTACTTTAGTGCCAGTGTAAGTGGGTTGGATATCTATATGTTTCTCTAATGGTCCTTGTATTGATTAAGCGACTAGTGCAAGCAAAGAGGAAATGCAAGCTAAGGTGAGAGTAGAGATTTCAACCAATCTCAATGGGTATTGTTTTTCAGAGCATCTATCTAGTCAGTCATTCCAGCTCATGTTCCTAAGTCAGAACCAAGCAACTAATGACCTAAATCATCTCTTTTAAAACGAACCAATCTTACCTTCCAGTGTCCTTCTTGAATTAAACTTGTTCCTCCTGTGTCAGGCCCAGGCAATCATGCTATTGGCTGGATCAAGCACCACCTCCTCCTCCTTCCCTCTTCCCCCCAACCTCCTCACCGCTCAACACTCCTCCATCTCCACCCCTCGCAGCCCTCTCCCTTCTCCCTCCACCCTCACTCCCCCACATCCCTCCTCTCTCCCTTCACCCAGCCACCCTCACTCACCCGCCTCTGGCCCCTCCTCCTCCACAGCCCAGTACCTTTCATCGCTGCTCCCTGCTCCTTCTGCTCCTTCAGTCTCTTCTCTGTCAGCTGCTCCCTTCTCGCCGCCCTCTGCTGCGGCCTTCTTGTCGCCTTCTGCTGCTGCCTTCTCTTCTTCCTCTGCTCTTTCCCTCGCCTCCTTGCCATCTCACCCTTTGAGATCGATGGATAAGCGAGAGAGGGGGAGGGGAAGGGGGGAAAGCTTTGGTGGTGGGGATAGTGGCAGCCGTGGTGATGCTGCTGCTGCTGCTGCTGCTGCTGCTGCTGCTGCTGCTGCTGCTGCTGCTGCTGCTGCTGCTGCTGCTGCTGCTGCTGCTGCTGCTGCTGCTGCTGCTGCTGCTGCTGCTGCTGCTGCTGCTGCTGCTGCTGCTGCTGCTGCTGCTGCTGCTGCTGCTGCTGGGGGTGGTGGGGACGGTACTGGTGGTGATGATGATGGTGATTTGGCAAGAGAACAAGCTTCTGTTCAACAGCATTTGCACCAGCACTATTACAACTGGCAGCATCAGCAACAGCAGCAGCAGCAGCAACATCAACAGCAGCAACAGCAGCAGCAGCAGCAGCAGCAGCAGCAACAGCAGCAACAACAGCAGCAACAGCAGCAACAGCAGCAGCAGCAAAAGCAACAACAGCAGCAAAAGCAACAGCAGCAGCAGCAGCAGCAGCAGCAGCAGCAACAACAGCAGCAACAGCAGCAGCAGCAGCAGCAGCAACAACAGCAACAACAACAGCCTAGCCCCCACCAATATCCCTCTACTAACATCCCCTCTCACTCGCTCTCCCACTCTCCCTCTCCTCCTCCTTCCCACTTCCACTCCTCTCCTTCTCTTTCACCCTCCATTGCACCCTCGTCCATTGCACCCACCTCCCTTGCACCCACTTCCCTTGCACCCACTGTGCATGTGTACGTTCAGTACCCAGGTGCCCACCTGCCTCCGTCCTCCTGGCCCTCAGTCCAAATCTCAACAGCTGCAGGAGCAGCAGCAGCACCCGCAGCAGCAGCACCAGCAGCAGTGGCAGCAGCACCAGCGCCCACAGTAGCACCTGCCCGAGCAACGACTCATCCAACACAACAGCCACCGCTACCACTTCCACTACCACCACCATCCACAGCAGCAGCACCACCAGAAGGGGCAGGTTGGCATTTCACGCCCTCCTATTCCCCCCCATCCCTCAAGCATAGCATGTCTCTAGAGGAGTTAGGAGCAGCCGGAGGAGGGGTTGGAGGTGGAGGGGGGGCGGGGAGAGAGGAGCAGAAAGGAGGAGGAGGTGGTGGAGTTATTGCAAGAGTGGCTGAGAGGGAGAGGAGAGGTGTGGCTGATGCAGGGGGGAGTGGAAGCATGAGTGGGAGTGGGAGTGGGGGTGGGAGCAGGAGCGCGAGTGGGAGTGGGAGTGGAGGGAGAGGGGGTAGTGGAGGGAGTGGGGGTAGTGGCGGCAGTGGGAGTCGTGCATATGCAACGATCAACAAAGGTAAGATACATTCACTCGTTCATAAAAAACCTAATGTGACTTTGGAAAACGGTATTATTATTGTGTCTAACGCTCTTGTGTGTTCTATGCATTGCATGGTTGTTACAAAGAGCTCCCTCCGGCGTCGGGGAGACAAGCTTCGATTGCTCGATTCAAGGAGAAGAAAGAAAGGTGCGATATGATTGTAGATTACACCATGTTTTTGCAATCATCTTCTCAATGTTACAAGTAGCTACTTAATAAAGAGGCAATGTAAGCTAAGGAGAAGATAACAGTGTACATTACCGGTGTTTGTTTTGTTTGTTTGTTTGTTTTTTGTTTTTTTCATTTGGCATGTGTGTGTGTGTGTTTTTTTTTTCTGCAGGACTAAATCAAGGCTACAAGTGTCATCTCGACGCAGTAACCCGCGGTCATCATCACCATCGCCTCCAGTTTCCCACTCCCCTGCTTCAAGTTCCATGTCACACGGTCGGCACACTGCCAGCGTTGTGCCTTTAGAACTAAGGGAGCTGCTGCAGCAACAAGCACAGCAGCAGCAGCAGCAGCAGCAAGCATATATACTGCAAGCACAACAGCAAGCACAGCAACAGGAGCAACAGCTACAGCAGGCACAGCAGCAGCAACAGCTACAGCTGCAAGCACATCTAGTGCAAGCACACCAACGGCAGGCACAGCAACAGGAGCAACAGCTACAGCAGGCACAGCAGCAGCAACAGCTACAGCTGCAAGCACATCTAGTGCAAGCACACCAACGGCAAGCACAGCAACAGGAGCAACAGCTTCAGCAGCAGCAGGTAAGGCAGGGGCATTATCCCCAATACCAACAGCATGAGTCACAGCAACACATGCTGCAGCAACAGGTGCAGGAGCGGCAGCAACAGCGCCAAGCTTCAGCGACTTCCTTTCACAGCGGTGGGTCGGAAGGACTTGACACAGAGGCAAAAAGGTGACTTTTCAGTGGACTCAAAAGTCACTCCTATATTCAGCAGCAACAGGTGCAGGAGCAGCAGCAACAGGTGCAGGAGCAGCAGCAACAGCGCCACGCTTCTGCTACTTCCGTTCACAGCGGTGGGCTAGAAGCACCTGATGCAGTGGAAAAATCCCCTTTGTAAGGTGCCTCGATAAATCATCTGCAACTTCCTTTTCACAGTGGTGGGTCGGACGGAAGCACCTGACTCAGAGGCAACGCCTCCTTCGCCCTTCCAGGAGCCTCGCTAGGCAGGCAGCGGAAGGGTCGAAGTTCACAATAATAAATTGCACAATCTGTGCACCCTAATAAGGTCTTGTTGTTATGGTCTGTACCAATTATGTCTTGTTTGTGGACTGTTCTCTGGTTTGTCATTTAAAAAGGTCGTATGCTTTCTTCCTGCTGCCATCTGGTTTGCTGGACCCTATACACCCAGTAAAGTAGGCTGTGCCTAGAAGTACCTGGTGTGTCAAATCTCTTCTGCAAAAATACAGAAAGCTGTCTGACAATATCGAGTATCTTCGACAACGCCAACACCATCCCCTTTTGCCGCCCCATACCACAGCGCACCGTTTCGCATAAACCCTAAAATTTGAAAGGTGTGGAGGAGGAAGGGATTCAAAAACTGGAATCTCAGAAACTAGTCTGAACGCGGCTTGGCATTTCCTCGGAATTGCAGCACTCACCAGCGTGCTATCGCCATTCTTTGCATCGGCGATTAGGGTTTTCTTGGGTTCTCGCCTCTGCGTTCTCACGGGTTCCGCGCAGCTGCGTTCAGATTGTGAATTGCGTCGTGTTTCCTGCTTGCAGCTGCGCCAGGCTTCGTTCGTGGTGTATTCTTCTTTCATTCTACAAGCCCGGTCGAGAGCATTCTGATAATCCTGTAACCACAATGCAGAATTTGGTGGTTTCTACCGAAACGCGCTACCGCATCCCCCTCGCACCACGACCGTTCGATTCAGTCTTACGCCCAGATGCGCGATCCGATGACGTCAGCGTTGGTAGCATACAGGGCAGCGGGGATTTTGCTGAAAGTTTCTGTCTGGAGCGGTTGGTTGCGGTGGCATGGGATACGGAGGGGTCAGTACTGTATGGCGTCACGGATGAGTGCACTATCTACGGTCTAGAGTTAACTACGAGTCGGCTCTTATTCGAGTATCCCTTAGTAGTCTCGGGCGATCTGCCCATCCCGGACAGAATAATATCCGCGCGCTATCTGCCATCCCATGCCGCCCTCTTTTTGGCGTTTTCCCGCGGGGAGATGGGGTTGTTCTTTCCCCCAGCAAAGGCGGCCGGTGGCGGAGCTCTGGGGGAGTTCGGGGGACGGGGAGGGGCTGGCGGGGAAGGGATCGGCGGAAGGTTTGAGATAGTGGGGGAGCTGACAGGGGGGCTGGCGGCGGTGGTGTGGGCGCCAGACGAGGAGGAGGTGGCGGTGGTAACTGGGGCAGGGCGATTGCTGACCATGACGAGTGATTGGCAGGTGAGGGTGCATAATAAATTAAGTGTCGCATGTAAGGCAGCAAGCGGGTTTATCACTGGGCTTTAGACGAGGAGGAGGTGGCGGTGGTAACTGGGGCAGGGCGGTTGCTGACAATGACTAGCGACTGGCAGGTAAGGTGGCAGGTTGCTGTTTCTAAGGTGAGTTGCAAAAGGGTCGAGGGTTTTTGGGAGGTTTAGAACTTATCCAAGGCTTTTATCATCTTCAGGGTTTATGCAGTTGATGACTTAGGCGTTTCTCAAGTCGACGTAACCCTTCAAACGAGGATGCACTGTAGTTTCAAAGGTATAAGTGTGTCGGTTCTGGTGTAGTTGCACATTTGCCCGAAAGGTGGGTGTGCTGTGCTGTGCTGTGCTGTGATCGCTGTTTTGAACTTTGTTTCTGCGCTTGCATGCTTGTGCCTTTGTTTGTTTGTGTCCTTGCCACGTATGTGATACCACGTATGTGATGCCACGTGTGTGATGCCACGTGTGTGATGCCACGTGTGTGATGCTACATGTGTGTTACCATGTGGCATGCAGGTCCTGATGGAAGTGCCTCTGGAGCAACATGAGCCACACGCTTCTGAGGTCAGCAACTGCTGCTCCTATCCGCTGCTCCTTTGCGCAAAGGGAGAGAAAGGGACCAACGGGAGAAACTGCTGCTTCTTTGCTCTGTACTTCCTCTGCTGCCGTTCATCATCCCTTACATCCTTGCCGTTTCTCGTGCTCTCGTCCCCCTCTTCCCACTCTCTCGACCCACACCTTCCGCCCCCTTCCCTCCCTCCCTCTCCCTCCCTCCCTCCCTCCCTCCCTCCCTCCCTCCCTCCCTCCCTCCCTCCCCTCTCGCCTTCCCTCTTCCCTTCTTCCCTCCCTTCCCCTCTTTGCCCTCTCCCCCACCAGCTTCCACCACCAACTCTCGGTCTTCCCCTTCTGTCTTCTATTGCTTGATTCGTTTTCTTCCCTCCTATCAGGGGCTCTCAGCCAACCAGCAGCTGCCACCTGGCACGTACGGCCCATGTGACTTGTCGCTGAGCTGGCGCGGAGACGGAAAGTTCTTCGTAACTTCCAGCAGAAGATCGTTAAGAGCGGGAGGAGAGGAGAGAGGCGGAGGAGGAGGAGGAGAGGAGAGAGGGAGTGAGGGAGAAGGAAGGGCAGACGAGAGGAGTGTGGAAACCGAGTGGAGGTGGGTGGTGCGAGTGTGGGAGAGGGAGAACTGCTCCCTGCATTCAGTTGCTGACGTGGCATGTGGGGACCACCTGATGGGGCCTGTTGCGTGGCAGCCAGCTGGCGCTCTGGTAGCCGCTGCTGCTTGCAAGTGGGAGGAGGGAATGGGGGAGGAGAAAGGAGGGAAGGAGAAAATGGGCCAGGATGGAAGAGGGGAGCCAGGAGGGAAGGAGAGAAGAGGGGAGGAGAAGGCAAGGGTTGGAACTTCTGTTTTGCCGGTTAAGGATGCTTCGTTTCCCGAAGCAGGATCGGTGCGGCAGGTTGGGGCGGCAGGGCGGGGCAGAGTAGAAGGAGAGAAAAGGGGTGGAGGAGGAGGGGGAGGGGATCCAGGGGAGAGGGCATCAACTTGTGTGCATGAGATTGTGTTTTTTGAGCGAAACGGGCTCGAGAGAAATCGCATGCAGCTCGCAGGACTGCCCTGCCCACGACCGGACTTGAACCCGCGACCTTTCAGTTCTTATTCTTCACTGGCTGGTGCTGGTTGCCCCTGCTGTGGCTGCCACGTGGCAGCAGTTGACTGGAGCTGTGACTCCCAGCTGCTGAGTGTTGAGGTGGAGACCCGTGATTGGCTGGCCATTCAGGTATACTACCGCTGCAACTACAAGTGGTATTTGAAGCACGAGCGTCGCACAAACAAAGCCGAACTCATCCTATCTGCACCCTCTCCCTCTCTCTCCCCCTCTCTTTCCCCCTCTCCTTCCCCCTCCCTCTCCCTCCTTTGGCACCCGGAATCCCCCTCCTCCGCCCTCTCCTTCTCCCCCCTCGGGATCATCTCCTCCCTCCATTTCATCTGATCTGAGAACCCATCCCTTGTCCCTCTCTCGCCTCTCTTCCATCTCCCCCCTTGCAGGTATACCACCGCTGCAACTACAAGTGGTATTTGAAGCACGAGTGCCGCACAAACAAGACCCACCCCCACCAATCCCCACCGTCTCTCACCCTCCTCCTACCTTCTTTCCTCTGGCACCCGGAATCCCCCTCATCCGCCCTCTCCTTCTCCCCCCTCGGGGTCATCTCGGCCGTCCATTTCATCTGGACGGCTGGTGCTCTGGCACCTGGCAATTCCACCGTTGCTGTGATCGACGGCCAGGATTTGAGGTTCTCGTCGCTGCTACTGCATGGGGGGAATGGGGGCGCAGGGGGAGGGGGGAGTGGGGGGAGCGGGGGGGGCGGAGGGGGAAGGGGAGGGCTTCTCCCCCCACCGTACTGCCATAGGGTGGAGGGATTTCCGGCTGCTGTGGTGGCGGTGGCGGGTGCTGAGCTGGCAGGTGATGAGGTGGCAGGGTTTGATTGGTGGGAGGAGAGCAGCGATGCGTCTGGAGTTGAGAGTGGTACGGAGGGGTGTGGAGCAGTCCAAAAGGGTAAGAAGGGTGGAGTTGAGATTGTGGGAGCAGTGCTTTCGAATGGTGATGTGGGAGTGGTGGTGAGACCAGAGGGGTGTGAGTGGATGGATGAGGAAGAGGAAGAGGAGGAGGGAGAGGAGGGAGATGAAGAAGGGGAAGGAGAGGAAGAGGAAGATGATGAGGCGGAGGATTTTCCACAGATCAAACGGTTCGTAGCTACTCTAGACAGCAGTGGCACCAGTGGAGGTGGGGGTGGGGGTGGAGGTGGCACCAGTGGAGGTGGAGGTGGCACCAGTGGAGGTGGCACCAGGGGAGGTGGCACCAGGGGAGGTGGCACCAGGGGAGGTGGCACCAGGGGAGGTGGCACCAGGGGAGGTGGGGGTGGAGGTGGAGGTGGCACCACCTCCACCACAGCTAGCAATCCTGCCAGCAGCGGCCGGCACAGCATATCGAGGGATGACATTGCTCGCATGCGCCACGCAGCTTGGCTCTCCCCCACCCGCCTCGTGGGCGTCATTGCCGCTCTGCATGAGAGGCCTCTAGAGCAGGCTTCGCCTGAGCAGGCTTCATCTCAGCAGGCTGGTTCTGTTGACTCCGTTGACTTTGTTGACTTGGTGGTAGAGCTTGAGTTGCGACGAGAGAAGGGGTTAAGGAGGGGTGGGGAGGGGGAGGTGCAAGGAGCAGTGATGAGTGTGGTGGGGGTGGTGGGGCTGAGGCAGAAAGTTGTGGGTATGGCCCGCGGCACGTGTGCTGCTGTGCACACTGTTTCTGCACCGGCTGCTGCTGCTGTGGCGTTGAGTCGTGCTGCTGGGATGAAGGGAGGGAACGCAGTGGAAGAGAGAAAAGAGCATCTGTATTGGCAGCAGCAAACGGCGCAGCAGCAGCCGCAGGGGCAGCAGCAGCAGGTTGTTAAGGGAGGGCCATCGGTCTTCCTATCTCTCTCTGATGGTTCTCTCCTTCGCTATATTTCCTCCTCCACCACTCCTCCTGCCACCCATGCACCCTCTTCCATTTCCCCCTCTCCCTCGCCCCTCTCCCTCCCTTCAACGGAGCTGGTGCTTCGATTCCCCGAGCCATGCCCTTGGATTGCTGTGGTGGAGGCGAGGGTTCGAATCCAGCCATCATCATCATCAAAATTTACTGCAGAGTCATTATCATCAGCAGCAGCAGCACCACCAACAGCAACAGCATCAGAATCAGTAGCAGCAGCGCCTGTGGTGGTTCTGTCTGTAGGGAGATCGCACAAAGGGCGTCTGTATGTTGGCTCTGCTGCTCACCTTAGTAACCCCACAAATGGAGCGGTAACCAAGTTACCACAGGCTCCTGAGGCCACGGCAGTGTGTGGCGACTGCTCGTCCTTTGTGCTGCACTTCATGGCAATTCCCAAGGCTCCTGGAGTTCCCAAGGCTCTCAAGCCCAGTTACAGTACAGAGCTTGCTGCCAATGTCAAGTTGTCACGGTCCTTATCCCCATGCCACGTCATCACTCTGGTGTTCACTACAGTGTCGGGTGCTATAGTCACACGAGACCTGCTTGCTTTGGCTCTAGGGGCGGGTTCTGGTTCCCAGGGAGCAGCTGGAGGCGCAGGTGGCTCTTCAGGTGTTTTTTCAGGTGCTTCTGTTGCGCTCCCAGGTGCACTCCCAGGCAGGGTGTCGGAGGAGGGGACGAGGGCAGGAGTGGGCGGGCCGGCAGGCAGCAGAAAAGGACAAAAGGGGAAGGTGCCGTCATCATTGTTGTCTTGTCCTTTGTGGGAAGGGGGGGCGGTGCTGGTTGCAGGGCTTGGGCGGCTGAGAGTGGGAGGAGGTGAGAGAGAGGAGAGGGGGGGAGAGGACAAGGGGGACGAGGGAGAGGAGGAAGAGGAGGGGGAGGGGGAGGGGGAGGGGGAGCCGGCAGTGGTTCTCCAGGCGACACGTGGCAGTCTGGAATTGGTCTACCACCGGGCGCTGGTCCTCCGGGCGGCGGGGCTGCTGCTGAGTCAGCGCCGCTTCCGGGCGGCTGCTGAGCTGGCGCGCCGCCACAGGCTGGACCCAAACGTGTTGGTGGATTTCGGCGGGTGGCAGTCATTTGCCTGGCAAATGGGAACAGCCATTAACGGAGAGCAGAGTGATCCTGCCTCTAATGGTGTGCATGTGTTGGTGGTGACTACTAGTGGGGTGGGTGTGACTAGTGGAGCGAGGGAGTTTGTGTGGCAGGTGGGGGAGAGGGGACTGCGGCATGTGAGTGAGGTGATCTACGGGTTGAGAGAGGAGGATGTGGCGGCGAGAGGAGGGTTGTATGGTGAGGTGCTTGCTGGGATGAGAGGCGGGGGAGGGGGATGGGGAGGGGAAGGTGGAGGAGGAGGAGAGAATGGAGAAGCAGGAGGGAGAGACAGGCAAGGGGATGGGAGAGGAGTGGTAGGGGGTGGAGGAGGGGGAGGAGGAGGAGGGATCACCGGCAAGGTGACAGCAGTGTGCGCAGCTCTCCGGGCGGCGCTAGAAGCCGAGCTGCCGCCCGGCGCAGTCCGGGACACGTGTGTGCTGAGCACGTACGCGTGCAGTGTGCCGCCCAGATTGGAAGAAGCACTCCTGCGAGTCAAGGCAAAGCGGAGCTCGGATGATCATGTGGGTCGTATCTTTAGAGATGGGCATGTGGGTCTGTCTAAAGATGGGTCTAGAGATGGGCAAGTGGATGGGTCTAGGTCTACAGATGAACCAGAATCTACTCACCCCCCCACCCCTCTCCTCTCCCTGTCTGTGGAAGCTTCCTTGAAGCATCTCATGTGGCTGACCTCCCCAGACCACGTCTTTAACTCCGCATTAGGTCTCCACGATTTAAACCTCGCGGCTTTAGTAGCCGCCCATGCCCAGTCCCAAAAAGACCCCAAGGAGTTCCTCCCGATCCTCCGAGGCTTGGCCACCGAGCCTCCGCCGATCCGGCGGCTCAGGATCGATGTGAGGCTCGGGAGGCTGGAAGGGGCGGTTGGCCAGCTGGTGGCTCCTGATTCGCCGCTGATGGTGGTGGGGAGGGGCGGAGGGAGGGGAGAGGCGGAGGGAGAGGGAGGAGAGGGAGGAGAGGGAGGAGAGGGATTGGAGGGGAAGAGTGGTGAGCAAGTGAGGGAGCAGGGCAAGGGAGAGGGGAGCGAGGCAGCAGGACAGGAGGCGAGGCGGCTAGTGGAAGAGGTAATGGCATTGCTGCAAGCACACCCTGATAGACTGTTCCCTGTTGCTGCTGCTGCCACTGCAACGGCCATCGCCTCTCACCCCTCCCCCTCATCCTCCTCCTCTTCCTCCTTGACTGATTCCTCTTCTGCTTCCCTCGCTGCTTCGGCCGTGCCTACCCTTGCTTCGGTCCGAACCTCCATTCTCAACCAATGGGCAGAGCACCTCTTTTCCCGGGCCTCCGAGGCCTCGCTTCCCGAAGCTGCGCTGCTCTTTACCGCAGCTAACAACCTGCCTCGTGCGCTCCAGGCCTACCGCCAGGCTGGGCAGTGGCGCAAGGCGCTTACCACTGCAGCCAGGCTCGGATTCCCCGAACCTGAGGTTCGGAAACTCGCACAGGAGCTTCGGGAAGAGCTTGTCGAGGTTGGGAGGAGGGCAGAAGCCGGGCGGCTGGCGATTGAGTACGAGGGGGATTCGGGCGGCGGGATTCGTCTTTTAGTGGAGGCGCATTGTTGGGAGCAGGCAGCGGAGGAGGCGGGGAAGTGTGGACAGGTGTCGCTTCTTGATTCGCTGATCGCTCCAGCAGCGGTAGAAGCAGCAAGGGGAATGCTTACAGACATGGATGAAACACAGGGGAAAATCACAGCCTATGTTCGCCGGTTCGGTGCAGTGCGGTGCAAACGGGTGCAGATGGAGGAAAAGCTCAAGGCCGAGAGGTTGGAGAGGGAGGAGGTGGAGAGGAGGAGGAGGGAGGAGTATGGAGAGGAGTATGGGGGAGGGGGCATGGGGATGGATGAGGCTTCAGAAACAGCATCTATGGCATCAAGTGATGTGGGCAGCATGGCTAGTGGTGTCACTGGCTTGAGTGCTTATACTGCAGGGTAAGCACCACCTGCCCTATAATGAGAGTTTTTATATTGCATACTGCAGGATACGTGCTGATACTGCAGGGCCATGGGTGATGGGAAAGCCCTAACCTTCTGCCATGCCTCACAGCTCATCCTCACGAGTTTTGAGGCGCCTCAAATATTGCATACTGCAGGATACGTGCTTATACTGCAGGGTACGTGCTTATACTGCAGGGTACGTGCTTATACTACTGCAGGGCAATGGGTGATGGGAAAGCCCTAACCTTCTGCCATGCCTCACAGCTCATCCTCACGAGTTTTGAGGCGCCTCAAATATTGCATACTGCAGGATACGTGCTTATACTGCAGGGTACGTGCTTATACTGCAGGGTACGTGCTTATACTACTGCAGGGCAATGGGTGATGGGAAAGCCCTAACCTTCTGCCATGCTCACAGCTCATCTGCTCGAGTGAGCATGGCCAGTGGGTAGACGGTCAGCAGCAAGCCTTGAGGTGCTCTCCCTCCATCCTTTCCCTGTCAAGCCTCCCCACTCCCCCCACCCTCTCCGTACCCCACAGCTCATCCTCTCGAGTGAGCATGGCCAGTGGGTAGACGGTCAGCAGCAAACCTTGAGGCCCCTTCCCCTTTTATCTCCCTCCACCCGTCCCCTGTCAACCCTCCTTCCTCCCCACCTGCCATCACCACAGCTCATTCTCCCGAGTGAGCATGGCCAGTGGGTGGACCGCCACCAGCAGGGCCCCTCTCACTGCACCCCTCTCCCCCTCCATTTCCTCTCCCCCGAAACCCCCTGCCATCACCCACAGCTCGTCCTCCCGAGTGAGCACCGCTAGTGGGTGGACCGCCACGAGCAAGAAGACGGGTGGTAGGGCGGCCAGGAGAAGCACCCACAACCCGTACCATCACCCATAGCTTCCACTCCTTCCTCCCTCCACCCCCTTGCCTTCTCCGTCTTTCAATCAACCACAGCTCATCCTCCCGAGTGAGCACCGCTAGTGGGTGGACCGCCACAAGCAAGAAGACGGGTGGCAGGGCGGCCAGGAGAAGCACCCACAACCCGTACCATCACCCATAGCTTCCACTCCTTCCTCCCTCCACCCCCTTGCCTTCTCCGTCTTTCAATCAACCACAGCTCGTCCTCCCGAGTGAGCACCGCTAGTGGGTGGACCGCCACCAGCAAGAAGACGGGTGGTAGGGCGACCAGGAGAAAACAACAGAAGGCTGACAAGGGGAGGCGGATTCGCGCTGGCAGGTCAGACGTAGGGGCGTGCTGGGGGAAGGGAACAGGGGGTCTTGGGCTCGCATGTTGCTGACCGAGTCTGCCTGCCATGCACATGCACATGCACATGCACATGCACATGCTCATGCACATGCTCATGCATATGCACATGCACATGCACATGCTCATGCACATGCACATGCACATGCACATGCACATGCTCATGCACATGCACATGCACATGCTCAGGAGCTCAGCATGTACTGGAGCAAGCACTGGTCGAGCACGTTTGCACATTCGGCCCGTCAGTTGCTTCTTCTTATAGCTGACTCGTACCCCCCTCCCCCCCCAAACCCCCCCTTCACCTCCCTCTCCTTTCCTTCTTTTCTTCTCCCTCCCATTCCAGTCCTGACGAGGAGCAAGCATTGGTTGAGCACATTCGCATGCTCGGCCCCTCCTCCCAAACCTTGGAGGAGGTTCGGCAGCTGCTGGAGCTGCTCACAGGCTCGGGGCACGAGCCTTTGGCTCGAAGGCTTCAGGCACGGGTGGGGGCTTTAATCGCCACTCATACGGCAGCTGTTGCGGAGGTGGAAGCAGCTCTTAAAGAGGATAGACTGAAGGCAGCGGTAGAAGCTGAGGGGGTTTTGCATTCCAATGCTGCTGGAGATGCAGCAGCAGAAGCGGGTTTGGCTTCTGCTACAAAGCAAGACGTGAAATGGAAGTGGGAGGTCCTAGAAGGCATTTAATCACATTGTGTCCACAATGCAATATTTTGAAGCAGCATTTTTTTCCACATACACATATTGTATGGGAAACGTTTGTAACAGTGGAATTCTACACGAAATTATAGGAGTATTTAAACAGCACGAAGCGGGAGACGAACCGGCACTTGCTGTTACCGGATTCCATGCAACACTTCGCCTCCAATCCAATCTTTGGCTCGGTTGGGCGGGCCTCCTCCTCGCCCGCTAAAACCCCGCCAATCCCGCTTCCAAATCGCGCCCCTCTCGCCCATACCGCAATTTGCCCCACAGTCGCCCCGCATTCGCCCCGACCGATCCGCCACTACTTTTCGCGTTGCACTGCTTTGCCTGTCTCTGATTCTCGAATCTCCATCAACCTCCTCTCTCGTCTCTATTAGAGCAAGCCAACGGCCCTATCTGCAGCTGCATCCCGCAGGCCGCGAGTATCGCACGAGTAGTATTCACCTCACGTACGGGGCGTACTAGAGTGCGCGGCGCTTTCGTGCTGTCAATCACCGATGGCTCGAACTCCCGGCGCGCGAGAGAGCGGCAACTTCTTTCATGCAGCGCGCCGATGCCGCGTAATCTCAGCGGCGTCATCGCGGCAACGCCCAGAGCTCCGCGCAAGTGTCGATAAATATTTTAGAAAGGATAGAGCATATCGGACAAAGCGACAAAAATAGTCAGTTGCTGGTCGCTACTAGTCACGTGTTCGAGTCAACTCAACAACGGTCATTCGGCTCAACCGTCGACTGTAACTGAAACCGTCATCGCTCGTTGTGCCGCCCCTCTCATCACGGAAACTCATCGCTGGTTGCGCCGCCCCTCGCTGTGCGGAAACTCACCAACTGTTCCCCCCCCGATCTCGCCAACGCCTCCTCCGAAAAGGCTCCCGTCTCCCTTCGAGAACCGAGTCCATCATACGGCATGCAGGCGATAGGATGATGCCTCAACATCAACTTGTTGCGCGCCGTCGCGGTAGGATTCACCCAGTCAGGCTGGTTGATGATAGCGACGCGGGGTCGGACGCATGAGTTGGGCGCCAGCGCGCTGCTCTCGCGCTTCGGGCTCGTCGGGTGGGTATATAGGTAGCAAGCGTAAGCGAGTTCAACCACACCATTTCGGCGAGATTCGAAGCTGTTGATCTCTCCTATATTCACTGAGTAGCGTTTTCTCCTATACTCATTTATACTCATTCATCGAGAAGGCTGTGTTCTAGTTATCTCCCGACCTTGGGAAGACTCTTTGAAAATGGCCATCCGCGCGCGAAATGCGGCTACCCCGTGGGCACTTTTCGCGAGCAGCGCCGGCGTCGCCGCGCTGCTGGTCGCATGTCTCCTGAGCGAAAGCGGGGCGAACTTCGCGAACGCGCAGATGCCGAATGGGCGCCGCGAGGAGCCCGAATGGGTGACGCAGATGCTGCAGAACACCGAGCCAGACGCGCAACCCGGCCCCGCGGATCTCGGCTGGGTGGAGCAGCTGGTGCCGAATTCTGATTCGTCGGCGCAAGACGCATCCGCGCAATTCCCCCCCGCGCAAGGGCCTCCCGCGCAAATCCCCCCCGCGCAAGGGCCCCCCGCGGACGATCCCGACTCAGATGACCAGGATGAGGAGGACGATTCGCGTCCTGACTTTGCTGGAGAAATTGACCCCCAAGACTCGGAAGGTCAGGCGGAGCCTGACTGGGAGGCGCAGATGCAGTCGATCCTCCAGCAGGTGGCCAATCGCACCTTCCTCTCTTCCTTCGGCCAGATCTTCGCCAGTTACTGTGAGTTCCCAACCGCACTGAACCGCTCTGAGCCGCCCCCCGCCTGCTTCCCCCCCTACCCCCGCTTCCCCCGCGAATTCTGACTGGGAGGCGCAGATGCAGTCGATCCTCCAGCAGGTGGCGAATCGGACCTTCCTCTCCTCCTTCGGCCAGATTTTCGCCAGCTACTGTTGAGTTTTCAATCGTTTTGAACCTCTCTGTATCCATTTCCAGTCCAATCGGGGTGCCTGTTCATTGGCCAGGATCTGATTCCTTCCCATCCCCACCAGCGTCTCTCTTCATTGGCCACTGGTGCCACCTCACCCAGTGTCCCACCTGGCACCTAATTGCTCATGCCTTCAATCCTTTTATCTCTCCCTCCCCTCTTCCCCTCTCTCTATTTCTCCCTCCACCAGTCCAATCTGAACAGCTGTTCACCGATCAGGATGCAACCATTCTCATCCCCACCAATGAGGGGTCACAGGCACTGCCTCACTCCGAGTCTAATTGCTCTTACACCTCCCATTCCTATCCGTTTTGTCAACTCTTTCCAAACCTCCCTCCACCAGTCCAATCGGAGCAACTGTATATCGATCAGGATGCAACCATCCTCATTCCCACCAACGTTGGCTGATGGCGCTACGAAACCCAGTGGGACACTCTCACCCGCAAGCAGAAGCGCCGGTTACTCCGTTACCACATTCTCAAGGGGCGTTACACCACGCAGCAGCTCCTGGACGCCGCTCCGCTCACCCTCTTCCCGACCTTTAACCAGAACCTGCCGGTGAACAAGACTCTTAAGCCGAACGAAGTGTATTTCCAGTCGGTTCCGCCCCAGAGGTTTGTGTCGCCGCTGAGCGTGCCGAATGCGGGACTGACTGATAACATTGCTGCGCATGGCGTGACGATGGTTCTCGTTCCGCCCAACCTCAACTAGAGGAATTTGTCTTCTTGCAAGAAGAGGCGCCGAGCGTGCCGAATGCACATGCGGGGCTGATGGAGAGGTTGGCTGCGCATGGGGTGGTGGCAATGGTGCTCCTGCTGCTGCCTAACCTCAACTGAACCTGGTCTTCTTGCAACAGGAGGTGCTATCCACTACAGTAGCAATCCGAAACAGCTTCTAAGCGCTTGTTTTGGAGTGTAGAGGGAACATAAAGCAGGCATGGGCAGGAGGGATGGAGTGAGTGGTGCTGGATGGATATTGTAATGTTTGGGAGCAGGCTATGGAATAAAGAGAAGGGACTCCATTCATGGGGTGCCTATGTTTGATAGTACAGTGCGAAGTACCGTTTTTTTTTTTTTTTTTTTTACAAATTCTACATTTGATGCATTTGATCACCAACAAAGCTTGCTTACTGGACGAACAAATGAAGGCACTCGCTCTTCTAGCATTCAAGACACCTGGATAATCGGCCTGAACAAGAGCCTGTAATTGCAAAAGTATCACGGGATTTCGCACTCACATCACTTGCTCGCTACGCTATTCTCTCCTGATGGGGAGCAGGAACTGGTCGATAAAATTTGCAGGGTGTGCTTGAACTTTCTTCCAAACCCTGGAGGAGGTTTGGCGGGTGCTTGAGCGGCTGGTAGATTCGGGACACAAGCTTTTGGCTTGGTGCTTGAGGCGCGCGGTTGGGATCTTTGATCCCTCTTTCATTCGACGACTGTTGGGGGTTGAAGCAGCTATTGAAGAGGATAGGATGGAGGCAACAACATTAGTTGAGGGGCATTCTTTCGATGATGCATCAGGAATGTGTTAGGCTTCTACTAAGCAATAATGGGTAGTACTTTGTAGGTTCTAGAAGGCATTTTTTATCATCATTCAACACTGCAGTATACCGAAGCAGCAAAATTTGTTAGCATGGCACGAACTTCTAGGACGAAATTTCGACAACACGAACTGGGAGACGAAACGGCACTTGCTGTTACAATATTACAAATTGTACCGATTTGCGGTTCGCTTCTCGCTTGGCCTCTGCGCTGCCTCCTCTTCACGCGCAAAAGCCCCGCCACTTCCGCCCACATTCAATTTGCGCCCCTCTCACCCATTTCGCAACTCGCCCAACGTTCGCCCTCCCCCTCCCCACCACCGATCCGCCTCTGCTGCCTGTCTTGAACTCTCTCAACTCGATCAACCTCAGCTGTTGTCCCTATTCGAGCAAGGCAAGAAACCATCGTTGCGTTTTCTTCTCGTCGCGAATATTGCACGGGTACACACCTCGGTAGTAGGCGTACAGTAGTAGAGTGCGTGAACTTTGCTCGCGGCGTGAGGTGAGATTTCATGTTGCGAGAAAACGACGAATCGAACTTCCGTTGCGCGAGAGCAGCAACTCCTCCGCTGCAGTGCGCCGATGCCGCGGAATCTCGGCTGCCGCGTCATCGCGGCGACCCTAAGGTCTCGAGTAATCCGATAGCAAGGATATTTTTTTCCGGCAAAGCAAACAAAAACAGTGAGTTGCCGGCGTGCTCGAGACAACTCAGAAACCGTCGACTGTAAACTAGTACAGCTATCACCGCTCGTTGCACCGGAAGTATCAGAAACTCTCTGCGACCAGGTCGGACCTCTATGCGCAGAAACTCACCAACTGCTTCCCCCGTTTCCGCCAACGCCTCGTCTGAAAATGCTTCCTTCTCCCCTCGAGAACCGAGCCGATCACACGGCAGGCGATAGTATGTGCCGCCCGTTGCGCGGAAACGCACCAACTGCTTCCCCCGTTTCCGCCAACGCCTCGTCTGAAAATGCTTCCTTCACCCAACGCACGCCGACCTGAGTTTTGCAGATGATAGGATGCATTCTCCACGTCAGGTTGTTGCGATATGATAGGGTGCATTCTCCCTCGCGATATGATCCAGCCAGTCGGACTGGTTGCTGACAGCGGTCAGACGCACGATGATGCGCGTACGCGTGGGGCATGCGCGCTGGGACGCCTGCGCGCCTGCGCGCTCCTTGGACGAGTTGGGGCGCCTGCGCGCTGCGCTCGCGTTTCAGGTCGCGCGGAGCTGTCGGGGGAGTAGAAACCTCTCGCAGTAGAAACTGCTGACAGGAGCTTTGGGGGGGGGGGGGGGGGGGTGGGCGTAGAAACTGCCGAACAACAGGAGCTTGGGGGGGAGGGGGGGGGGGGTGGTAGAGACTGCTGATAGTCTCATCGTCCTCGCCGATCAGAGGATTCCTTCTCGCAGTAGAAACTGCTGACTTCTAAGCTCCGACTCTACTGTACTATTTTCTACACACCCTTTGGAGGTACACAAAGTTCGAGTTCACTTCCTGTCCCTCGGGAAGAAAAATGACCGTGATCCGCACGCGAAATGGTGTTACCCCGTGGGCGGTTCTCGCGAGCAGCGCCGCCGGTGTCGCCGCGGCGCTGCTGGTCGCGTGTCTGCTGAGCGGCGGCAGCGGGGCGAACTTCGCGGAGGCGCAACCCGCGTCGCCGCAAATGGTCGTTCCGACTGTTGCGCCCGCGGCTAGATCAGGGAGGGATTTTACCCCGTTGGATCCTGACTGGGAGGCGCAGATGCAGTCAATCATCCAGCAGGTGGCGAATCAGAAGGAGCTCTCCTCATTTGCCCAGATTTTCTCTAACCAATGTGAGTTTCCAACCGTTTCGAACCTTTCTGTACCCATTTCTTACCAATTCGCTCTCACTCTGACCGAATATACACTTGCTCGTGCATCTTGTTCTTATCCTTAATGATGTTCTTCCCCCATGCTCCCTCTCTTGTACAATCCTTTATCACCTCCTTCCCCATTAACCTCTCCCCTCTTCTATACTCTCCTCCCCCCTCCCCACTCCCCCTCCTCACTCCCCCTCCCCTCCCTCCCCCGGCCTCCCAGTTTTTCTCTTTCGATCTGAACATCTGTTCATCAGTCAAACGCAACTCTCCCATCCCCACACACGAGGGCCACTGGAGCTACCTCATTAAGTGTCTGATTCATCTGATGCCTTCTGTTCCTATCCTTTTTATTACCTCCCCCCCTCTCCCCAATCTTCTCTCTGCCAGTCAAAACAGAGCAGCTGTACATCGATCGGAATGCAACCATCCTCATCCCCACCAACGTCGGCTACTGGCGCTTCGAAAGCCGGTGGGACACTCTCTCCCGCAGGCAGAAGCGCCGGTTACTCCGTTACCACATTCTCAAGGGACGTTACACCGCGGGGCAGCTCCTAAGTGCTGCTCCGGGCACCCTCTTCCCTACTCTTAACATGAACCTGCCGGTAAACAAGACTTTTAAGGCGAACGTAGTGCCGTATTTGACGAGGGTCGTGACGTTGCTGACCGTGGCGAATGCCGGGCAGACAAATAATTTCGCTGCGCATGGGGTTACAATGGTGCTCCTGCCGCCCAACCTCAACTGCACCCGGTCTTCTTGCAGTGACGAATCCATTAAGTTAAATTAGAATCATTTGGTTTTTGAGTTTAGAGAGAGAATAAATCAGGGGGGATGGAGTGATGCTTGATGAATGTTGTAACGACCTTAAATGGTACGGTATGTGAATAAAATGAGGGACTACATTACAGTGCCAATGTTGAAAGAAAGTCTCTGGACGTTGATCAGAGTACCATACCTTACGTTGACGCAGGATCTTGGATGAGTTTTGTAGCTACGGTAATTTGTAGAACTTCTTGTTCTGTAGGAGTTTTGTAACAGTGCGTGTATGGTATCCGCTTCGCCACATCGCGCATGGTTTAATCGGCGACTGAGTGCGACGTTAATTGCTACCATGTAAACTTCCGCTCGAAACGGCGATACGCACCAAACCAGAGTACGGAGCGGGAGACGAAACGGCACCAGCTGTTACCAAATTCCCATCGTACTATCGCCTCCCATCTTAGGTCTCGATTCGGCCTGCTCGTCACCCGCGAAACCTTCGTTTATCCTACTTTCAATTCGCGCTCCCCTCGCCCATTCCGCAATTCGCCCCACATTTGCCCCCAACCAACCCATTCGCCCCCTCCCTACTGCTGTGTGTCTCAATTTCTCTCAACCTTCGTCTCTTGTCCCTTCCTACTAAATAAAGCCAACAATAACCCTGTCATTGCGGATACATCTCGCAGATCGCGGGTATCGCGCGAGTATCCATCTCGCCTGTATGAGAGGATAATTCGAGAGCCGAGGACTCGAAATGCCGGGCGCGAGGCAGCAGCAACTTCTCCGCTGCAGCGCGCCGATGCTGCGGGATCTCGGCGGCATCCGTAGTTGTCGAATATCGTAATAGAATGGATAGAGTGTATTCGGCAAAGCGACGAAATCAGTCATTTGCTGGCCTGCTTGATTGAATCAACAATCGTCACTAGGCTGAACAACATTCCAGCTCTTAACCGTCGACCGAACCGTCGACCGTTGAAACTAAAGCCGTCACCGGTTGCGCCGGGCCTCTCTGCGCGTCCGATGAGGGGGTAACAGGCGGAGACAGGCGGAAACAGGCGGAAACAGGCGGAAACTGGCGGAAACAGGCGGAAACAGGCGGAAACTGGCGGAAACTGGCGGAAACAGGCGGAAACAGGCAGAAACTCACCGCTCCTTGCGCCGGGCCTAAAGCCGGCACCAGTTGCGCCGGGCCTGTCCGCGCGGAAATTCACCACTCTTTCCCCCCGTTCTCGCCAACACCTCCTCCTAAAATGCTCTCGACTCCCTCGAATACCGAGCCGATACGACAGACGAAGGTTGCCTTGCGCTCCCTCGCGATACGATCCAGCCAATCAGACTAGTTAGTTCCGGCAACGTGGCGGTAAGACGCGATGAGTGAAGATCACTTACTCATCATGCTCGCTGCGCTGCGCGCGGGTTCAACAAGCCGGGGGGCCAGGGTGGGCTGTGTATATAGGTAGCAAGCGTAAGGTACTAGGTCACCCACACCATCCGCGCCCGTGCAATAAAAGCTGCTGGCGTTTTCAGCTCGAAGTCCACCGGGAAAGGCCTTTCTCTTCAAGAGAAGAGTAGAAAAGAGTAACTACTCACCTTTTGAGAGGACTGTTTGCTCGAGTTTTCGAGTTCTCTTCCTTTTCCTTGGGACGAAATGGCCATCCGCTCGCGAAATACGGTTACCCCATGGGCGGCTCTCGCAAGCAGCGGCGTCGCTGCGCTGCTGACCGCGTGTCTGCTGAGCGGCAGCGGGGCGAACTTCACGGAGGCGCAACCCGCGCCGGCAGTCTCCGACCGGGCGGCGCAAATGGTCGTGCCGACTGCTGCGGCGGCGGCTGGATCATGGCCCCCGCCGGATCCTGGTTGGGAGGAGCAGATGGAATCAATAATCCAGCAAGTGGCCAATAAGACGTCTCTCTCCTCCTTCGCCCAGATCTTCTCTAACCACTGTGAGAGTTCCCAACCGTTCTGAACCTCCCTGTACCCATGTCTCATCAATTAGCTCTCTCTCTCTGAGCCAATGTCCATTTGCTCCCTCTCTTGCTCCCCCCCCTTCCCCCCACCCTCCCTTACCCCTCCCTTCTTCTATCCTCTCCGGCCTCTCCCCCCTCGCCACTCCCCTTCCCCTATCTCCTCCTCCCCCCAAAATCCTCTCTCTAAACAACTGTTTCTCTAAACGCATGGCTCCCCATCCCTGGTGCTACCTCACTCAGTGTCTAGTAGCTCTTTTGCCTTCCATTCCTATCCTTTTTATCACCTCTCCCTCTCTCAATCAGTCAAAACCCAACAGGTGTTTATCGATCGGAATGCAACCATCCTCATCCCCACCAACGTCGGCTACTGGCGCTACGAAACCCGGTGGGACATTCTAGAGCCAAGGTAGAAGCGCCGGGTTCTCCGTGGCCTCATTCTCAAGGGGCGTTACACTGCACGGCAGCTCCTGAATGCTGCTCCGGGCACCCTCTTTCCGACTATTAACCAAAACATGCCGGTAAACAAGTCTACTAAGCCAAACGGAGTGTATTTCCAATCGGTTCTGACGAGTGACATGACGTTGCTGAGCGTGCCGAATGCGGGGCTGACGAGAAATTTCGTTGCGCATGGAGTGACATTGGTCCTCTCGCCGCCCAACCTCAAGTGCTTCTGGGCTTCTTGCAGTGACCGTATGGTTACAGCACCACCCATGCAGTCCTAGAGAGACCATAAACTAGGAATTGGCAGGAGGGATGGAGTGATGCTGGGTGGATGTTGCAACGACCGTAAAATGGTCCGATGTGAATAAAATGTGGGACTACAAATGTTGCAATTACAGACCTGGCCTTTGAGATGACTTTATTATGGTCAAATGGATTTGATGTATCACCGATGAAGCTTGATCATACGGATTTTACTCTTCAACAGTGTAAGATCACTTCAAAATGTTTGATGGCCTGAACAACAGCAGTTTCCTACACTTCCTTGACTCTCCACGTAGATTCGGGCGAACACCTCAGGACGCGGTGAAAGTGCAATGATCGCGGGATCGTCTTCATATATCGAGCCTCACAATCGAGTTTACTGATCGTTTGGCGAAACATGACGATCGCTCCGTTGTAACGATCGCACCTAAGATTGGTGTTCTATGTTCCACATACGAGAACACTGCCTGCCTGCGACACGGGCCCAAAAATTACAAGCGTCGTCCAAGCCCACCTGCGACAGTCGCAGCCCACAGGGCAACCATGTCAAAGTATATGCATGTTATATATGTGTAGGCTGAAGTGGGGTAGCCAATATGGGGTACAGCCCCTTTTAGGGTTTCATACTTGTACCCAACTCTTTCATAGTTCATCCATCCCTGCTGCTTGATTCTGACATGGTTTCAGAGCACTAGGTCCGTAGGACAGTTTTTGTTTTTCGGGCCCACCTACCGTTGCTGTTACCGTGTTACCCCACGTGTTGTCCTGCCTGCCTGCCTTGCCTTGTGACGTGCTGCGCTGCGCGCGCCGTCCTGCAGCCCTCGTACTGCCCACTGCTGCCCTAGGCCAGAGCGCCGCCCCTGCAGGCCCGTAAGGCTCACGCGCCGCGCCTGCAGACACGTCAGGCCTGCGCGCCGCCCCTGCACGCCCGTTAGGCCAGGGCGCCGCCCCGCCAGTTCGCTGCCCCGCGCGTCGCGCCCACAGCCCGCGCGTCGCGCTGCAGCCCCGCGCGTCGCGCCCACAGCCCGCGCGTCGCGCTGCTGCCCGCGCGTCGCGCTGCAGCGCCGCACGTCGCGTTCGCTGCCCGCGCGTCGCGCTGCAGCGCCGCGCGTCGCGTTCGCTGCCCGCGCGTCGCGCTGCAGCCCCGCGCGCCGCGGCTGCCGTCCTCGCGCAGCCCGCGGCGGCTTCGCGCGCCGCGTTTGCAGCTCGCGTGGCGCGCTGCAGCCCCGCGCGCCGCGGCTGCCCCTGGACGCCGCCGTCGCTCCTACAGCAGCTGCCACGGAGCGCCCTGCCGCAGTCGCGGCCCCGCCCTGCAGCACCTGCCGCGGAGCCTCCTGCAGCCGTCGCGACCCTGCCCTGCAGCAGCTGCCGTGGAGCCTTCTGCCGCCGTCACGTCCGCGCCCTGCAGCAGCTGTCGCGGACCTGCCCTTCCTCCGACGCGGTCCTGCTCTGCCGCAGCTGTCGCGGCCCCGCCGTCGCCGCCGTTGTGAGCCTGCCCTTCTCGCCACTGGTGAGCACTTACCCGCCTGCCTGCCTGCCTGCCGCGCCTCCCCTGCCTGCGCTACTACTACTGCTAGACTGCTGCTGCTGCTGCTGCTGCTGCTGCTGCTGCTGCTGCTGCTACTACTGCTACTGGCGGTGGCCAGATGCAGCTCCAGCGACGTTCACGCGAGTCTCTCACGCCCCAGCAGCTTAGTGAGTGGTACGCTAGTTGGGGTTGTGGCGGTCGCCGTCGTAGCTGTCGCCCTGGAGCTGGTCAGTTGGGAGCGTCTGGCAGTGGCCAGCTGCAGCTGCAGCGGCGTCCACGCGAGACACTTACGTCCCAGCAGCTTCACGAGTGGTACGCTCAGAGTAGAGGGTCTTTGAGTACCGTTCGCTGCCCGTACGTCATTCGCACAGGTGATCGGGTCGGTCAGCCTTGCGGGACGCTTGGTCACACACAGTCCCGCTGCTTCGCCCGTCTGAGCGACGCCTGGCGTACCGAGTTTGGCGACGAGGCTGAGCTCCCCTCCTGGCTGGAGCTGCTTGGACAGAGGGTAGATATCTTTGCTCTTGACTATGATGCTATTCTCACTGCCATGTATGCATTGCCTACTAGTGCTGACCGTGCCTGTTCCCTGTGCGTACCGCCTGACCCAGGTATAGAGCCTGCTGCTCTAGGTGCTGGTGAGGCTGCTGCTCTAGGTGCGAGTGCGTCTCCTGCTCTTTGTACTGGTGAGGCTGCTGCTCCAGGTGCTGGTGAGTCTGCTCTCTCTGGTACTGCGCCTGCTGAGGCCGTGTACACCTTCACACTTGACTCAGGTGCTTCCCGCTCCTTCTTCCGCGACAGCACCACACTCACGCCGCTCCGTCGGCCGGTTGCAGTCTCCCTGGCAGACCCCTCTGGGGGTCCAGTCCTTGCGCACTCCTCCACGGTCCTGCCGTGTCCGGCGGTCCCGTCTGGCTCCCTGTCAGGTCTTCACCTCCCCTCGTTCTCTACGAACTTGGTGAGTGGAGCTGACCTACAAGATGTGTGGGTTGACCAGTTCACCCCTGGAGGTCAGCGTGTGACACACTGTACGTGTTCCCGGACTGGTCGGCACCTGGCCACGTTCACCCGAGAGCCTGGCTCGAGTCTGTACACACTCACCACTGTGTCCCCTCAGGTAGCTGCGTCTGCGTCTGCGTTTGCGTCAGGTCAGCTAGCGGCCCCCTGCTCGTGTCGCGCTCGGTCGCACCAGACCCTCCTTTGGCACCACCGCCTTGGTCACCCCTCGGTGCAGCGCCTTCGTAGCATGCACAGCCGTTTCCTTGTCTCTGGACATCCAGAGACTCTGCCTCCTCTACCACCCTCGCCTGCTCCTCCCTGTCTTCCCTGTGTCGAGGGGCGACAGCGCGCCGCTCCTCACTCCTCCTCGTTCCCTCCCACAGAGGCTCCCCTGCAGACTCTCCACCTGGACGTGTGGGGCCCAGCCCGCGTCCGTGGACAGGGCCACGAGTTGTACTTCCTGCTGGTCGTCGACGACTACACGAGTTTCACCACGGTCTTCCCCTTGCGCAGCAAAGGGGAGGTCCCTGATGTTTTGATCCCCTGGATCCGCGCTACTCGTCTCCAGCTCCGCGAGCGGTTCCAGTCGGACTTTCCTGTCCTGCGTCTGCACTTTGACAGAGGTGGTGAGTTCTCCTCAGACCTCTTGGCAGCCTACCGTGCGGAGCACGGCATTCGCCAGACGTTCACGCTTCCGGCCTCTCCGCAGCAGAATGGGGTTGCTGAGCGCCGCATTGGCTTAGTCATGGAGGTCGCTCGTACCTCCATGATCCATGCGGCTGCCCCCCATTTTCTGTGGCCGTTTGCGGTCCGGTACGCCGCGCATCAGCTCAACCTCTGGCCCCGTGTCTCCTTGCCGGAGACCTCGCCCACACTGCTGTGGACGGGGAAGGTTGGCGATGCGTCGCGTTTCCGGGTCTGGGGTGCTCGTGCCTTTGTCCGCGATACCACCGCGGACAAGCTCTCCGCCCGCGCTGTTCCCTGTGTCTTCCTTGGCTTTGTCCCTGACGCGCCTGGTTGGCAGTTTTACCACCCCACCTCGCGTCGTGTCTTCCCCTCTCAGGACGTCACGTTCGACGAGTCGGTTCCCTTTTACCGTCTCTTCCCCTACCGCACTGCCCCTCTCCCCCCCCCCGCCGCTCTTCCTCGCTCCAGGTGCTCCCCAGGTAGACCCCCTCCCCGCTCCCGGTCCTGCTCCTTCAGGTGTGTCTCAGGTAGACCCTCCTCCCTTGACTGAGCTGGTTGAGGTCATTGGTGACTCAGGTCCTGCTGAGGGTGGTCCTACTCGGGTTGCTGCTTCTGGGGGTGCTGAGCCTGGGGGTGCAGAGCCTGGGGGTGCTGAGCGTGGGGGTGCGGAGCCTGGAGGTGCGGAGCCTGGGGGTGCGGAGACTGGAGGTGCTGAGCCTGGGTGTGAGGAGTCTGGGGGTGCTGAGCCTGGGGGCGCTGAGGCGTCAGGTGAGCAGTCTCCCTGGGGCGACCGTCTCCGTAGTCGCTCCGCTGGTGCCTCGCCGCTGCACTCTCGTCGTCGACTCCCTCTCTCCCCACAGCAGCTGCTTGAGTGGTACGCTGGCCGTCAGGGTCGCGCTGCTGGAGCTAGGAGCCCTGCTACGGGAGGCGCTGGAGCTGGTGACTCTGCCACTGGAGTTGTTTCTGCTGGAGGTTCTGGAGCTGCTGAGCGCGCTGGAGCTGGAGGTTCTGGAGCTGCTGAGGGTGCTGGCGCTGGAGGTTCTGGAGCTGCTGGAGGTACTGGCGCTGGTGGCGCTGGAGCTGGAGGTTCTGGAGCTGCTGCGGGTTCTGGCGCTGAGGGTTCTGAGTCTGCTGTTGCGCGGCTTCCTTGGAGTAGCCGCCTTCGTCCGCGTGTGCCTCTCACCTCGCAGCAGCTGCACGACTGGTACGATCGCCGTCAGGGTCGCGCTTCTGGAGCTCGGGGCTCTGCCGCTCGAGGTACGTCTGCTGACGTCACTGGAGCTGGGAGTGGTGCTGGTCCCGGAGGTGCTCGTACTGGAGGTACTGGAGCTGCTGGGACTGGAGGTGCTGAGCCTGAGGGTGCTGCTGCTGGAGGCACTGAGGCTGGAGACCCTGGGACTGGAGGTGCCGGTTCTGGGGGTGCTGCTGTTGGTGGAGCTGGTACTGGAGGAGCTGGCGCTGGGTGCTGGCGCTGGAGGTTCTGTAGCTGCAGGAGGTACTGGCGCTGGTGGCACTGAAGCTGGAGGTTCTGGAGCTGCTGAGGGTGCTGGCGCAGGAGGTTCTGGAGCTGCTGGAGGTGCTGGAGCTGCTGGGGGTACTGGAGCTGCTGGTACTGGTGTCACTGCACAGCCGCGCCTGTTCTTCGCTCCACCGTCTCCGTCGTCTCAGCCACCGCCTGACTCTGTGCTTCGCCAGGTTCTTAGTCTCCCTTCGTCTACTGGTCTTCCGTTACAGCCTGGTTCACCGCTGCCTGCTCCTTCTCCTTACACTGAGCAGCTAGGGAGTCTTACTGAGCATCGTGAGCCTGCGTCGCGTCCTGTCTCGCCTGTCTCTTCTGGTCGTTCTGGTCGTCGTGTTCCTCGTCCGCGTCAGCCGGCTGTCCCCGACACCCACCTCGTAGTCCGTCGTCCTTCCTCTCCTTCACAGCGTGTTCCTCTGCCGTCCCCTCCTGCGTCTTCTCTGCCTGTCGTTGCGGACCCCGAGTCTGACCGGTTTCGTGCTGAGCACCCTACTGTCACGCGTCTACTAGCCACTGTTGTCACTGACTCGTCGTTTGAGTCTGCTGCTACGTCTGCCTTAGTTGCTGAGCTTGTTGACTTTGCTGCTGCCTGTCGTCTAGACTACGCCGCTAGTCTTGTTGCTGAGTCTGAGTCTGTCTGTCCTCCGTTCGTCGGGAGTGAGTGTGCTCTTGGCACGGACGTCCTTGAGGACAGGCAGGAGGACCTTGAGTGTCTTGCAGCCGCTGCGCCTCATCTCGTGTCCATGCTGCTTGCCCCTGAGGGAGACCCGGATGCTCCAGACATCCCGAACCCGCGCTCTTACGCTGAGGCGATCGCGGGTGAGTACTCCTCTCAGTGGCAGACAGCCATGGATGCAGAGATGGCATCCTAGAAGTCCACAGGCACCTACGTCGACGAGGTTCCCCCACCTGGGGCGAACATCGTCAGTGGCATGTGGATTTTCAGGGTGAAGCGGCCGCCAGGTTCTCCGCCTGCCTTCAAGGCGCGTTACGTTGCACGAGGTTTCAGTCAGCGAGAGGGAGTAGACTTCTTCCAGACCTTCTCCCCCACCCCGAAGATGACCACTCTTCGGGTGCTGCTGCACGTTGCCGCTCAGCGAGACTACGAGCTTCACTCTCTTGACTTCAGCACAGCCTTCTTACAGGGCAGCCTGCACGAGGAGATCTGGCTGCGCCGCCCACCTGGCTTCACTGGGTCGTCCCCTCCTGGTACCCAGTGGAGCCTCAGGCGGCCGGTCTACGGTCTCCGCCAGGCGCCACGTGAGTGGCACGACACACTGAGGACGACACTTGCGGCTCTTGGGTTTGCTCCGTCGACTGCTGACCCGTCGCTGTTTCTGCGCACCGACACTTCGCTGCCGCCGTTCTACATCCTCGTGTACGTCGACGACTTGGTCTTTGCCACTGCTGACACTGAGGCTCTCGCCCAGGTGAAGTCGGAGCTGCAGAAGAGACACACGTGCACAGACCTGGGTGAGCTGACAAGCTATCTTGGCTTGCGGATCACCCGGGACAGAGCACGCCGCACCATCACACTGACTCAGTCACACATGGTGCAGCAGGTCCTTCAGCGCTTCGGCTTCACCTGGTCCTCGGCACAGCACACTCCTCTGGGTAAAGGTCACTCGCTCTCAGCTCCACCTTCGGACGAGTCCGTAGAGCCGAGTGGTCCTTACCCAGAGCTAGTGGGCTGCCTCATGTACCTGATGACCTGCACTCGTCCTGACCTTGCGTACCCTCTTGGCCTTCTGGCTCGCTACGTGGCTCCTGGTCGGCACCGAAAGGTGCACATGGATGCTGCTAAGAGGGTGCTATGCTACTTGTGCAGTACATCGGGCATGGGGCTCGTGCTTGGAGGGCGGAGCCCAGTTGTCCTCACTGGGCACTCAGACGCTTCTTGGGTTGACGACCAGGCTACGCAGCGGTCGTCACAGGGTTACACCTTCAGCCTTGGCTCTGGTTCGGTTTCTTGGCGTTCTACACGCTCGTCTTCAGTTCTCAGCTCCAGTTGTGAGGCTGAGATCTACGCCACAGCCATGGCTGCACAGGAGTTACGCTGGCTCACCTACCTGCTGACCGACTTGGGAGAGAGGCCTCGTTCTCCTCCAGTGCTGTACGTCGACAACAAGGCTGCCATTGCCTTGTGTCAGGAGCACAGACTGGAGCACAGAACGAAGCACATCGCTCTGCGTTACTTCCTGGCTCGAGAGTTGCAGCAGCGTGGTCAGCTTCGTCTTGCTCACGTGGCCACTCGGGCCAACACTGCTGATATATTCACCAAGGCGCTTCCGTCTGGTGATCATCAGCGTTTCTGCACTCTGTTAGGCCTTGTGCCTACGTTTCCTCACTTGCTGTAGACTTTGCCTGTACTGTGATCTATATATATACCTGCATGCTTGCTCTGCTAGGTAGAGATCACTGTGCTGTTGTTGTTGCATATATACCTCTGCATGTGAACTGGCCTTATGGCCCTCTGCTTGTGCTCAGTGTGTGTAGTGACGTTGTGATCCACCCTGAGCTTGCTTTGCTTCTCTTAACTGGTCTTGTGACCCCTTGCTCTCCCCCACTTTGCCTATGGGGGTGTGTCAAAGTATATGCATGTTATATATGTGGGGTAGCCAATATGGGGTACAGCCCCTTTTAGGGTTTCATACTTGTACCCAACTCTTTCATAGTTCATCCATCCCTGCTGCTTGATTCTGACAAACCACCCTTGGCGATGTGATGTTTACAGATTTCGAATCACGTTTGTGTTTGAGCTGAACTGATGGTTGTGTTGATGGGAGTGTTGACGGTTTTTTGATGGGTTGATGGATGTGCATCAGCGAGGCCCGCGTCGCGGTTGGAATGCTGCGAAATGTCGAAAACCCTGGCGACTCCCTTTTCTGGCCCTGCGATAACTTCGGCGACTGCATGCTTCCGAATCAATCGCGCCAGGTAGGCTCGGTTCACTTGATTGATGCCTATCACCGATCTCCCGCGATCAACGATCAGTCTTATTCACACACAGAACCCTAATTTTGGCCAAAACATATATTGTAGAATGGTTACATCAGGGTAAATAGGGTAACTGAGCCGCACACCGATCGCCACTGACGATCGCTCGTCTACTTTCACCGCGTCCTCAGTAACGAGATTGCACCAATCGGCTAGGTGGCCGCGCTGTGAGCAACCAATCTCGTCACATGCCGCGCTCTTCCGAACGAATTTGGATAGCCAATTACTGTGAAGTACTAGAATTACCACCACGTCGTACACGTAACACGTTTCGCTTCTCCAGCTTCGGTCGGGGTCGCATGGGTTGGTTTGGGTGTGGACATCTCGCACACTTCGTCAGACCCTTGAGAACTCCGTAAAGCTATGGTTTCAGGTCGTGTGCTGAATAGGACTTCAAAAATTTCGTTTAGCCACCGAGGAATCATATTTGGCGATGAAGTCTGCTATAGGGGATACTGTCTAGTACAACCACGGCTGAGAATGAATCGTTCTGGAGACGGAACATGTGCGGCGAACGCGGTGTTGAAACTGATTTTGTCCTGTGAGACTGTCCAAATCCACCGCATTCTTTCGCCTTAGTTGCGGATGATAGCCTCCCTTCACTGCAGGCCCAGTACAGCAGTAGCTTTAGTTTACCGAACGCACCTATAGTGCTGTCATTGACCTCTCCGCGTTCGACGGTATGGTCAAGCGCTAAGCGTCTGCTACAGTATAGTGTTTCCGTGATTGTTCGTACCTTCCTCATACTCCTTGAAGCCTCCCACTGATTCCCATGCCGTTTCATCAAGCGGTATTCACAGCTTCATACCCGTTAGAGGCAGAAGCGTGAAGGGGTCGCGTTGATGTGAAAAACATTAGGGAAAGGTCAGGTTACCGTCCTGCACGGCTCCGTTTGTCTTCTTTTATGGAGTCTTTTAATCATGCCACTACTGCCTCTGGACTTTCAGTGACAAATCCTTACAGTAAGGCCGTCCCCTCTAGTTCCTCCAATCCCTCTGGTCTCTCTAATCCAAAATATAGTCCATTCTCAAGTTCTTTGAATATTCATTGCACTACCACCTCCTCTGGACCTCGTCCCTCGTCTCCTCGTGCCTATTCCGAAATTCGAATCTCGCCGCACCAATCCGCTCGTCATCACTCGACTTCTCCTTATCGCGGACAGAGTGTAGCAGCTGTTAATATTACAGCCAGAACTAGCGACACCATAGCGGGTTTCAAATTCGTCACGTCCGGCACAGCACGGCCGCAATTGCGGGTCGGGAACCCCTCTTCTGACGATACATTTCGTGCATCGCGACAATCTACAGTACGAGAATCTACAGTTCGCAAATGCGAATCCGTAGCGGGTACGAAAAAGCTGTCCGTTCGCTCGCCATTTTTCGGCTGTAGCGAAAAAAACGACCGTTTGTTACTCGACTCTCAGACTGGCTCAGCCTCAAGCCCAATGCCGTTCCGGCCACTAGGAGCGCGTGTACGCTGCCACGTCACCGCGCAAGCACGCGCTTCCACCAACCAGCAGGGTTCATCGCTCCAGCCCAGATTCGGTGGCCGAACCTGCAGGCTTGGGGTAGCTCCGGCAGCTATCGGTCCACAACCAAGGAGTTCTCTAGGTTTGGGGGAAACTGGTGCGCTGGGGGCGGGGAATGGGGGAGGGGGGAGTTCCGCTGGGGGAGCTGCTTCCGCCTCAACCGCCACAACTTTATCCGCTGCCCGTTCCCAGACCCCTGACCGGCCTCAGCCATCCCTGGCCCGCCACGTGGCACGAAGCCTGCCCGTGGCGGTGTTGAGCGAGCTGGTGGCGGCAGCGGCTACAGCAGGAGGTACAGCCGCTACAGCCGCAGCCAATAGCGGGCTGCCAGCTCACGCGGGGCATCTGGCGATTCCTGCTACAGCCGTGACGCCTGTAGCAGTGACGGCGCTAGCAGCTATCTACGGAGCTTACCTGTCGGATAACCTGCTGGGACGGCAGAAGCAGCCGCCAAAAACAGGTAACAGGCTGGGGTGACGCCATTTCTTTATGGCCAGAAGTGACGATAACTCGATCACTTGTGCCTGCCTGATTGCTTTTGCCTCTGCCTTCAGCTGGTTTTACGGCCAGAAGTGACAAACAGGTAACAGGCTGGGATAACTCGATTGATTGTGCCTGCCTGATTACTTGTGCCTGTCTGATTGCTTTTGCCTCTGCCCCCAGCTGCCTCTTCCCCACGTTCCGTCTACCCGTTTTCACTTTTCCTTTCATCCGCCCCCTCCGTTGTTCATTCGTCCCTTTCTCCTTGCCCCCCACCCACGCATGTCCCGAATCTGTGCTGCTCAGAGCCGTTGATCATCGAGTCAGTGGACGTCACAGATTACCCCATCTTCAGGCACCCAGAGGTGCTGCGGGCCGTTGAGTTCGCCAGGGACGCCCACTGGGACCAGTACCGCAAGACAGGAGAGCCGTACGTCAACCACTGCGTGCACACTGCTCGCATCCTGGCTGCACTGGTGCCGCCTCAGGGAAAAAAGGTGCGTGTGTGGCTCTGTCTGGGTGTTTCTCTCTGTGTGTGGCTCTGTGTGCGTGGCTCTGAGTGAGTGGCTCTGAGTGAGTGGTTCTGTGCTGCGGGCTGTGGAGTTCGCCAGGGACGCCCACTGGGACCAGTACCGCAAGACAGGGGAGCCGTACGTCAACCACTGCGTGCACACTGCCCGCATCCTGGCTGCACTGGTGCCGCCCCAGGGTAAAAAGGTGTGTGTGTGACTCTGTGTGTGTGTGGCTCAGTGCGCGTCTCTCTCTCGTTTGACTCGTCTCAGCAGCCGTACGTCAACCACTGCGTGCACACTGCTCGCATCCTGGCTCGCTGCTCTGGTGCCGCCCCCGGGCAAGAAGATGCATGTGTGGCTCTGCGCGTGTCTCTTCTTGACTCGTCTCAGCAGCTGTACGTGAACCACTGCATGCATACTGCTCGCATGCTGGCTGGCTGCCCTGGTGCCGCCCTAGGGCAAGAAGGTGCGTGTGTGACTCTGTGTGTGTGTGGCTTCGTCTCAGCAGCTGTACGTGAACCACTGCATGCACACTGCTCGCATCCTGGCTGCCCTGGTCCGGGCAAGAAGGTGCGTGTGTGACTCTGTGTGTGTGCATACTGCGTGAACCACTGCGTGCACACTGCACGCATCCTGGCTGGCTGCCCTGGTGCCGCCCCAGGGCAAGAAGGTGTGTCTGTGTGGGTGGCTGTGTGCGCATGTCTCTCATTTGACTCACTGCATGCACACTGCTCGCATCCTGGCTGCCCTGGTGCCGCCCCCGGGCAAGAAGATGACACACTTTCAGGTTTAAGTGTCCAATATAAAAAACTGGAAAAAAAAACCCTCCCCCATTCGTCTCTCCTAACCTCCAGGCGGGGGATGCTGTGGTGGCAGCAGTGCTGCACGACATTGTGGATGAGTTGTCCCGTAAGACTCTCAAAACTCCACCCCCATCCGCTCCCCTCCCCCATTCGTCTCTCCTCACCTCCAGGCGGTGGATGCTGTGGTGGCAGCAGTGCTGCATGACATTGTGGATGACACGCCCTACGACATTGCTGACGTGGAAATGCTCTTTGGTGCTGACGTGGCACAGCTGGTGGATGGCGTGTCTCGCCTCAGCCACATCAACCAGGTATGGCACCAGCCCCATCCTCGTACTTGGTCTCCTTCCCACCTCCTTCCCACCTCGTTCCCACCTCCTACTTGACCTAACCTCCCACCAGAACCAGCTTTTGAGTCGACTCAAAAGCAGCCCATCCTCGTACTTGGTCTCGTTCCCACCTCCCTCTCACCTCCCTCTTGGCCTAACCTCCCACCAGAACCAGCCTCCTACTTGACCCGGCCTCCTTGCCAACTCCCCGCCTCCGCTCCCCTGCTCCCCCACTCGCTTGCTCCCCTTTTCCCGCACTTCCGCCCTCCCCCTTCTTCGTGTGACCTCACTGCGCCCATTGTCCCCCCCCACCGTCACCCCCCTTCCCCACTTCGTCCCGCTCCATTTGACTCTCAACTCTACTTCAGCTGTCTTGTGGCCTGTAACCCAACTCCTTTTTCGCCATGCTGCCCATTTGTTTGGCTCTCAAAGCTGTTGTCGTCTCTCTTGCCCCCGTACTTGTGTGATGCGCCGTCGCCCTAATCCCCCTACTCCCCTACTCTACCCCTCAATGCGTACCCTCATGCTCATCTCCCTGCAATCTTCGTCTCCTCCCCTACTTGCCCCACTTTCCCCGCCCCTGTATTGTGCCCGCTGCTGCAGTTGCTGCGCCGCCACCGCAGGGCTACGGCAGAGCAGAGAGCACAGGAGAACACCGGACTCAACGTCTTCCCCCTGCACTCCCCTCCCGCTCCTCCCCTCCTCTTCCCTTCCTGCCCTACCCCTCTTTCAGCTGCTGCGCCGCCACCGCAGGGCTACGGCAGAGCAGAGAGCACAGGAGAACACAGGACTCAGTTCAGCAGACGTAAGTGCTTCTCTCAGCCTGTCCGCTGTATGTGCATCTGGTTACGGCATATAGTGTCTTACAATGATCTTTGAGGCGCCTCAAAAGTCATGCCCGCTGTATGTGCATCTGGTTACGGCATATAGTGTCTTACAATGATATTTGAGGCGCCTCAAAAGTCATGCCCGCTGTATGTGCATCTGGTTACGGCATATAGTGTCTTACAATGATCTTTGAGGCGCCTCAAAAGTCATGCCCGCTGTATGTGCATCTGGTTACGGCATATAGTGTCTTACAATGATCTTTGAGGCGCCTCAAAAGTCATGCCCGCTGTATGTGCATCTGGTTACGGCATATAGTGTCTTACAATGATCTTTGAGGCGCCTCAAAAGTCATGCCCGCTGTATGTGCATCTGGTTACGGCATATAGTGTCTTACAATGATCTTTGAGGCGCCTCAAAAGTCATGCCCGCTGTATGTGCATCTGGTTACGGCATATAGTGTCTTACAATGATCTTTGAGGCGCCTCAAAAGTCATGCCCGCTGTATGTGCATCTGGTTACGGCATATAGTGTCTTACAATGATCTTTGAGGCGCCTCAAAAGTCATGCCCGCTGTATGTGCATCTGGTTACGGCATATAGTGTCTTACAATGATCTTTGAGGCGCCTCAAAAGTCATGCCCGCTGTATGTGCATCTGGTTACGGCATATAGTGTCTTACACTGATCTTTGAGGCGCCTCAAAAGTCATGCCCGCTGTATGTGCATCTGGTTACGGCATATAGTGTCTTACAATGATCTTTGAGGCGCCTCAAAAGTCATGCCCGCTGTATGTGCATCTGGTTACGGCATATAGTGTCTTACAATGATCTTTGAGGCGCCTCAAAAGTCATGCCCGCTGTATGTGCATCTGGTTACGGCATATAGTGTCTTACAATGATCTTTGAGGCGCCTCAAAAGTCATGCCCGCTGTATGTGCATCTGGTTACGGCATATAGTGTCTTACAATGATCTTTGAGGCGCCTCAAAAGTCATGCCCGCTGTATGTGCATCTGGTTACGGCATATAGTGTCTTACAATGATATTTGAGGCGCCTCAAAAGTCATGCCCGCTGTATGTGCATCTGGTGACGGCATGTAATGTCTTACAATGATCTTTGAGGCGCCTCAAAAGTCATGTCCGCTGTATGTGCATCTGGTTACGGCATATAGTGTCTTACAATGATATTTGAGGCGCCTCAAAAGTCATGCCCGCTGTATGTGCATCTGGTTACGGCATATAGTGTCTTACAATGATATTTGAGGCGCCTCAAAAGTCATGCCCGCTGTATGTGCATCTGGTTACGGCATATAGTGTAACCAAAGTCATTACAATGATCTCCTTCGTGAGCAAAACTTCACCTTTATCACGAAGGTGTCTTACAATGATCTCCTTCGTGATAAAAGTGAAGTTTTGAGGCATCTCAAAACTTCACTTTTATCACGTAGCATGTCCGCTGTATTTGCATCTGGTTACGGCATGTAACGTCTTACAATGATCTCCTTCGTCCTCTTCCTCCCCCCCCCCCCCCGTTCCTCCATTTTTTCCTCCATTCCCCCCCCTCTCCAATCCCCCCCACACTCGGTTTTCCCACTCCTCCCCCCTCCTCCTCCCACACCCCCTCCTCCCCGGCCCTCGTTAGAATTACTTCAGGTGGACAGCCTGAGAACGATGCTGCTGGGCATGGTGAACGACCCACAAGCATGCACCCCCATCCTCCAGCATTCCTCTTTCAACCCCCTGCGTCTTCTCCCCGCTCGTTATAATCACACCATGACCAGGTGGACAGCCTGAGAATGATGCTGCTGGGCATGGTGAACGACCCAAGGGTATCCAATCCACCCCCTATGTTCATTTCCGATCCATCCTCCGCCCCTCCCATTTCCTCCGCCCCTCCCTTACAAACACGCCATGACCAGGTGGACAGCCTGAGAATGATGCTGCTGGGCATGGTGAGCGACCCTTGAGTGTCCAATCTGCCCCCCTATGTTCATGCCCCATCCATCGCCGCCCCTCCGTCCCATTTCCCCCGCCCTCTCCTTACAATCGTGCCAGGTGGACAGCCTGCGAATGATGCTGCTGGGCATGGTGAACGACCCACGAGTGGTGCTCATTAAGCTAGCAGACAGGCTGCACAACATGCGCACCATGTGAGTGTGTGTGAGTGACGCATGCGCAGTGCAGCATATGAAAATACCATTTTACCCCAGTGTGGAAGCATGTGGGCATGGTGAACGACCCACGGGTGGTGCTCATAAAGCTGGCAGACAGGCTGCACAACATGCGCACCATGTGAGTGTGTGATACAAATGAAGTGATGCAAGTGAAGAGTATGAGAGTGGGATGCAACACAAGGGGGCACAGGAGTCTCTGTGTCCGATGCTCCCCTTTTCCTCTTTTTCCACCACGCCACATAATCTCCTCTCCTCTTCCCTATCCTTCGAGATGACTTTTGAGTCGACTCAAAGTCCCTTTTTCCTCGTTTTCCACCCCACCACGCCACATATTCTCCTCTCCTCTTCCCTATCCCTCTTCTCCCACTTTGTCATCCCAGACTTTTGAGACGTCTCAAAAGAGGGCACAGGAGTCTCTGTGTCCGATGGTATTTTTTTCCTCTTTTTCCACCACGCCACATAATCTCCTCTTCCCTATCCTTCGTCTCCCCCTCTTCTCCCACTTTGTCATCCCAGCTACGCACTCAATGGCAGCAAGGCGAGGGCGGTGGCACAGGAGACGCTGTCCGTCTGATGCTCCCTTGTCCTCTTCCTCATCTGTACCGGATTCACCCTTCCTCCCCTCCACCCTCCCCCAGCTCTGCACTCAACGACAGCAAGGCACGGGCAGTGGCACAGGAGACGCTCTCTGTCTGTCTGGTGTTCCCTCGCCTCTCTATTCCGCCTGATGCTTATTCTCTCCTCCCCTTTCTTCTGCCCCCTCCCATCCCCCGCCCCCAGCTACGCGCTCAAAGACAGCAAGGCGAGGGCCGTGGCTCAGGAGACGCTGTCTGTCTGGTGCTCCCTCGCCTCTCGCCTCGGTGTGTGGGCCGTGAAAGCAGAGCTAGAAGACCTCTGCTTCGCAGTGCTGGAGGTGAGTATGTCTTGGGGTGGGATGATAACCATGAGCTGCCTCTCTCTGTGTGTGTGCCTCGGTCTGTGGGCCGTGAAAGCCGAGCTAGAAGACTTATGCTTCGCAGTGCTGGAGGTGAGTTTGTCTTGGGTTCATATCTTGTTACACACCTGCCTCCCTCTCTGTGTTTGTGCCTCGGTGTGTGGCCCATGAAAGCCGAGCTGGAGGACCTCTGCTTTGCGGTGCTGGAGGTGAGCGCGGCTAGCTACACAAAGAGGTGACTGTCCGTAGCAGCTGGGGTCTGTGCGTGTGTGTGTGTGACTATGCAAGGGTGACTTAGCAGTTGGTGTCTCTCGTTTCGCCTCACACCTTGAAGCGAGCTGGCAACCATGTGGAGCTCTCCGGAGGACTGGCGGTCGCTGAGAAAGAAGGGAGCTGTCTATTCCTCTTACCCCTTCCTTGTCCCCATCCCCTTGTGCTACTTTCCCAACAACACTCCCCCTCCCTTTCCCCCACCAGCCGCGCATATTCCGCCAGTTGAAAGGCAAGCTGGCCATTATGTGGAGGTCGCCTGAGGACTGGCGGTCGCTCAGAGACAAGGGAGCTGTCTGATACTCACACCCCTACACACCCTTACACATCCCTTCCCCCACCCCGCCACCTTCAACGAGCCGCGCATCTTCAGGCAGTTGAGGGGCGAGCTGGCCACCATGTGGAGCTCTCCTGAGGACTGGCGGTCACTCAGAGGGAAGGGAAATGTCTATTCCTCACAACCCTTCCCGCTCCTTCCCTTACCGCATTCAACCCCACTCCAGCCACGCATATTCAGGCAGCTGAGAGGCGAGCTGGCCACCATGTGGAGCTCCCCGGAGGACTGGCGGTCACTCAGAGAGCGCCTGCGCCTCTTCACCTCCCTCCTTCCCTCTTCCCCCCCTAAAACACCACTCCAGCCGTGCATCTTCCGCCAGCTAAGGGGCGAGCTGGCCACCATGTGGAGCTCCCCGGAAGACTGGCGGTCGCTGAGAGAGCGCCTGCGCCTCCGCCGCCGCCCTGCCCGCCCCCCCGCTGCTGCCGCTGCCGGGAGTGCTTCTGGTGATAGTGCTGCTGCTGATGCTGCAGATGGTGGTGTTGCTGCTGCGATTCCTGCTGGGGACAGCAGTGTGTCTGCATACCACCGTAGCGGCATGGATAGTGACAGTGACAGCGACAGCGAAGGTGGGAGTGGGGGTGACTCGGAGTTTTTTGGCTTTGGGCGGCGGGTGGGTAGAGGTGGGTCGCTGAGTGGAGGGGGCAGCACCAGCTGCAGCAGCAGCAGCAGCAGCAGTGGCAGCAGCGGCAGTGCAAGTGGCAGTATCACCAGCAGCACTAACACTAGCAGCAGCAGCTCCAGCAGTGGCAGCCGTGGCAGCAGCGGCAGCAGCAGAGCCGCAGGGATGGATGGTGCTGCTCCAATCACACAGCAGCAAACTCCAGAGAGTGAATACCCCAGGGATGAAAATGAACCTGAGAAAGGGCTGATTCACTTCATCACACACGCAGGGTCGGCAGAGAAAGGCGGCACCAAGAAGGGCACCACCAGCGGCGGCACTCAGAAAGGAAAAGGAAACAGCGGCACCGCGCAAGGGAACAGCGCCGCTCTAGCAAAAGGTGCCAAGAGCAATGGTGTGCTTATAGCGAACGAGTTCCTATCCATGGTGGCTGCAGCGGAGGGAGCAGTGCTGGACGCGGTGCCAGGTGGCAAGCTGCTACAGGGCGCGAGGGACGAGGAGGGGGAGGAGGGTGAATCTGAGCCGTCGATTCGGGATCTGATCGAAGCAGTTGTGCCGTTCGATCTGCTGGCGGATAGGAACAGACGGAGCAGGGCCGTGGCTTGGCCTGTTGCTGCTAGTAGAGCTGCTACTGGTGCTGGTGCTGGTGCTGGTGCTGGTGCTGGTGCTGGTGCTGGTGCTGGTGCTGCTACCACCGGAGGTGGAACAAGTGGTACTGATGGTACAACCAGTGGTTCCAGTGGTGGGGGTAGTGGTGGTGTTGGTGCAATTTTTGCTGCTAGTGGCACTACAAGTGGCAGTGCAAATAGGGGGGCTACGAGGAGGAGAAGGACGGGGGTGATGCGCGATGCAGAGGTGGCTCTCACGGCTCTGCACGGCTGTGAGGAGGCACTGCAGCGAGAGCTGCTTATCACCACCCCGTGAGTGCGCTTATCGTGGCACTAGGAGTGCGCTTATCACCACCCCTTGTGTGTGCTTATCCCCCTTGCCACCATACTCTCCAGCTACGTACCGGGCATGGAAGTCGTCCTATTTGGCCGGCTTAAGACCATGTACAGATGCCACGCCAAGATGCGTTGAGGCAGGTGTAGATGTGTTGCACAGCCCTAAACCCTTTCTCATTCCCCTTGCCACCCCACACTCCAGCTACGTGCCTGGCATGGAAATCGTCCTCTCCGGCCGCCTCAAGAGCATGTACAGCTGCCATGCCAAGATGCACTGTGCTGTGAGGCAGGTACTGGTGTGTGTTCACAGCAAGTCCAACCCCTCCTTCCACCTCCCAATGCAGCTACGTGCCAGGGATGGAGGTGGTCCTCTCCGGCCGCCTTAAGAGCATGTACAGCTGCCACGCCAAGATGCGGCGCAAGCGCGTGCCTCTCGACAAGATCTACGACGCACGGGCGCTGCGGGTGGTGGTGGGGGATGCTAACGGGACGCAGCACGAGGCGGCTGTAGAGGCGTGCTACAACCTGCTTAGTGTGGTGCACAGGTGGGCTTTCCTGCTGGTACAACCTATTTTTATTTGTCACATTGCGAGGTGTGGTGGGGGATACAAACAGCACCCAGCACAAGGCTGCGAGTGGTGGTGGGGGATGGCAACGGCACGCAGCACGAGGCGGCTGTAGAGGCCTGCTACAACCTGCTCAGCATCGTGTACAGGTGGGTTAGGTGCTGCTACAGCAGCTGTAGCCTGTAGTGCTGCAGACTGCCATGTGTCTGTAGCGCTGCTGCGAGTCGTGGTGGCTGATGGTAATGGCACGCAGCACAAATCAGCAGTAGAGGCCTGCTACAATACAACCTGCACAGCGTGGTGCGCAGCGCAGGTGGGTTCAATGTTGCGACAGCCTTGCTGCTTCTACCTCCTGAGTGTCTGCTTGATCACGCGTGCTAGTCGGGGATGTGAAAGGGAGTCATTGCAAAGTCTTTCAACACTTTTTTTCCCTTCCTTCCTCGACCGCTCTCCTGCCCTCCTGCCTTCCTTTCACGGCCTCCTAGACTGCTCTCCTTTCGCTTCCATACCTTCCTGCTTTTCCTCCATTGTCTCAACATCCCACCACTTCGCTCTCTTGCCCTTACCTCCATTTCTCTCACGCGTTCTCATTCCCATGTTTCGTGCCCATTCTCTCCCCTCCCAGAAAACCCCTGCTCGCTGACATCTTGCCTATCCTTCTTTCCTCTAATACCATCTCGTTTCTTCCTCTCATACCATCTCGTTTCTCACACCTTTTTGCCGTTCTTCCCTTTTCTCGTTTTTCCCAGTCTCTGGACTCCCATTGGTGGAGAGTTTGACGATTACATCCTCAACCCCAAGCCAAGTGGTTACCAGGTAACGTTCAGGTGCCAGTTCAGTGCTTCTGGTAACACGGAGCTGCCAATTCAACCCCGTGAGTCCTCCTGATTTAAAACGCCCCACTGTCTTTCCTCTGCCTTCTGCTCCTGCAATTGCCTCTTCTCTTCCCCTCTGTTCGTACAAGTCGTCTTTTAATCCCTTCTTTTACAGCCCCTCCTGTTTGTGCTCTTCTTGTCCCTCCCCTATCACCCCACACAGCTGTCAAGGGCCTGGACGAAGCTCCTCTTCTCCCGTCTCACTTGTTCTTACACCGTCCTCTCCCTCATTCTCCTTGGTTTCTTCCTCCTTCCTCCCCTCCTCTAACCCTCTTTCACCAGTCACTGCACACGGCTGTCAGAGGTCCGGACGGAGCACCTTTGGAAGTGCAAATCCGCACTCAGGTGGGTTTCTTGTTTATTACTCGCCTTTTGCACCTACTACCTTTTTTGCCTAGTTTTATTATTATTATTATATTAATATTATTGTCACTGTATGTGAACAGATGTATTTTAGCAGTACCAATCTGCTCCAATTTTTTTCTTTCAATCTGTGCAAAATAAAGAAGAGTAAATCCTCCTTTTTTCTTTAGTGCCATCACTTGGCTAATGTTCCCTTTCATTCATCCATCGTGCTGCCTCTTCTCCTTTTCTTTCCCCCTTTTCCTTTCCCTCCCACCAAACCCCCAGTCCATGCACGAGTATGCAGAGTTCGGCCATGCAGCTAACTGGCTGTACAAGGAGAGCGACACTCCTGGTACTGTGATAGCATGTCCATCCATCTTTAACCTCCCCCCTCTCTCCCCTCTCCCCCCTCCTCTCTCTTCCCCCAGTCCATGCACGAGTATGCAGAGTTCGGCCACGCGGCTCACTGGCTGTACAAGGAGAGGGACACATTGTGTGTGTGCCAAGGTTTCCATTGATCTTTCCTCTCCCTCGTCCTCATCTTTCCCCTCCTCCCCCCATCTTTCAACGTCCCCCAGTCCATGCACGAGTATGCAGAGTTCGGCCATAGGGCTCACTGGCTCTACAAGGGGAGGGACACTCCTGCCTCTGGTTGGTAGTGTATCCGTCCATCTTTCCTCTCCCCCCTTTCTCCCCCCTCCTCTCCCCCTTCCTCTCCCTCTCCCCAGTCCATGCACGAGTATGCAAAGTTCGGCCATGCGGCTCACTGGCTGTACAAGGAGAGTCCTTGTTTCCCCCCTCCCTCTCCTTCCCCTCATTCTCCTCGGCCCCTTCCTTCTCCACCCCCCAGTCCATGCACGAGTATGCAGAATTCGGGCATGCAGCTCACTGGCTGTACAAGGTGAGTGATACTCCTGACTCTGCCCCCTTCCCCATACCTTTTCCGCTCCCTCCCTTTCCCCCCCTCCCTCCCCCCCAGTCCATGCACGAGTATGCAGAATTCGGGCATGCAGCGCACTGGCTCTACAAGGAGAGTGATACTCCTGACTCTGCTCCCTCCACAGAACCTGAATCGCCGTCCAATGAGAACGCGCCACCTGTACAGTCAGGCAGCAATCAGCAACAGCAGCAGCAGGGTGGTTCAACCTCCTCTTCCTCCTCCTCCTCTTCTCTCCTCTCCTCCTTCACCTCCTCTGTCTCCTCCAAAGTCTCCTCCTTCCTCTCCTCTCCTTCCCCTTCTGACCCTTCTGCTTCTGCTGGTGCTGCTTCTGATGCTGCTGCTGCTTCTGGTGCCGCTGAAAGCAGTCGGGAGAGGAGGCGCGCAACAGGCAAGTTCCAGCCGTTTTCAGCCACGGATTTCGAGAACCAGCCGTTTGAGGGAATTGCCAGCAGCAGTAATACTGGAAGTGGTTCCAAAGGGGGAACGATGAGCAACAGGGGGAGAGAAAGTTCTAAGGGTGGGACACAGAGCAACAGGAGCAACAGTGGAAGCGGGGAGATCGCTCGAGGGAGTTCTAAGGGAGGGACGCAGGGCAAAAGGAGCCTGCAGGGGAGGGAGGCTGGTAGCAGCAGAGCGACCAGTAGCAGCAGTTGGCACACAGACGCTGCGGCAGTGGCAGTGGGGTCTGGTGGTTTGGAAGGGGAGTCTTTCGAGGCGCCTCAAGGGTCAGATGCTGCAGCAGTGGGAGTGGGGTCTGGTGGTTTGGAAGGGGAGAGGGAGAAGCAGCAGCAGCAGCAGCAGCAGCAGCAGGAGGAAGAGGTGCGTAGAGGTTATATTCAGCAGAGCCAATCCAATGCTGATTCTTTTGCTCCAGGTGTTGCCTTAGAAGCAGCAGAACCAGCAGCATCAGCGTCAGCAGCAGCAGCAGCAGCAGCAGCTTTCGCATCCTTATTACCCCATACAGACGTTATCACTTCGTCCGAACCAGACCAAACCACGAAAACACTCCGAAGCAGCACAGTCTCGGATGCTCAGGCTCAGCCCGAGCCTGCCGCAGCCCCGGTGGTGGATGCAGGTGTGGTACCCATGGCAACAGTATCCCAGGCTACAGCTATTTTGTCTGATGTGGGGGAGGTAGATCAGGTGGAGGGTGATCTAGAAGAGGAGGGAGAGGGGAAGGCGGCAGGGGGTGTTCAGGAAAAGCCAGTTTCTCGGCTTGCTAAGTTGCAACTACCTAATGGGAAGGTGATATTGGAGGGGCATCCAGCATTGAGGGTAGAAGATGGAAAGTTGTTAACGTCTGTGGTGGTTAGTTCGGAGAATTCTGGAAATACTCTCCTTGTCGCGTCGAGTTTTTCCCTGCCTGCCCGAGATTCTCTCGTGGCTGCCCGGAGCGGGCCGCAGGGGAAGCGGTGGGCGGCGAACGTTCGTCTTTTTGCGCGTGTCAAGGATACTTGGTGGAATTCTCCTGGGCATGGGGACTGGAGCACAGTTTTGGAGAAATACTCGTTATGCAGTGATGGGATATACCATAAAGTGGACCAATTCGGCCGTGCGCAATCCACTTTTATACAGCTTTTAGAACTTTCTGACGAAGAAAGTGTAGATTATGAAACCACTGTAGCGGTGGCGCTTATAGAGGGGTTAGCTGCGGCGGGAATCGGAGGGTTGGGGGAGGGGGAGAGTGGGGAGGAGGAGAGGTGGGGGGGAGAGGAGGGGAGTGAGGAGGAGAGGATGGATGGAGGGAGAGGGATGTGGAAGTGGGGGCTGGGGAGGATATGGGGTTGGACGAGAGGAGTGGAGGAGAGGGAATTGGTGGCGAGGGAACGAGAAAGAGAACGAGAGCAAGTGAGGGAGCAAGTGAGGGAGCGAGAGAGGGAGCGAGAGAGGGAGCGGGAAGGCGAGAGGAGGATAGACAGTGTAGATGGCGGTGCTGGCGTGGAACCATGGGTGGAATTTCCACCCAGCAATACTGCTGCTGCTGCTGCTGCTGCTGCTGCTGCTGCTGGTGCTGATGCCACTACTAGCATGGGTGGAGACAGTAACATGGCCAACGATGGCGTTAGCAGCTCGAATGGTGGTGGCAGGGGAGTTGAGGGGAAGGAGGCGCCACTCTCGTCTGCTGCACGAATCAACAACAAGGTGGGGTTTAAGTCTGATTCTTTCCTTGCTCTCTCGAACCTCACATCAACGATAAGGTGAGCTTTAAATTCACGTCTCCCTTATCCAATGCCTGGTATCCCTGTTATCCTTGCCTATTTGTTGCTTGTCCCGGACCTGTCTCACAGGTCCGGCTTCTCCGGTCCATGCTGCAATGGGAGAGGGAGGTTCGGCACGAGGCAGCACCGGATGGCACCCTGGCTGGTCTGGGAATAGATAGCAGCGGTAGCAGCAGCAGCAGCTTTGGCAGCAGTGGTGGTGGCAGCAGCGGCAGTGGCAGCAGTGGAGGGGAGGGAGATGAGATGGGAGGGGAAGGGGAGGGAACAGGACAAGACGGCCTAGTGGACGCTGTTGCTCTCAGTGAAGTACTCGTTATAAGCTGGCCTGGTAAGAACCGTTTTTTAATCAGCCTAGTGGTTGGTCAGCGAACTTATTGCTTGAATCGCATGCCAGCCCTCCAGCAGGCAATTTGGCTGGGATGCAATGCTTCGTTCTCACCTAAGGTGTTTTTGAGAATTCTCAAAAACACCCTACATCAACCTGGCTGGGACGCAATGGTTTGTTCTCAAGAAAGTCCTCTCATCCACCAATCCTTCCCTTGCCCGTTCCTGCAGGGGGTGAGATAGTGCGCATGCCAGCAGGGAGTCTGGCAGGGGACTTTGCTCGCCTGCGAGCCAAAGCAGCCACGGGGGATGCAGCAGCAGCACCACCACCTTGTTTCACAGCAGCAGTTTCTCAATCAACTCTCCCCACCAATTCTTCCCTTGCTTTGTCTTTCAGGGGGTGAGATAGTGCGCATGCCTGCAGGAAGTCTGGCAGGGGACTTTGCTCGCCTGCGAGCCAAGGCAGCCACGGGGGATGCAGCAGCAGCAGCCGCTGTCATCTCATCCGACGGGCTGCGCCTCTCCCTCTCCCCCACCACCGCCACTCCCTCTGCCTCGGGCTCTAGAGCGGTTAGTGGTTCTCGGGGCTATGGAGACGTTTCCAGTGTGGTGCTGGGAAGAAGTGATCGCGGAGAGAGCAACCGGTTCAGCAGTAGCGCCAGTGGTGGCAGCAGCAGCAGCAGTGGTGGCAACATCAGTAGCCGTGGTGGCAGTACTAGTGGGGATGATGAGGTGGGTGATGCTGCCGCTGCACTGTTATGCCCAGCAGAGGAGTCCATCTTTGTCAACGGGAAGGCAGTGGATCCCAGCACGCGGCTCAGGGATGGGGATCTGGTGGAGGTGCGCTGTGAGGGGGAGCTGTAGGGAGCCCGTCTGCTTGAGTGTTGATATGCTTTCGTGCTTCTGTTGCACCTGATCTGGATGAGAGAAGCCGGTGGATCCCAGCACGCGCCTCAGGGATGGGGACCTGGTGGAGGTGCGCTGTGAGGAGGACCTGTAGGGAGACGGGTTAGGTTTATGATGGAAATGAGGGAGGTTGCTGGGGGTGGGTTCAAGTGAAGAAGCATGAGTATCCCAGCACATGTCTTAGGGGGATGGGGATTTGTTGGAGGTTCGGTGTGTGGAGGAGCTGTGAATGGTAGAGGAAAACGGGTGTCCAGTGTGTGGAGGTAGATATAGGGAGAAGGGTAGATAGAGATGCTTCTGTAGCATGGCACTGTTGCAGTTGTGGAGGTAAGACCACAAGAGGGGGACTTACTAAATGGGCTGCTTTTCTTTGCGATAGGTAGTTGCTCTTTGCTTCAAAGAGTCACGACAACTGTACAGTGTCTCGTTGAAAGGCCACCAGTCTACCAGTACGGGCTGGTGCTTGTGTCTTTTTCTGTACATTTTTTGCTCTCTTGGATTCAACAGTGAGAAATCGAGTTGACTGATAGGAATTTAAACAAGTTGGACAGTTGTAGGACTGATTGGTATGCTATACTATTTCATTTTTATCCACTTTCTGTTACGATGAGCAGCCTATTTGCTTTGTGGAACCTTCTCTGCAGCCAAAATAGGCTGGAATCTTTTTGCAGCTTTCGAGCGAATATTCCCCTAGGCGATGTCTTCCCGCCAAAACAAAGCTCCGCTGAAACTTGCCTCGAGAATATTTGCTCGTAAGCGCCACGGTCCACGTCACGTCAGCCCCACCTTTAGTCAGACTGACGAGAACCAGTAAGAAAAGGCTGGTGCTCTTTGATCACGCGTCGCGGAATCTCGAGGCTTCTTCACATGATGGATTCGCCTGTCTGCTACACACAAACCCTGCTGTGGATGCTCGATCAAGCAATACGAGCCACAGAATCCCGTTCCTGCAGAGCCTGGTATTTTAGTTCCTCGGAGTAATTCGGGCCTCCCGTAACATCGTCTTTCTTCCATCGCTCCTCGGCGCCTGCTCCTTTGTAGTTCCCCCGTGCATTTGTGAAGCAACTTGGTGCTTCTACGCAAGCAGAGGTGTATGAGGTTTCTTGGATCGATCAAGCGATTCGCCATGGATACCAGGATTTCCTCGATCTCCTCTGTCCTCAGGATGCTAGCTTGGTTTATGTTGGCAGCTATACCGTTCGCTCCTTACACCAGAAGCGAAGAAATCTCTAACGAAGTCAAGGCCGTAAATCAGAGCCTGGCACCTTTCCCGAAAAAAGCTCTCCCTACTGCCTCGGGTTACCTGATCGTTAACGAAACCACGGGTGCGAAGATGTACTTCGCATACTACGAGGCGATGGAGCCCGAAACGGCTCAATCCGACACGCCAATCATTTCTTGGCTTCAAGGCGGCCCCGGTTGTTCAGGCATGATCGGGAATTTCTACGAACTCGGCCCTTATCGAATTACCGAATCCCTCGATATCGAGCCCAACCCCGCTCCCTGGAACCGTCGATACGGTGTCCTCTTTATAGACAACCCCGTTGGCACGGGTTTTAGCGTAGCTCCTTCAGATTCGGATATTCCTCTGGATCAGGATGACGTGGCTAGGGATCTGTACACCGCGCTCCGATCATTCTTCAATCTTTTCCCGCCATTTCGACAGAGGCCGTTCTTTCTGGCAGGGGAGAGTTACGCCGGCAAGTATGTCCCCGCTTTAGGCTCCCTCCTTGTAGGGAAACTGGATATGGCGCAGCAGCAGTTACGACAGCGTCTGAAATTCAAACGCGACGGCGAGAGCGGATACAGGCATCCGTTCCGTCTGGACGGGGTTATAATCGGTAACGGGTTGACGCATCCGCGTACGCAGGTGCAGGCGCATGCTGATATCGCGTACAGCGCTGGGTTGCTGGACCAGCAGCAGCGGGAGAAGGCCAAGGAGTGGGCGAACCGCGTCGTGGCGCATATTGACAAGGAGGAATGGCAGGAGGCCTTCCAAGAGCGGACGAATTTCGTCAACTGGATTCAGGTAGGACGAAAATTCATTCGGTAACGACTGCTGCAAGCCGCAATGCATGAAAGTCGTAGGTTTCTGGAAGTTGATGATGCATTCTTGGGCTGTTCATGCAATCTTCTTTGGTTGCTCATGCAATCTTGGGTTGCTCATGCGATCTTGGGATTATCATGCATTCTTGGATTGATAATGCATTCTTGGGTGGATGATGCAATCTTGGGTTGCTCAAGTATTCTTGGGTTGCTCAAGTATTCTTGGGTCGCTCGAGCAATCTTGGGTTAATCTTGCATTCTTGGGTTGTGAATCATTGTTGAGTTGATTCGTTATTGCTTTCTTTTCAAGGAAGCAGGAGCTTGGACCGTGCTGAGGGCTTTTTTTTTGGGAGAGATCTCAATATATGTCTACAACAAAAATAGCAAAGAAGCAAACAAAAGGATCGAAGAGGGGTGGAGGGTTTAAAAAAGGAGAAATTTATACAACAAAGAGTACGTACATATCTCTTTTCCCTTCTTACACCCTCCCATCTCCCCTCCCTCCCCTCCCTCCCCTCCCTCCCCTCCCTCCCCTCCCTCCCCTCCCTCTCCTCCCACTCCTCCCTCCCCGCTCCCTCCCCTCCCTCCCCCCTCCCTCCACTCGCCCCCCCTTCACTCCCCTCCCCCCACCTCATTTGCAGAACGTGAGCGGCATAGCAACACCTTTGGACATCCGGAGAACCCGCGCCTACCACCACAACAAGGACAAGCAGGAGTACCTCGCGCTATACCTCAACCGCCCAGAGATTAAAGACGTCCTTAAAGCCGACGCGGCCACCACCTGGGTCTCCTGCAGCCCTCGCGTGCGCAAGCATATGTCCAACGACACTATGAAATCCACTATGCATCTCGTAGAAGGGCTCTTAAACCGCGTACCGATGCTGCTATACCAGGGGATATACGATATTAAAGACGGCGCCGCGTGCTCGCTGGAGTGGATGGGGGAGTTACAGTGGAAGGGTATGGAGCGGTTCTGGGCGGTGGAGAGGCAATTGTGGGAGGTGGAGGGGGAGGTGGCGGGGTACTGGCGGGAGCATGACATGTTGACTCATGTGGTGTTGCATGGGGCGGGGCATGAAGTGCCTGCCGACCAGCCTCTGAACTCGCAGGTGAGCTAGTAGTAACTTCTCCCCTCCCCCCCACCCCATTTCTGCGCCCTCCTTTCTTCTCTCGCTCTCCTTCCGCGTTCCCACTCCCTCCCTTCCCGGTTGGCGCATGATAGAGAGAAAGAGAGAGAGGGTGCTTTAGAGATTTCTAAGAAACACACTGAGAGTCGTGGATTCCCACTAAGCAGAGCATTGTGTCACTTCCAGAGAAATCAAGCTGCCAGAAATCAAGCAGGATTCCAAGCAGCGTGTCACTGCCAGAGAAAACAAGCTCTTTGAGCCTTTGCCTGTTCACCTCAACGCCCACCCCCCCCACCTTCCCTCAACGCCCAACCCCCCACCTTCCCTCAACGCCCACCCCCCCACCTTCCCTCAACCCACCCCCCCACCCTCCCCCAAACCTCCTTTAAACCTCTCAACCATCCTCCGAACCTCCCCCAACGGAAATCGAGCTCCATGCTGCTCTGCTCAGTCCGTCAGACACCCCCCCCCCCCCCCCCCCCCCCCCCCCCCCCCTCTCCCCCGGTCATCCACCCTCCTTGCAGCGCGTGATAGAAACGTGGATGAGCAAGCAACCTGCAGCTGCCACTGCCAACGAATATTCCCCTCCCTCCCCTCAACCCTTCCCTCTCTTCCGGCCCTCCAATCCCCTCACAGCGCATGATAGACATGTGGATGAGCAAGCAGGTTGACACGGCCAACCAGCCAATGTTCCCCTCCCTCCTTCGTCCCTCCCCCATTCCGCCTCCTGGCCCCCACCCCCCTTACAGCGCATGATAGAAACATGGATCAGCAAGCAGGTTGCCTCGGCAAGGAAACTCGAGTTTGTTATGGGGGAGGTGTTATCTGACGGCGACCACGACGAGGCGCAAGGGGAGGGTGTGGAGGAGGGGACGGGGGAGGAGGAGGGGGGGAAGGGAGGGGATGATTACGCAGGGGCAATGATGGCGGATATAATGTCGGGATTTGTAGAGGAGATGGAGAAGAGAGGGGTGGATTGGAGCAAGGTGGGCCCTGATGGGGAGGGGTTTGAGTTTGCCGGGTTTGAACCCGAGTGGTTTGAACAGGGCGATGAGGTGGTGGCGGGGGGTGGTGGGGAGGGGGAAGGAGAGGAGGGGGGTGAGGAGGGGGAAGGGGAGGAAGAGGGTGGAGAGGGGGGGGAAGAGAGTGATGGGATGGATGGGGTGGAGGGGGTGGAGGGAGAGGGGGAGGGGGAGATACGGATGGAGGGGGTGAGGGCTAGCAACGAGGAAGTGCATGATTTGTGACTGGCAAAGATATGATAAAGACGCATATGAATGTGATGTGTAGGGGAAGGCTGCTGATGATGAGCTGGGGGATGATGACTCGAAATGTGACAACAATACATACAAGTGCCTCAGGGCAGGGCTCTTTGGCTATCATACAGGTGCGACACACAACTACAGTACCATGTTGAGGCGGCTTAAAGCTCAAGACCTGAATTGCTCAACGCAAGTCAACGCGGGGCAAAACTGTGGGCTGCGGGAGGCAAACTGTGCACAGTTTGCCTTCGTTCTTTGTAATTCGGGTCTTGGGCTTTAAACTGCAATGTGGGGAAAGAGAAGAAAGATGAAAATGTGGAGGTTGTGATGGGCGAAATTGACAAGCTTTCTTCATTTTTCTCAGCAAGCAGCATGACTCTCCTAAGGTAGGAAGATTCTCCTAAGGTGAATCACTACCCAGATCAAAACAGCAACAAACGTCTTCACTAAACGTGTGTTGGCTTTCAAGATTTGCAGCATAGCATACCCATGAACCTATTCGTTGATTCTGCTGCCTAGTTTAGTAACCCTGGTCTGATTGTCAAAATAGTAGGTATGGCTAGAGCCACTAGCCTAGGGTTTAGGCTAGGTAAGGGAGAGGAGTTCAAGCAAAGGAGGATGTTCACTATGGAAAGACAAGTACAAATAGGATGAGCAAGACAAGGTGGTGCACCACCACCAAACATGGAGCAGCTACACTAACACTACAGACAATTATATGAAATATGGGCAACATATTTTGACACGCCCCCATAATTGTTTGCAGGGATAAGTGTAGCAACGCCTCTTGAAGGGGTACACCTTGCAGTGTGTAGCAGAAGAAGAGGGCAAGCGAAGAGGAGGAGGGACTATGCGAGGAGAGGAGGTAGGAAGCGGCGGCTGAAGCTGCTGGCACACGGGCGACTGGAGCAACAGGCACACCGGCTACCGGGGCACGACGGCACCGGACTACGGGAGTATCTGGCTCCGCGACTACGCCGAGCGGCTGGAGCAACTGACCCACGGGCGACTGGTGCAACGGGCTCACTAGCTACCGGAGCACGCCGGCTCCGGACTACTGGCGCTGCTGGCGTCACGACGGCTACCTCCTGCCAACCTCCCCCCATTGTCCCACTGTTAAGAACTTAGGCAAGAAAGATGTGTGGGATTAGGTCAAGGTTGGGGTACAAAACTAGAGTGTCGAGATGATGTGTGTACCCCCTAAGGCTAGCCCCAATATAGCCTAGATAATAACATGCATATGTTTTGACACACCCCCATAGGCGAAATGGGGGATAGCCAGAGCAAGCAATGGTCACAAGACCAGTCAAGAGAAGAAACAAAACACAGCTCAGGGTGGATCACAAAGTCACCACACACACTGAGCACTCTATAGTGCGGGCACTCTATAGTGAGTACAACCCAATTAGGGTTTCCTATATGTATCTCAACTGCTGCTAGTAAAAACCCTTCTTTCCTGTTTCTAGCTTGTGACTACTATTTCGACATGCTATCAGAGCAGGTCGACCCTCCTGGGTCGATCCTGTGGATGGGCCCGCCACCTAGTGCTTCCGCTGCTGTCCTGCCTATCGCGCGCCCCGGGCGCGCGACGTGTTCTGCTTGCCGCGCGCTCGGGTGCACGGTGTATTTTTCATCCGCCGTGCGCCCCGAGGCGCGCGGCGGTTTTCTGCCCCGTCGATCCGCGCGTCGCCCCCCGTCGCCCGTCGCAGCGCCCACGGGGACCCGCGCGTCGCCCCCCGTCGCCCGTGGCGGCCCGCGCGACCTGCGCCAGGCCCGCGCGCGGCCCGTACAAGCCCGCGCGCGGCCCGTACAGCCCGCGCGCGGCCCGTACGGCCTGCGCCAGGCCCGTACAGGCTGCGCCAGGCGCGCGCGCGGCTCGGGCAGCCCGCGCGCGGTTCGTCCGGCCTGCGCCAGGCCCATGAGCGGCCCGTACCGTCTGCCCCAGTGCCGCACGCCGTCCCCCGAGCTTCTGACCGCACTCCTGTGTTAGGGTTTGGGGGTGGAGAGTACGGGGGTGCCGTGTGTGTGAGCCGTCCCGTGCTCCTCCTCCTCCTCCGTCTCCCACTGCTCCAGCAACTGCTGAGGGGGGTGGATGTGTTGGAGCTGTCGGAGTGGTACGAGGGGGGTGGCGTGTGAGCGGTGCTAGTGGTTCAGCAGGGGGTGTGTGAAAGGGGTGTGGGACAGTTGGGGGAGGTTGACCGGAGGTAGCCGACTAGTCGTCCGCAGCGCCTGAAGTCAAGAGAGCCACGACCCCCTGTGGCCGTGTAGTCCGGGGCTCTGCGCCTGGTAGCCACAGTGTGAGCACTCCTGGTAGTCCAGAGAGCCACGACCCCCTGTGGCCGTGTAGTCCGGGGCTCTGCGCCCGGTAGCCACAGTGTGAGCACTCCTGGGAGCACAGAGAGCCAGCTGCGCTTGTCGCCGTGTAGTCCGGGGCTCTGCGCCTGGTAGCGTCAGTGCTGCGCACTCCTGTTGCCCGTGTGTCTGCAGCTTCAGCCGTCACCTCCCATCTTCTCGCCCCCCACAGTTTCTCCTCCTCCTCACTTATCCTCTGTGATAGCCTCTAGCTTTGCTTATCATTGTGAACTATTGCTCTGTCTGCTTGTTGTGCTGATTATACCCCACTTTGACTATGGGGGTGTGTCAGAATGTGATGTTTGTCTAGCCTGCAGTGGGGTACTCTATAGCGAGTACAACCCAATTAGGGTTTCCTATATGTATCTCAACTGCTAATGTGAAAACCCTTCTTTCCTGTTTCTAGCTTGTGACTACTATTTCGACACAAGCAAAGGGCCACAAGGCCAGTTCGCATGCAGAGGTATATATATAGATCACAGTACAAGCAAAGACTACAGCAAGTGAGGAAACGTGGGCACAAGGCCTAACAAAGTGCAGAAACGCTGATGATCACCAGACGGAAGTGCCTTGGTGAATATATCAGCAGTGTTGGCCCGAGTGGCCACGTGAGCAAGACGAAGCTGACCACGCTGCTGCAACTCTCGAGCAAGGAAGTAACGCAGAGCGATGTGCTTCGTTCTGTGCTCCAGTCTGTGCTCCTGACACAAGGCAATGGCGGCCTTGTTGTCTACGTACAGAACTGGAGGAGAACGAGGCCGCTCTCCCAGGTCGGTCAGCAGGTAGGTGAGCCAGCGTAACTCCTGTACAGCCATGGCTGTGGCGTAGATCTCAGCCTCACAACTCGAGCTGAAAACAGAAGACGAGCATGTAGACCGCCAAGAAACAGAGCCAGAGCCAAGACTGAAGGTGTAACCCAGTGACGACCGCTGCGTAGCCTGGTCGTCAACCCAAGAAGCGTCCGAGTGCCCAGTAAGGACAACGCCGCCCCGTCCTCCAAGCACAAGCCCCATGCCCGATGTACTGCACAAGTAGCGCAGTACCCTCTTAGCAGCATCCATGTGCACCTTTCGGTGCCTACCAGGAGCCACGTAGCGAGCCAGAAGGCCAAGAGGGTACGCAAGGTCAGGACGAGTGCAAGTCATCAGGTACATGAGGCAGCCAACTAGCTCTGGGTAAGGACCACTCGGCTCTACAGACTCGTCCGAAGGTGGAGCTGAGAGCGAGTGATCTGTAGCCAGAGGAGTGGCCTGTGCCGAGGACCAGGTGAAGCCGCAGCGCTGAAGGACCTGCTGCACCATGTGTGACTGAGTCAGTGTGATGGTGCGGCGTGCTCTGTCCCGGGTGATCTGCAAGCCAAGGTAACTGCGCAGCTCACCCAGGTCTGTGCACGTGTGTCTCTTCTGCAGCTCCGACTTCACCTGGGCGAGAGCCTCAGTGTCAGCAGTGGCAAAGACCAAGTCGTCGACGTACACGAGGATGTAGAACGGCGGCAGCGAAGTGTCTGTGCGCAGAAACAGCAACGGGTCAGCTGTCGAAGGAGCAAACCCAAGAGCCGCAAGTGTAGTCCTCAGTGTGTTGTGCCACTCACGCGGTGCCTGGCGGAGACCGTAGACTGGCCGCCGGAGGCTCCACTGGGTACCAGGAGGGAACGACCCAGTGAAGCTAGGTGGGCGGCGCAGCCAGATCTCCTCGTGCAGGCTGCCCTGTAAGAAAGCTGTGCTGAAGTCAAGCGAGTGAAGCTCGTAGTCACGCTGAGCGGCAACGTGCAGTAGCACCCGAAGAGTGGTCATCTTCGGGGTGGGGGAGAAGGTCTGGAAGAATTCAACCCCCTCCCGCTGACTGAAGCCTCGAGCAACGTAACGAGCCTTGAAGACAGGCGGAGAACCTGGCGGCCGCTTCACCCTGAAAATCCACATGCCGTCGACGATGTTCGCCCCGGGAGGGGGAACCTCATCGACGTAAGTGCCTGTGGACTTCCAGGATGCCATCTCTGCGTCCATGGCTGTCTGCCACTGAGAGGAGTACTCACCCGCGATCGCCTCAGCGTAAGAGCGCGGGGTCGGGATGTCTGGAGCATCCGGGTCTCCCTCAGGGGCAAGCAGCATGGCCACGAGATGAGGCGCAGCGGCCGCAAGACACTCAAGGTCCTCCTGTCTGTCCTCAAGGACGTCCCTGCCAAGAGCACACTCACCCCCAACGGACGGAGGACAGACAGACTCAGACTCAGCAACAAGACTAGCGGCGTAGGTAGCAGCAAAGTCAACAAGCTCAGCGACTAAGGCAGACGCAGCAGCAGACTCAAACGACGGGTCAGTGACAACAGTGGCTAACAGACGCGTGACAGTAGGGTGTCAGCACGAAACTGGTTAGACGCAGGTTCCGCAACGTCAGGCAGAGAGGACGCAGGGGGAGACGGCAGAGGAACATGCTGCTGAGGAGAGGAAGGACGATGGACGACGAGGAGGGTGTCGGGGATAGCCGACTGACGCAGACGAGGAACACGACGACCGGAACGACCAGAACGAACAGGCGAGACAGGACGCGACGCAGGCTCACGACGCTCAGCAAAGCCCCCTGTCTGCTCAGTGTAAGGAGAAGGAGCAGGCAGCGGGGAGCCAGGCTGTAATGGA